AATTGTATATGATCTTCAATAGTTTTTGATTCTGATCGCCAAATTTTTTAATTATATTATTTCATGCTCGGATAAGCAAACCCACGGCCTGAATTACGTTAAGTTTTTACTGGAATCCATAGATAGCGCAATGGTTACTAGCCACATTATGGTCGAAGTCTCAACTGTATTGTATAACGACTGCTCCCTTCAAATCTGAATATATGCATGCTTCACGACAGAAACAGCGAAAATTGTGGTACTTCCTGTGCGGAGTTAGAATCAACCACCATTGTATATACTATCTAGCTAGACTATATATTCTTCGATAATACCTTATGCGTTTGTAATTGCAGAATCATTAGCAAGTAACTTCGGACCATTCTCTTCGTACCTAAATATCGATCGGGGAGCATTTGTTGCTAATTTCGCATCATTTATTCGTGAGAGCAATTGGCTTTGATTGTGAATTAGGGATCCGATTGCCTAATTCATAATCCTCTAGATCATATCTAAAATTGGCAGGGCTTATTACAAGCTCCCACAAGTACCATCCTCCCATTTTGTGTCGAAGTAATAATGCTTTTGAAACAATGATCTTATGATATTCCAAAATAAGCAGTTGCAGTATCTATGAGCTCCGGTATAAACGTTTAAAATTAGGCGGTCTGTGTGCTCATCTGTCCTATTTAGTTAAAAAGTACCTTCTGGAGAACGCAATATTAGCAGAGAAAATCCTGGTCATCGTTCTCGTCGAACCCGTCGCTTGTGACAAAGAGCTCGGCGAGTAAATCAACCCACAGACACACCGAGCTTCTCGTCGGATCTTCTCAGTGGATCGCGTTTCCGATCCGGTGGTAGATTCTGTGAAGCACTGCTCTTGCCAGGGTTAGTGTTAGCAACGACGTCAGGTTTGAGCCCCGGAGCTCACCTACTAGCTCGGTGAATCTAGAATAACACCTCGACGTTACTAGAATAGGTAGGAATAAAAAAAAGAGAAAATTACTTTCGTGCAATAAATTCTCGGCAAGACCCTTTCAATCAAGGCAATGACGGAAGACCTTTTATTGTACTATTACAAGCCCCTTGTTTGAGAGGTTGCATGTTCCAGACTTGTCACCATTGTTCTTTTCTCCATCGTTATTGTGTACGTAATGTAAAGTGTGTCACAAGTGACATCAAGGTAATAGACCTTCTGCTGGTGAAAGCTATGACAAAATATAGCATAAACGTGGCAAATCCAATAGTTCAAGTTATGTCCAAGTATTTTACAAGTTCCGAACTCTATGGACTGCACGCCGGACTAACTTATCCATTTTATAGCCCGGTATTACCACAAGGCTGTCCGCTATCTGCTTCCAGCGTATTCTCAAGTACTTCGGTCACATCGCTTGTAAAGACCCTGTAACCTGGAGAAGCTACTTGGTCAGTTTGACGGGAGAAGATCACGCGGATGCTTACCTATCCACTGGTCAGATCTGGTAAAGTCGCTCACCGGCCTGCCAATAACCGAGGCTATAAAGATCTCTGAGGGTAGAAAGACGTGGAGAAGCATAGCGCATCGAGCGATCATCACTTCAAGCTAGACACGACCTTCAACAATGAAGAGACTGACTAAGGAGAGAGAGAGAGATAGAGAGAGAGAGGGAGAGAGAGAGAGAGAGAAGTAATTTTACGGCAAACGTGTACAAAACAAGAACAAATCCAACCAATCGAACAGCAGTAGACAAGGCGAACAAGCGAACTCCGAATTAATCCAAAAAGAAATACTTTCAGTTTTTATATCGCGATATCAAATCCAGGTTGACGTATGACGTACATACGTTCATGAGCAAAACTGGGGGGCTGTATGGTCATCAAATAAAAAAGCGGAAATTATTCAGTGAGGCACGCGACTGGTCGTGAATTCCGAACGATTAACTAACAATATGACGTGTGAAGTTACCTTGTTGAACGTAACACCTTAATGCAGCTGGCGTGGTGAATTTAAATGGTCGTCACATGCAAAGCAGAGATGTTATGGTTGGGATCTCAGGCTTGTACCACTTTGTTAGATTCGATTGTGTTTCCTCGCTGTACCTACCTATTATTTTGTGTCGAGTATTATTCACGTCACGCCAAAGCATATGTATGTTGCGATGGAATGAATAATCGAGGTTCTCTTTTCTTATTTATTTAGTCAAAAAAAAGTCTTGTAAGTATAGTAAAATCCGACCGAGAGGACTGGTCGTCGTGGCGCCGACGACGGCCAGTCCGGCGTCCCTGGTCCCTACTGGTTGTTGAGCGACAGGAGGTTTTAGTCGGTTCAACTCCGACATGCTCCGCCCTCCATCCCCAGTGGAGGGCGGAAGTTCGGCGATTTCCTCCTGACAAAAAAAAAAAGTATAGTAAAATACGCAAAAATTAGATAATAAGATCCTTAATTAAGTTTGTTATAACACTATAGGTTATTTTATTGTAAAACTTATGAAGAATTATTTTTTAACCAATATTCGTAATGCAAATTGTGTCTAGATTTATAATTTATATCAAATAAATTGGAATCTAGCCTAATCTTGCATACCACTATGTATTGAAAGGATATGTTTGTATGTACATACGTTTTCTATAGACTCCGAAGCGGCAGGATCGATTTCCATGAAATTTTCTGGAATTATGTATATATTTATATGTAGCTATACAATCAAAGTCAAATCTAAGGTTGGCATCCTTAGCGGGCCAGGCTTAATAATATTGTCCTATTCTTATTACTAAAATATGCTCCTATGCGTTTCAAATATAAACTTGTAAAAAAGACCGCGACATAATGATATTATACATATTTAGATGTTAAATATTCATCGATTCTTTACTTACCTATTAACCGGTGTTTCATTTTTCGCACATGCGATCGAAGGCTACTTAATACAAAATACTGTATTATTTTTAATATAATTTTAAACCTCAATTACCATTCGTTAATACAATCGCAAATTGACTAATGTATATGTATCTACATATACATAAGCACAAGGCTAGATATGTATTTAATTACCTACCTAACAATTCATTTTTTTAAGAACGGACTAGCGAGTAACAACGTAATACAGAATAAAGTTTACGTAGTTTGATATTACATAAAAACACACGAGCAGAATTTACAACCTTCTCTTGAAGTTGGTAAAAAATTAACCTTAATTTTCGTGTTATTTTTTAAATTTCTTTGTTATGTCCTTATTACCGGAGCGGTGAATACGTAAAGTACGTATTCGAAGCAGATACTTAATCAATATTAACGGATACTAATATTTATTTTGTTTGATAGTCTATATACTTTTTAAGAAGCTTTATAATTCATGATACCGCAATGTAAAATAAAGACAGCTAGTGGCGTCTTGTGTAGTATGACGAGACATTTACCTGCTTATTTCTATTTGTGTTTCATTGCGTGAAGAGTGTATGTTTTTTACTTTTAATAAATTTGAAAATGTATTGGTGGTTTTATGGCACTGCACTGCTTATCTATTAACAAATGGACTGTACTTAACTCATATTCACTGAAGGGTCTCATTAGTAAATTTTCGGAACCATCATCACGTTTTCGATATTAAGTGATATGAAAAATAATCTTCGGAAGACCTATAAGTCTAGACTAGGTGAAGTCGTTGAAGCGATCCCTCATCCAACCAAACTTACCAAACTCTAGTTACATCGTCAGATCAGCTCAATGGAACTCGATAAGAACGATAGGTTCCGAATGAGTGTTCTGTCGCCAGCGGTAGGCAGTGGACCAATCCAGTGGTACATCCAAATGTACCACTATTCTTTATGTTCGTGAGTGACGGTGATCATCGACGATCATATGATGATTGATAGGCCGTATACTCATTTGCCTCTAAAATCAATAAAAACCAGACGAACTGCACGCAGTTCCAGACATCGTCCCATTTCAGTTACGTCCAAGTAGTCTTAACTTAAGCGTTCGAAAATTTGAAAATCTCATAGAACTCTGCAACCTTAATTTCGTATTGTTTTAAACCAGTTTATCGGGAAATATAATTTTGGTAAACGTAATTAAACTTTGTTTTATTTAAATATATAAAACTAGGTTTAATTACGTGACGTAAGCACGTGAATTTAAACGACTTTGCCATTCCGTACAGCATTAGTCTGCTGTAATTATGAAGCGGTAACGATCACGGTACAGGGCGTGTCTCGACAATAAGGAAGGGTGCTTGTTCAATAACATTACGGTGTGTAAACTTGAAAGAACTGAAAATATCTTGTGATTCTGTTGCTAAATTTAAGAATATTTTTTTTTGATTTTGATGTTGAACAATAAAATATCTGTGTTTCTAATAATAGCCAGTGGTCCCCCAGTAGTCGGAATTCGACTAGAATTAATTGAAATAATTATAAGATTAAATATTATTTTGGTTCTATTGTCAAAGGCTATTTATTATACTTCTATAATCACAAATTTCGCCAAGATTACGTTAAAGACAAATAATATTAATCTATTCTCAATTTGCTCACAGACTATACATTTTGACAATAAACGAAGGAGTATGCGTGTGTGAGTCAAATACATGGTAGATGTGTAATGCTTTTTATTCATTTATTATAATTCATTTTTTATGGATAATTTAAAAAACATATTAGCATTCTGAACTCCTTCTGTATATTCTCTATAAGTGTCGTTAATCTATAAGTATTCTCTATAAGTATTTCATAGTCCTTCGTCCGCGCAATTTTCGTAAAAAAAGGGTACAAAGTTTTCGCTTCACTTATTAATATATAGATAAACTAATAAAATAAAAGTAATTAACTAAAAATGTCGACTACTCTAGTAATTTGGTAAAAAAATATATATATTTCAGTTTCTGTCAGACAGACAAAAATGAAAAAAGAATTATTGGTACATGTACTGTGGTACACATACTTACGCATTTAATAAAAAGTGGTTATTTTATCATTACAAACAGACATTCCAATTTTTATAATTTGTATAGATAAATCTAATTTACCTTAATTTGTTACAGGGATATTGCCTGAAGCGTTACGTACGAAATGCATCCGGTGTACTGAAAGACAGAAGAGGACATCTGTGAAAGTTATTCGAAGGCTAAAAAACGAGTATCCCGAAGAATGGGCGAAGCTCGCCTCACGATGGGACCCTACCGGCGACTTCACACGATACTTCGAAGATTACCTCGCTAAAGAACATTTCAACACCATTCCCGGATCTGGTTTGTGACTTACACATTGCTATGTAGGGAACTGCTTAGATGTGCCTCGGATTTTTTAATTTTTATTGCTTAGATGTATGGACGAGCTCACAGCCCACCTGGTGTTAAGTGGTTACTGGAGCCCATAGACATCTACAACGTAAATGCGCCACACACCTTGAGATATAAGCTCTAAGGTCTCAGTATAGTTACAACGGCTGCCCACCCTTCAAACCGAAACGCATTACTGCTTCACGGCAGAAATAGGCAGGGCGGTAGTACCCACCCGCGTGGACTCACAACAGGTCCTACCACCAGTAATTATATTATATTGGATATTGGTTGGATATTGGTTATATTAATTCCTCACAATCTGTTTCAATTGAACATCTGTTTTCCATGTCAAAGATACTAGTTAATTTTCAATGAATCAGCAGAGGTTATTGCAGTGATATAAATTTTATATTATACAAATATTAATGATCATTAGCTAAATTGCATTATGTTGAATAGATATGTTCGATCCAGGATTTCCCGTTATTGTTATATTTTCTTTTTTAAACACGAATAATTGCATAAAGACACAGGTACTCAAAGATATTGTTTTGTTTTGACGGTTCTTCTAAGGACTATTGGTGTTTTTCAGAAGGAGCTCGGAAGTAGTTTAAGTAAAATTTTCTGTAACTTTCACGAGTCGCAAATAAATGTAATGTATTACAGATAGCTCACGTATTTTAAAATAGCCCAGCTTATCTCACTTTTTTCGCATCATTATCTGCCTTCGATTTTAATTATGTAAAATTATTAATTGCGTCTATTTATTTATTTATTTATAACTTCATATACTAGACAGTACAAAGGCGGATTTAATACCATAGGCATTCTCTAACAGTCTACCTTAGGGGAGTGCAGAGATATATATAACATATATAATATTTATAGATACAAATACTCGTACTTAAATAAATACATATACATAAATATACTTATACATATCAAAAATATATACATATAAAAACATATATAAACAAATATTGTCAATTAGATGACTCTGCTAACTCTCTGAGAAACAGTTTTCGAACCTTCGTCTTAAACGCTTCACGTGTAGTCAAATATATTTTTTCAGTCTCATTCAATTCACTATACTAAAGATAATTCTGATATAATTTTAGTTTGACTAATGTCGCAACGGAAGGAAGGAAGCAATAACACTCGTTATTGATGCCATATCTAACTTGTTTCCAAGTTCGGATGGTCATCGCTTTCGCGGACAAACAGCCTTTACCTCGTTACCTCGCGCACATCCGATTTCCTCCAACGCCGAACCAGAAGTTATTATGTAAAGTACATTCATATAACAAGAACAAAATTCATTCGCAAATGTGATTTTTTTTTTATTGCTTAGATTGGTGGACGAGCTCACAGCCCACCTGGTGTTAAGTGGTTACTGGAGCCCATAGACATCCAAACGTAAATACGCCACCCACCTTGAGATATAAGTTCTAAGGTCTCAGTATAGTTACAACGACTGCCCCACCCTTCAAACCGAAACGCATTACTGCTTCACGGCAGAAATAAGCGGGGTGGTGGTACCTACCCGTGCGGACTCACAAGAGGTCCTACCACCAGTAAAAATTATTATTTTAATATGGACTTATGGACTTTATAGTTTATTGCTTTACATAGACAGGAGCTTATTAACTCACGGTGCACCTAGTTTTATTTTACCTTGAAATACAAAGCCAAAGTATCAATTGTTGTATCTTCCAATCAGAATGTTCCAAATGTTCCAATCAGATCTTCCACTTTGAACGACCCGCCATTTTAACAGTTGTCACGAGTCAAGCTGTCTATTTGACAGTTGACAAACAAAAATCCAAATTACGCCATTAATAAAAATGGAACGTTATACCTCGTATTGGTTGGCCTTATAAATATAAAGATTGCCCGACCCTTCAAACCAGAACTAAAGATTGTACTGTTAACGTTTTTTCACTTTATTAAACACAATTTGTCTAGCCAACTATTCTTTATTTATTAACTTATATTATATTTATATATTTATATATTAACTTCGCCATTTTATCGTCATCACTTAAAAGTCAGTATTCGTTAAATGAGCTATTCAAAACTGCGTATAGAGGCTATAGTCAAAGTATTCAAGCTCTTGAATGAAATTAATCAACCGAAAATTTAGCTACGACTAGTTCATCATATTAAAACAATTCATCGATGTGTAAATGGTGTTACTCCAGCATTGCCTTCCAATTCATTCCCTTTAAATTGTTCAAAATAAAACAAAGAAAATAAATGTATTATGAGGAGATAATTGAAAACCGAAATAATTGTTAGCATTTACAGCCATATTTTTTATACTAATCGAATCAAAATTCGATTACAATCACCACAAGGATCATTTTATGTTTTACATTTTCTCTTTGCTTTTGCTATAGATCTTTTTTCTTGTTAAAGCGGGAAATAAAAACTATTTAAAAAAATTCTCAACTGATAATATTAACGCTCATCAATCGTTAGGTACCTACTGAAGTCAATCAACAAATAGAGAAGTCCATACTGTTTTTTTTTTTGTCTATTTAAATAAATATTTTATTTTATTATAGGTCCAACAGTGAACGTGCTTTCCTTGCAAACAACACCCCCGCCTCCTCCACCGCCGCCTTCGAGACCAGCCTCCGTATTCACAAACCCGCCACCGCCGGTGATGTCCACGTCACCACGACCTGTTGTTCTTAATAGGTATTTATTAAACAACCTTTTTATTTATTAAAGAAGATAGACCGACGTGTTCTCAGAGGGAAACGCAAATGAAGTTGAAAGTACGATAACACTACATATTATATACATACATAACTTCGAGACTTTTTCAAAACATGCTTTCAATAATGACCTGCTAGGTGGTGCCGTAGTTAGCAGCTGTGACTGTTGCGCCAAAGGTCATGAGTTCGATACCCATATCGGGCAAACATTGGACAGGTTTGTTTGCTCCTAGTCTGGGTGTTATCTATATATGTATATATTTAAACACATATAAGTATGTTTATCAATCTCTGGTACCTTGTACCCCAATCTGTGGTGTAACACAGGGAATCCTAAATTAGGGCCGGAAAACCGTGCATGATTTACTAACAGTTTTTTTTTTAAAGTGGTGTTAAGTAGTTACTAGAGCCCATAGACATCTACAACGTAAATACGCCACCCACCTTGAGATATAAGTTCTAAGGTCTCAAGTATAGTTACAAATTGTTGTTTTTTATTTTTTTTAAACGATAACAATTACCTGGCTAATAAATGATGATAGCTGCTGATTTTGCATTTGAATTACCACATTTTGATTCGTAATTAACAGATTCCTCATACGTACTAGAAAAACTGGTACCGCAATTTTTTATTTTGTTTTAAATTTTATGGTTTATTGGATGCAATATCGGCGTATCTTTTGAATGTATAGATTATAAAAGTAATAATTAGATATTGTTGAGTATAACTAAGTTAAATTATTTTTATTTTGATTAATAATAGACCCGCAAAAAAATAAAATTACATATATTGATTACAATATTGTACGTATAATAATTAAAGAGATATTTTCTAGAATGAACGAAGTATCCACGATCTTTGTTCAATTTTAAAACGTAAATTTTAGAAAAGCAAAAAGTTCTGATCGTAATTTGGCATTTCCTAAAGTTAATATCGAGTTTTGATTCGTATAAAGATTGAACTGCAGATTAAAGCAAAAAGTGTATAATTATTACGAAAATAATCATAAAAATGTTAATTGGTTTTCAAGGAAAACAACAAACGGTGCCTATAACTACAGATGCAAATAATTAGCAGGAAAAAAAAACTTGAAAAGTGAAAACCGTAACGAATACACTATCGAGAAACTTCGACTAATGTGTACAACGTCTTTTAAACTCTCTCTCTCTCGTTCTCTCTCTCTCTCTCCCTCTCTCTCTCCCTCTCTCTCTCCCTCTCTCTCTCCCTCTCTCTGTCCCTCTCTCTCTCCTACTTCAATATTTCAAAGTGTGTGCGTTTAAAAGAAAACAACCGACTTGTTATTTCTGGAACATAGATTACCTAGTCCACATATTGTTTTAGCGAGAACAGTAATTAGGGCTAGAGAAATCGCAGCTCTAACGAAAGGTTATGGAATAAGCCTTAATGGTTATTAAATAAGCCCCATAATCTTTCATAATCATAGAGAGTGATTAAACAATTTTAATCATTCTCTATTATCGAGCTCGTTAGTAAGTTAATGGTAGACTTATTTACTACTTAGACTACTTACATAGATTTATCGGTAGTATTGATAGCTCGCACTTCTATTCTATCTACCGTCTGTAAACGTATCCAGCGATCCGACTGTGCCAGTGTTCAAATCCCGCTGGATGTGTCAATTTTTTTATGAAATACAAGCTTAGCATGTGTTCACGTACTTACGACATCCTTGACCATAGACGGAAAATTTATAAATTTGTTTAATCACTGGTTGATGTCCATCGCCATAAGCCCGTATGTGTAGGTATCCACCATCCAGCCTATTCCTACTTTTAGTTTGATGGCTGTACCTTACCCAACCCTTACCCGATTCAATCAGACAGCTCGACGAGAAAGACTCGACACATGTCACAAGGTAAAAAGCGGCTTAGCGTTGTTTGTCTATTACCTCTCGTAACGTCTTAACACAAGGACTATGGAGATTATTAATTTTCATACATCGCACATATTCGATTGTGCTATTTAAGGGCGTTTTAAACACGTTACATTAATTTAATTACCTAAATAATTTTAATTTAATATATTTTGTCGGGCGAAAACCGACAATTTCAATGTTTAACCTCAGATCGGGGTCGCATGGTGTGTGGGTGTGGAAGGTTTTACCAAAACCGGCGGTTCTGTACAAAAAATAAAACAAAATCAACTATGCCATTGACCTTTAGACGTATTTAATATGCAACTATCATAAACAGTTGTTAAAATAAAATATAAAGATTCGTTCATAACGCAGTCACTCAACCGAGTAATTTGAAATAAATGAGGAATTTCTATTTGTTTCTTCTATGTTGTGAATTTAATGGGTAAAATGTGCTTATCAAAAGCAAATTCACGCATCAATCACACAGAAATTATGTAGGACCCAGGAAAGAACGACAAAATAATGTCAGAAGAACCAGTCATGGTCCTCGTCGAACTCCTTGATTACGTCGATATGTTAGTAGTTAAAAGGCCGAACTCTTTTTAAAAAAGGATTTATTCGACACTACAAAATATTTATAATGAATAACTAATTATAATAAAAGAATTTGGAGATAGTGAGGAAAATTGGTAAACGTCTCACTTCAATGAAGATCTGACCCGAACTGAGACTAGTATGTTCACATGAAATCATTGTAAGAGGGGTTTATGATGAGTAAGGTGTTTGGTAAGCATTAGTCTATACAGGCTAGGAATATAATAGATTGAACTTACCAATAGACATACACAGCCCACTGAGTTTCTGAGTTTGCCAGATTTTTTTAGTAGGTCGCGATTCCGATTCGGTGCTGGATTTAGCGAAGTACCTACTGCTCTCGCTAGGGCTAGTGTTAGCAAATTCTCTTAGGTTGAGATCGCGAGCCCGGCCGTACGTAGCCTCTTAGGCTACCAGCGAATAAGTAGGAAAAAAAAGAATAGTTTGAATCAGTCGAGATTTAGTTGAATGCCATTAGCCGGTTTACCTATAAAAAAGGTAACGCACTCAAAATAAACAAAGACGAATTGAGACCCTAATCTCTTTTTTTAAGTCGGTTAAAAATTAATTTGCAGCATATAATAAGGCAAGCATATTTTAAAATCGCTTTAGGAAGTTACTTCGATCGGAAGATTAGGACAAAAATATCTGTCCGGGTATATGGTGATGGTTTGATGCGTCGATCTGTTTCGTAGCGCAGAACAAAAGTTTGGTAAAAACGCATTTTAGACTTGAAATGTTATAAGATGGGCAAAGGTAGCTCTATGGTGTCTATGGGTCCAGGATATGGCTTAATGCCAAGGGCCTTGACCTAGTCTTTGTTAATTTGCATTTCATAACATCATAAATGTGAAAGTTTGAATTTTTAAGTGTTTTACGGGTAGTCAACGTACATATCAATGCTTAATTTAAAAAAAACAATAATTATACAAGTTGTATTTGAAGCGAACCAGCAATCTAAAAGACAATACACTTACAATTAAATTCAAAAAATATATTCATGAAGATCTTCGATCAATAATTGAAGATGAAAGAACGTAATTTTTGCATGTCCCAATTTTTGGCGGTCTTTTTGTCTCTCCACCACAGAGTATAATGACACCCTGTGTAGTGAATGTTGCCGGTGGCTGTAAGTAATTACTAAATTAAATACTTAGTAAATTAATTACTTAAATAGATTTATCTATTCCGTGGTATTATATTTTACTCAATTACGCAAAAACCGTTTAACGAATTTCAATGAAATTTATCACAATGCTTATAACCTGAATTAAAAACACACGGGATACTTTTTAATATATATTACGTGACCCGGACAACGTTAGATATATTTTGTATGATAAATACGTTAGTGTATTCGTGTTATAGTTAGTTATACGTACCAACAGATTTGCATATAGACTGATATTTTATGGATCTAGAAAGTGACGGGAGCAATTACTTATCCCGGGAAATACGCTGGCATAATCCTCTAAGTTACCAGGCTATGGAGGAAAAAAAATCTAGGGAAAAGGAAACGTTTTTCATGTTTATTAAACTGTAGGGCGCATCTTTTTTTTTTTTATTGCCTTTGTAGGCAGACGGGCATACGGCCCACCTGATGGTGAGTGGTTACCGTCGCCTATGGACTTCAGCAATGCCAGGGGCAGAGCCAAGCCGCTGCCTACCGCTTAATACTCTCCACAAGCCTCGTTTGAAGAAGGACATGTCATAGCGCTCGGGAAACACCGTGGAGGGGAGCTCATTCCATAGCCGGATGGTACGTGGCAAAAAAGATCTCTGGAAACGCACTGTGGATGACCGCAGTGGCTCCAGGTAGTATGGATGAACTCTACTCCGGCATCTAGTAATTTAAAAATGTAATCGGTGAACCACTCAGCTAAAACGAAAACGTCATTCAACGCTCTGATGGCGAGAACTAGTTACTAGAACAATCATTAACAATTTAATGAATACTAAAATAAAATCGGTTTTTGCAGAGGAAAACCCAAAAAAAAATTAATGTCCATTTTTTTTAGGAACTAATTAAAACTAATAGGCTCTTATTAATAGTCCGCACGATGAGTATCAATCAACGTAGGTAATTAAGTTTTAAACTAGTATTTTACGATTCCAGATTCGGAGGTGACGGAGAACTAATGGTGGGCAGCTCTTTGCCGGGCGTCGCTACAACCAAACCTTTAACGGAAACCACAATGAAGCCAACGACAACGAAGTCGACCACGAACATGAGACCGGCTTTCCCTACTAGGTAAATATAATCTGTACCTATCTATTATTTCCGTATTTACACGTTCCTTTGCTACATCTTGGAGATGTATCGAAAAAAAAAAAATGTGTGCGTGTACTAGTGTACACACGTAAGAAGTGAAACATTAATGCTATCCCTACTCCGTTGGAGAAAGTGAAAGTACTCTTCGTCTGAACCAACCGTGGTAGGGGCAAGAAAAAGATGGCGCGTAACGGAAAAATGTGACGCGTAACCGAAAAACGTGACGGTAAATTTTTTTCCAACGCCGATAAGGAAGTTTCACTTCAAAAAATGATTGTCATTTTTCACTCGGGAAACTTATTCTATCGACTTCTTTTTATAATTTTTTTCTCAGTATAGCAATTGGCTTCTTGCGATGCCATTCTTGCCGGTATCGAGATTATAATAATCTACAAGCATCATATTATAAGTGTATGCATGAAAAATGAAGCAAAATGAAATAAAAATCCATTTAATTGAAAATTTAATCCATTGAAAATCAATGAAATGGACCGAAACACGATAAGATAAGATGAAATGGAATAACGTCCTAGTAAAATGGTGAGTATTTAATGTTTCTACTGTGGACTTTTTGGAAGAACCCCAGAAGCATGTCCAGCGATTTTTTCACTTTCCCACACTTGGTTAATGTTACACTAAAGATTAATAAGCGACCATTATTAAACGTTTAAATCTGAATAAATACTAAATTAACAAATAAAACAGATTACACAACTTCGCCATTCGCGTTCCCTGCAAAAAGTTATAATATATTTTTTTCCTACCTAAACTGATGGCCTTAGGAGGTCATTTCAGCGTAACCGTAAAAAGTAGGTGAGCTCACGGGGCTCAAACCTGACGACGTTGCTAACACTAGCCCTAGCAAGAGCAGTTCTTCGCAGAATCTACCACCGGATCGGAAACGCGACCCACTGAAAAGATCCGGCGTGAAACTAAGTGGGCTGTGTCTATGGGTTAATTTACTCGTCGAGCCCTGCGTCGCAAGCGACGGGTTGGTTGATGATGACCGGTGCTTGAGGTATAACCTAAAAGCACCATTAGTGGCTCGGGAGGATCCGAAATGACATGTTTTGGGCGACGTCGACTGTTTACCATTCTGTCCGCAGGATCGGGAATGTAGTTTCCGGCGGCCACGATGAGAGAATTCTCGTGTCGTGACGCTTTTTCGAAATGGCCCATTGATGCCGATTGTAGATATTTACTGATGGACTCTAGGCCCATGTCATTGTGGAGGTCCACGTTTCTGAAGTACCACGGGGCTCCGACGGCTATCCTGCAAAAACGGGATTATATGATTTGGAGGGGTTTCAAGTTAGTGCGGGCCGCGTGAGCGAACAGTACACTTGCATAAGTCATAACGAGGCGTATGCAAGCTTTGTAGAGTTTCACCTTATTACGAAGGGACAATTTACTTCACTTGCAAATCATCGGATAGAGTTATAGTGTTATAATTCAATGGTCTTTAATAGATTAGGTTATACCACAGAATACACCTATACGTTACCGCTGTAGTACACAGATTAACCAATCAATGCCCAGCTGATGCTCAGATGATGATAGAATTGTGGTATGACGTTTTAGGAACGCCGCTTATAAATTTCAAACTATTCCGCACTCATGGCATACATTTGTCGTTTTTAATTATACATTATTATAAGCATCAAAAAATAATATTTAAGAACTACAAATAGAGCCGCATCCTAAAATCGTAACTGTCTGTTTTATTCTAACGCAAGGCTCAAAACATAAAGGCTTCGCGTATTTATGATAGAGAACTCTGAATATTGTTGATAAATAGCTCGCAATAAAACTGCTTTTTCAAAATTTCTCTGGATAAAAACAATTGTCTGGAAAAGATCGCTTTTGGCGATAAAACCGCCTATTGTATGTTGAATGTTTTTTCATTGTTAATTTTTTTTGTGCAATAAATTACTCTCTCTCTCACACACACACAATCGTTTTCGAAAATTTCATAAAATGCCTTATCAAAGAACCATTGTTACTGAAGAACCGTTGTTAAAAAAATTCTCAGTTACTATTGTTTTGAAATAAATCATCAATAAGTTATTTTAAGAAAAAGATGATTTATTTGATTAAATGGAAAATAATGTAGGACGCTTCCAAAATTTTAATGTAACCGCACGCTCGATTGAATAAGGAATACTAAAAAATATGGCGGGTAAATACTCATTCGTTAAATAAACTATTGCTTAGATACAGCAGAAACGCGAACAAGTTATCATTTTTTTTGTTGCGTTTAATTTCGGTAAAACAGAAAAAATGTAGATAGAACAATTAATTTTGTTTTGTTGTTACGAATTACGATAAATCCAAAGGCCTGCTCCGCTATAACACTCGAACATTTAAATACAACGGATGTTATTAGATGAGTAAAAACCTTAAAGTTCAGGCTGCCATATCTTCTTCTATATCGTTCCCTCATTGTTGAGGATCGCGACCACATGTGACGTTCTTCTACTGTGTTCGATCATGGGTAGCATGGACCGCATGATACAGACTATCACCAAGTGCTAATATCTGACCATCTGGCTAGTGTTCTGCCCACGGCGCGCTTGCCATCTATGCGACCTGCAATGATGAGCTTCTCTAATTCATTTCTGGGAGACCGCATGATGTGTGTCCGAAGAAGCCCATAATGCTGCCATATATGTGAACTCAATCAAAGCAAACCAACCCTTAGTTTTGACCGGAGGTCTCAATTGATGCTTAGCGACGGAATTTTCATCATTCGACCTAAGAGATATTTTTCCCGAAGTCGTAACAGTTATCTTTATCTTTGTCCCATTACCAGAAATCACGACACGCCGAAAGCAAATTTATTTTGGTTGCAAAAATAGATTTTTCATATAATATTTAATTTTCTGTTCTCGTAAAAAAGGTTACTAAGACGATAGGAGTTGACAGAACATTCGCTTTTATTCGATTCTGTGTTCTAGTTTTAAAATATTCCAATTAATTCCACTATGACAGAAACTCGGAACATACTTGAGAGTGCATAAGTTGATTCGGAGTAAAAACAAGTCGTGTCGTAAAGAAACACGTTTTTAACAACAGTTTTACTTTTATTGAGTAATATTACGCTGATTCCCACGAAAGCATGCATGGTTCGATGTTTTTACAGCTTGCAACACAAGTCTAGCCCTCAGCCAAGGACAATCTATAGACCTCATTTGTTATCGTTTGTCTTGCTCGCGTTTATGGGGAAAGCTTAGAGCGAAAAAGGAAGGAAAACGAGCAAAGGCATCCGTGTGAAGGTCTATCGCTCAAGTTGTGTTGCGAATTGCAAATACCAACATGTCGGCATGTCTCGCTTGAAATCAACCATTGATAATGTATAATTATATTTCAATGCGTTCGTGATTACATTGACTTATTGAAGAAATAATTAATTTGATATTTAGATTCAAGTCTAAGTAGTTGGTAATTTTTTTTAAATAATAAAAATTTTCATCGCCTCGCCATCCACTTAAAAAACGACTCGATATTTTTAAGTTCCGCAAAGAATCGCAGGTATAAATTAATTTCAAAGATTTTTTTTACATCAATTCATTCAGCACCCATACATCGAGTTTCGTTTTGAGACCAGCCTAATGCAAATGGCTTCAAATTTCCAGCGACTCTTTTCCATTTTCGACAACTGGGCTATCAGAGCGTGTCGTATCTTTGATCTCCTTCCAGAAAGTAATTGCTTTGCTGTTGCATTTGATACTGTACTCCACACAAGAGAATTTTTCGGTGCCTGGTTCCCGCTATTGATCTTGGTCCTGCGTCTAGGCACGGCCCTAGCCCACACGGCTAGGTTTTGTCTATTCCCTATCACGAAAGTCGGTGGCTGGCTTCAGTATCTATGGGCTCCAAATATTGAATTGAATTCCGATTCACTGAATACCAAGATTACTTTTTTTTTCCATATTTTCCAGAACTTTTTTACCTAACTTTAAAAATCGTAATGAACTAACTATCCGGCTTACAGAGCCGCATCGGGTTTTCCTCGAAATAATAGACAAAAAAATAAAATTGCATTACGCAATTAAATCGAATTAAGTTTATTATACAAAATTACTCTGTTATTACTTAATGCTTATTTTTATTTGCGGTTATGAGATCAACTACTTTGTTTATTTTTGTACGAATTTAAAAATAGCCCACCTTTAGTGGTTAGCGCATATTTAAAAAAAAAAACGATTTATAAGTTCAATTAACGATTTTTCATTCGGACGATTCTGAAATGTAATAAAATATAACGAAGCGTGTTTAATTGAGCTTTTTTTTTGTATTGTTCAATCACGACTCTAATGAGTAGTATTTTGTTGGTTCAAAATAGAAGCGAATTTGGGTTTTTCAAGAGAAAAAAAAGACGGCTCAGGGATTTCCTTGTGATCAAAACTGACGCTTGAAGGGTGGGGCAGCCGTTGTAGCTATACTGAGACTTTAGAACTTATATCTCAAGGTGGGTGGCGCATTTACGTTGTAGATGTCTATGGTCTCCAGTAACCACTTAACACCAGGTGGGCTGTACGCTCGTCCACCCATCTACCCAATAAATAACAATAAAAAAAGACCCGAGCTCTAAATCTTAGTTTTTACAATACAACGGTCGCTCGATCTTTCAAACCGAAACGCATTACTGCTTCACGGCAGATTTAGGCGAAGCAGTGGTATCTACGTCTGCTGGCTGAAAAAACACTACAAACTGAACAATTCATAAATTGTTTTTCTCTTTCAGACCATCGCCCTCGACCTGGTCTAGTGCAGGGTCCAACGTTTTCCCGACTCGGTTCACGTTGCGACCGTCGGGGATCGATCTATCGCCGCCGTACTCAACCGCCATCACGCTCATCGATCAAATCGGATACAAAATCATTCGGACGACCGAACTAGTCACCGACTTGTTGAGGGACACCGTGCGGGCCGTTGTTGGGTAGGGATAGTTCTAGAAGCATCGAACCGACAGTGCGACATGTTGATATGACATTAAGACTTTAAACAATTTTGACATTTTGTTTTTGAAGTGAAACTTCTTTAGTAGAGTTAAGAGTTGATATGACATTATGACTTTAAAGAATTTTGACTTTTTCTTTTTGAAGTGAAACTTCTTTTGTCGCTTTGAGAGTAAAATTTAACACACGACAGATTCGTTACGGCTAGAGACAAAAGTGTGAGAGTGAGAAAAAAGACAGCGTCTCGCGAACCACTCGACCGTGGATAGAGGGAAAGGACAAAGGACAAACTATAATAGGTCGTTTGTCTTGTACACAGTTCTCTGTTACAAGAGAAATTTGATTAAAAAAATATGAAGAAAACCGCAATACTACACACCGCAAAAGAAGTTTCACTTCTTTCACGTGCACCAAGTTGCACGCGTACCATTTTGTTTTATAGTCACCATAGAAATATGCTTTTCATCTTTAACGCAATGAAACGGATAAATAATCGTCATTAAAATGCGAACATTCTCAGTTCTCAATTTGGTTCAAACAAAACAATTGATACTTCTGTTTTTTTCTGTAGCGTAAACGTGAAAGAGTCAAATCTTCATTAAATAATGGATTTAAGAGATAAAGATCCAAAAATGTTTGCTCAAATTCGATTCGTGAATGTGTATCGTTAGCTCCGAATACTTAAGTTGTCGTGGCCTAAAGGATAAGACGGCCGATGTATTCGTACCGAGTGATGCGACTGACCCGGTGTTCGAATCCCGCCGTCATAATTTTTTTTCTAAAAAAGTGCGTACATATTACGTATTCACGAACGATTTTCACGACAAAGATATAATGTCGTTTAGCAAAACTTAAATCCGCTTAACTTATAAATTTGCGTAATTACCTACTGATATCAGGGCGTATTTTAGGCTCGCACTTTAACCGCGTGTCTTGAGGTCGCTAACGGCATACTCATAGGCTCCGCTAGCTACCTTTTAGGTGGGTCACCTATGCTGTAATGTATAATTAGAGAATTCGTAGAATAAAATTAGAATATTGTAGAACTACAAACATGAATGTAAATAAGAAAAACTTTTTTTTTACATTACCGAAAAACCTAATCACTAAATTTAAAATAAAAAATAGTTTAAAAAAACTAACAAAATACGCTTTTAAAGAAAAACCAACTAAAAAATAGAAAATAAATTTTATAATTTTTGAATTAAAAATAGTGTAAGAAATAATGATTTTATTGTAAAAAAAAAACGCTCTTCAGAATATTATCAAAATATAAGTGCAAGGCCTCAGTAGTTATATTTATTAAATATAACTACTGAGGCCTTGCACTCCACGCTTTTTTTTACAATAAAATTATTTTTTCTTACACTATTTTTAATTCAAAATTAAAATTTATTTTCTATTTTTTAGTTGGATTTTCTAGAAAGGCGTATTTTGTTAGTTTTTTTAAACTATTGTTTATTTTTAATTTTTTTGTTTAATTTCAATTTTTTCATCTTTTTAATGTTGAATTGTCATCGGTCCTTTATAAGTATACCAAAGGGGATTGCCCACTCTCCATAGTGTGCTAGGCCCAAGATGGACATCAAATATTACTATAAAAATGTACTGATTCAAATTCTTAAATGTATTGGATATCTAAAAAATATATTGAAATTGACGCCACTATTATAAAAAATATAATAAAAATAAAAACTCGTTTTGAGGTTAATTTTCTATATAAATAAGTGGCTGATTGTGAGATACTTCAAGAACTTTTCTTTTCTTAATGTTTAAGATGTTCCTAATGTATTTTTATCCAATAGGGTATAAAAACACACTTAATTCTTTAAATATCTATATTTTCTTCATCTTCATACACAATTAGTATCATCTAAAAATAGCAAAGGAGAGCATATACACGGTTTTAAATCTCGGTCAGGGTAAAACCACAATTNACACCGTGGAGGGGAGCTCATTCCATAGCCGGATGGTACGTGGCAAAAAAGACCTCTGGAAACGCACTGTGGATGACCGCAGTGGCTCCAGGTAGTATGGATGAACTCTACTCCGGTGGCGGGCGGTGCGATGGTAAAAACGAGATGCCGGTATCATCTCGAACAATTCCTCAGAGCACTCCCCATGGAACATACGGTACAAAACACAGAGGGAACCGAAGTCCCTCCGCAGACCCAGAGGCTCCAAACGATCATTATTGTTATGTATATATGTTCATTATTGTTCATAAAATATTTATAACTACTGATAACCAAGCACCCCACGCTTTTTTACAATATAATCATTTTTTCTTACACTATTTTTAATTCCAAATTAAAGTTTATTTTCTATTTTTTAGTTGAATTTTCTATAAAAGCTTATTTTGTTAGTTTTTTTTTTAAACTATTATTAATTTTTCATTTTTTAGTTGAATTTAAATTGTTTTTTTTTATTATCTGATTTTTTGAATTGAATATTGAATTGTCATCGGTCTTTAATAAGTATACCAAATTTCGATCGTTTTGAAGGGGGTCAAAATCATGTTCAAAGATTTCGTAACAAACGTACATACATACGTTTGAAGCTAATAAAAGCGTCTTAAAAAATGTTACTGCAATCAATGGAAACGTCAACTGTTAATTTATTCAGAATTATTATTGTGAACGAAACTTTTAACAAAATATGCGATAGTGATATATATAAAGTCAAATATACGGATAATTTGTTTTTTTTGAGATTTTGTTTTTGAGATATTTCTTATTTTAAATAATTATTTCAAACTTAGGTACTCTTATTTACATAATTTACATATTGTAAGTGTTAAATTATTTATGTTAAGCTATGTTAGATTATTAGTATAATTTATACATGAAAGATGTCGCCAGTCGCTTTATTTAAATAAAAACTTTTTGTATGGTATATCGTTTGATTTTACAGTTACCTATTAATTCGGTTATGATTTACTATATGACACCAAAACTTTTATGAAGCCTTAATTAACTAGATCTGTCTATATATTATTTATATAACGCTATATTTCAACGTAATTTTCACCAATCTAGAAACTAAGGACCGATGGTGATACAATAACTTGTTTCCCTAGACACGTCCTTGCGGATCCATTGCATTAGACGCCTTCAGCTCTAACACTAGGAGCAGACTGGGGACCCTGTTAACCGTACTCGTCGACTCAAAAAAGAGTTCGACGTGCAACCTAACCCATGCATCAGCCTGCTAAGTTTATCGCCGGATCTTCTCAGTGGGTCGCGATTCCGATCCGGTAGTAGATTCATTCGCGAATCAGCTGTTTTTAAGTTGTTAGGTCTCCTTCGGAGGCGCTCGGGTTAGTTCAGCTTAGCGCTCTGCTGTTAGCAAATCCCGCTGAGCTGAGCCCTTGCTCACCCACTTGTCCTGGTGAAACTGGGAAGGCCTTCGGGCTACCAGTAATCCCTCAATCATAAAAACAAAAAAACCTATACCCCCAATAAAAAAAAAGAAATGCCTGAACATAAACAGTGAGCAATCTTTTTACGGAATTCGGTTGTAAAAATTTGTAATAATAACGATTGTAAAGGAGCATTGGTAGACCACCGTGAAACTTATAATATTATATAATTTAATTTTTATCAGGTTGAAGTGATATTTTTCTAAAAACCTATATTTACAGGGATTGATCCATACTGTTAGATTTCACTGTAGCGCCTATTTTTGGCGCGAAGTGGTCATATCCGGTCCGGTTGAAAAATAAGACAGCTCGTATACAAAATACAAACTTCGACTTAAATCTCATGTCTCAAGGGTGGCGTATTTAGGCTGTAATATCTATGGGCTCCAGTTACCATTTTCCACCAGGCAGGCCATGAACTGCCTCACTTAGGTATATAAGCAGTTAAAAAAATACCACGGTAAATATTAGCCGAAACGATACGTCATTTTCAATCTTGGTTTCAAAAGTTCATGTCAACACAGTAAGTAAATTGATCTATTTATTAAATAAAACGACTGCACGACGAAAACCGCAAGTGAAAGTTTCATTGTTCGTAAAATCGACGCCGGCAAAAAGATATCAATAAACGTGGGTAAAAGTTGCTCCAGTTATTCTGGCCAGAAATCGAAAGTTGTTGTGTAATAACCTTCGGTAATATCTGAATAATACTGTCTCAAAACATTATCTAATGAATAAACACGCTCGTCGCAAAGACCGAAGAAGTCGACTGACGTACATACGACGATTATTGGTTATCCATGAACATATAGTGTTTAACTAACCAACTTAACCTTTTATGAAATCCTCTTCGGTTATAGGCGTCCTTGGGGTGGCGCCGCGAGTCTTGTTGTAATGTTCTTGTTGTAATACTCTGCATGGGTTTTGTCTTGGGCGAAAAAAACACATTCCCGATCCTGCGGACAGAATGGAAAGCAGTCGACGTCGCCCAAAACACGTCATCTCGGATCCTCCCGATCCACTAACGGTGCTTTTAGGTACTTCAAGCACTGGTCACCGTTCTCGTCGAACCCGTCGCTTGCGACGAAGGGCTCGACGAGTAAATTAACTCTCAGACACAGCCCACTGAGTTTCTCGCCGGATCTTCTCAGTGGGTCGCGTTTCCGATCCGGTGGTAGATTCTGCGAAGCACGGCTCTTGCTAGGGTTCGTGTTAGCAACATCGTCAGNCTTGCGACGAAGGGCTCGACGAGTAAATTAACTCTCAGACACAGCCCACTGAGTTTCTCGCCGGATCTTCTCAGTGGGTCGCGTTTCCGATCCGGTGGTAGATTCTGCGAAGCACGGCTCTTGCTAGGGTTCGTGTTAGCAACGTCATCAGGTTTGAGCCCCGTGAGCTCACCTACAAACGTTAGGGTTACGCTGAAATAGCCCCTACGGCTATCAGCTTAGGTAGGAAAAAAAACAGTTCGGAAAGTTCACTTGCGGCTATATTCAGACTCGCCAAGTTACGTCGGTCGTATTGTAATGAGCGATTTAGTGGGCAACTTCATTCTGTTAATTTCATGTCACGGTGCGCGCGCATCGTAAAATTTCACTCTCATCAATTTTTCTTAATGCGCCTAAAGAAGTATAACTTCAAAAGGCGATTGCATTCAATTTTCGGATGTTTGTAGTTCCAGAAACCAGTTAAAATTAGCCATAATGATCTAACGATTCCAGCATAGATGATGTACTTTTATAAAACTAGTTTTATGAATTCCCATTCGTAATTTGATTAAAACAGCCAAAGAAATAATATTTAGAAACCAAACTGAATTACTTAGGTGACGTAATGAAGAAGAGGAAAACTAAAATACAACTTTGGAAATACCTGATATTTAATACTATGCGTCAGTCATTAAATTTTTCCAATTAGGTACAATAAGTGTTCCGTTTAAATGTTCCATTTTTTAATAACATTATTTACATTTCCCAGGAAAATATTTTTTTGTTACGGTTGTTTACTACATACTTACTGTTTACGTCAGTTTGAGCCATTGAATCAAAATTTTTAAGAAATTTACAGCTACACAGTAGGTGCCTATGTCGTAGTTTGATTAGCTATATAGTTGAAAGGCTAATCCAATCTATACATATAAATAAAATTGGAGTATCTGTTTGTAATAGTGAAACAACCGCTTTTTACTATGCATATGAATATAATAAATACGGTACATAAGTACACCAAAATAACATTTTTTACAATTTTGTCTGTTTGTTCCGGCTAACCTCTGGAACGGCTGGACGTATTTTGACGGGACTTTCACTGATAGGTAGCTGATGATATAAGGAGTAACTTGGCTACTTTTTTTAGACTAGCTTCACCCCGCGGCGTCACCCGCGGTACGGCAATAACCGCGGGTAACATCGCGGGACTCAGCTAGTAATATATTAAAAAGTTTTTTTTTTAATTGTAATTCAAGGCAATCAGTAGCCTTGTACAAAACCTAATATTAATACTTATCATAATGCAACATAACAAATATTACATTATTGTCACATTTCTAAACATTTCAAACAAAAAAATATCATTTACAAAACCACAAATTCCATTATTGCATTCATTGATTTATTGAAACAAGTAAATCAAGTATTGTGTAACATATAAATATTTCAACTGTTGCTCTTCATCGTTCGCATTGATATTTTTTATATAAAAAATCTTAACTTTGCGTAAGTAGGACGCATTATAAGCCCCCATGGATAGGTATCATCTTCCTACCGCGTCATACATTTCGGTTTGTAGGGTGAGACAGCCGTTATACAATGCAATAGAGACATTGACCTCATATCTGAAAGTGAGTGACGACATTCACTTGGTAAAGTCTATGGAGCTCCAGTAACCAGATAGCGCGAGGCAAGCCCTAAACACATTTACATTCATTAAAATAAAATCTATTTCTATAAAAAAAAACCAAAAATCTTTGTTTTGAAACAAAAAAAACATTTTGGATCGATCGCAAGATATAAGCACTATTTACACTTTTCATCAATGTGTTTTACTTGACATGTCTAATAAAAATTTTGAAAGGATAGTTATTAAAAATATAATCACATAATTTTGTTATTTCATTGATGTCTTTCTTAGGTTTTATTAAAAAAAAATGAATTGATTAATTTTAAAGTAAACAAAGCAATAAAACTGGTGACACTCGTGACCTACAACCTATGTTGGTAGAATTAGAGATAAATAAACCACATTTCATGCATACAATTTTATTAACATACAAGGAATGATTATATTTTAGCCATAAAATGAAAATGAAACATTTTGGTTATTCAATTTATTGTCTAACACACATGATGTAAATTTTAATAATATTGTTTTGATTGTATATATTATGTATATTAAATTATGCTTAAACTTGCCTATACTTTCAATATAATACATCTCTACAATAAATTCAACGCTCAACAGAAAATAGTTACACAAAAACAACATTCAAATACAACTTAAAAATATGTATAAAACATTTTGTATTCTAATATCTGTTTAACTTAATATAAAATAAAGTTAATACAACCATTGTATTGAATTTTGTAATACAATTAACTAAGTAAATGTTATATCATTTTGAGATTTTTAAATATTGGTAAAAATTTACTCAATAATTAAGTCAGTAACATTATTTTTGGTGACAAGGGCAACTAAGCTGCCATTCGCTGGACGGCCTTCATCCTTCATCCACTTTGCAAATAACTCAGCCACAAAGGTCAGCGGAGTCCATGTACTGAAGTCCGCTTTTGGCATCCATTTTCTGTTCATTTCTGTATCCAATGTAACAGGCATTATAGCTACAGCTAATGAATTCTCTGGCAGACCAGAGTCCTTAGCACCCAGAGATTTTGTGAGTTGATGTACAGCGGCCTTTGCCATTCCGTAGCCGATCATTCCTGGGGTGGCTTCTAAGGCTGCTTTTGCACCAGTTAGAGCCAACAAACCACCAGTGTTTAAGTACTTAGCTGCCAATGTTGCTGCAATAGAGGAACTCCACACTGATTGACGCCACATCAAGTCCGCTTGTTTGCTGAGGTCCTTAGCGGCGTTTCCGCCAGCCCAGCCACCCGCAACGCATATAATAGCATTCACTTTCTGACCTTGTAGGGCGTTTCCAAGCTCGTTCACGACATGATCTTCCTGTTCAACCCATGAAGCGTCTTTGGGGACAGTAATGTTAAAATCGGCTTTTTCGTTGGGATTCAAATCAATGTTAGCGACCCAATAATTAATAGATTTAAAATGGTTCACGCAGGCAGCACCCAATGCCCCACGACCACCGTACACGACGATTCTACCGGTAGCCATTACAACGTCTTCTCTCGTTCACAACTTCGAACTGACTAAAAATCATAGAGTAAGATTATATATCAAACTGGACTGAAAAACCGGTAAGACATATGTGTGTGTAATTGTAAAGAACATTTAGCCGCTGGCCAGTGTGCACCGATCTGTCAATGGGGTTGGCCGGTTAAAGCTTTTCTCAGATGTCGCCAGCGTAGCTTGTTCCCTTGTCACAGAGAGCCGCCATTTTGTGTGTTTTGCGTTCGTGATATTTCGGCATTTTGTGACTTTGATACGGTTCTTATTACTTTCTAAGTAGTGCTAAACAGTTTTACAACATGTATTCCAACTGGATAGTTAAAGAATTAANGCTTTTCTCAGATGTCGCCAGCGTAGCTTGTTCCCTTGTCACAGAGAGCCGCCATTTTGTGTGTTTTGCGTTCGTGATATTTCGGCATTTTGTGACTTTGATACGGTTCTTATTACTTTCTAAGTAGTGCTAAACAGTTTTACAACATGTATTCCAACTGGATAGTTAAAGAATTAAAGGAGGAGTTGAGAAAACGTGGTGCATCTTTAAGAGGAAAAAAAGTGGATTTTGTCGAAAGGTACAATGTTGATGTTTTATTTTAACTTAGAAAACTTCTCTCAAACTGTTTCCGGTAGCTATTATAATAATTATATTAAATTGTGTACCTTAGGAACTTTATTCCTTGTAGCATGTGCAAAAAGAATTGCTCATATTACACACATTACCTACCAACTAATGTATTATTTTACTTTTTTCAGATTAGAGCTACATGACCAAAATTTTAATTTTGAAACAAAATGAAAAAATTGCTCTATTAAAATAAGCTAATATATGATTTGCTAGTGGAGCCATGTGGCATTTTCATTAGCCAAGAGCGCCCATATCTTGCTGCATCTCCTGATGGTGTGTTGGGCGAAGAAACTATAATTGAAGTGAAATGTCCATACGCTAGCAGAAAACATGAAATAAATATAACAACGGTGCCTTACTTAGAACAATGTAACGGGATATTGTCTCTAAAAAAAACCTGCCCATATTATTATCAAATCCAAGGGCAGTTATACTGCTCAGGCAAAACATACTGCAACTTGGTCATTTACACCTACAAGGACATCAAAGTGATTTATGTTGAAAAGGACAATAATTTTATAAATAATATGATAAATAAATTAGATATCTTTTATGAAAATATTTTCAAAGAAGCATTGTATGAAAAATATCTGTATTAAAACTATACACACTTATCGAAATAAAAAATCAGGAATATCTTTAATTATTTTTATTGACACTTCCTTCTCTAAAATTATATAACATTACACATATGAAATTAATCGTTCTATGTGAACCCTCTGACTAGCTAATTTTTGATCTATCTCTAACTGAGCACCTGGGATTTGTGATTTACCTTTTAAAAAAGATGGGACATTTATACTAATTCCTTTAGAGGCAAACAGATCCTGTATATTAAAACCTCTGTCTGCCATAATACTATCTCCAGAATCACAAATCTGCAGCAGCTTACTTCTTTCTACTATCTGTCGATCACTTGCAGAACCAGCGTAGCCGTTTGAAACATATGATAATAATCCCCCTGGTGAAGCTCCTACCAAAAATTTCAAGGTATTTTTATTTTTATAAGAACTAAATGACGCTTTTTGAGCATCGGGTTGACTAGGCTTCTGTATGCCTATTTTAGTCCCGTCTATAATCACCCTTGTGGAGGGATAATGTGTTCTAAAACAATTAGGCATATAATAATTTACTAAGCTGCGGCTAGGCCAAATGTCAATTAGGCTCTAGATATCACTGACAAAATTTATTCATGTTACAACAATATTAGACACTTCAGTTTTACTTACACCGAAAATTTTACTTAATTCAAAATCTGTTGTTTCTTCTAAGCTTAATTAGTAACAAAAAAAATTGATCTTCTATTGATATGCCGACCACTCTACTCCAGCGATACCTTATATCATTTGACATTGGCAAAAGTGTGATTAAAACGAATGAAAACTTAGATGCTGTTTCCAACCCGATGTAGTATTGCACTGTCTCATCGTCTGCAAGTAATAGCTCTGTAGAAAACAATCTTAATATATTGGATGTTTGAGTTCCAATAGTAATATGATGCCTTGTAATTGTTTCATCTATACTAGAGTTATTATTTTCTATTAGAATTTCTTGAGAGACATTTGAATCAAAATGCACATTGCTGTGTTCTTCAAGGGGTACTATATCTTCATAGTATTGGGAAGTGTTGGGCAGGCTAAAAAGCTATTTTTTAAGGTTACGAGTTTGTAACCTTTGTTCTCTACTTTTTGTTTCTTCAGAAACTGGTTTCATATTCCATGAAAATATAGATGGTACAGCACCTTTCTTCAGATATTTATGTTAATGTTTGACACCTACAACACAATGAAAAACATTTAAATATACTATCACAAGGAAACCTGACCATAGTTTCAAAATATTTGTTATTACAATGGATGCAGCGATTTAGATAGAACTTTCAATAGTAACAGCTGATAATGAACAACAGCTCATAAGGAATGTGTTTCCTCCAGTCTGATTTTGTGTTTGTTAAAAGGTTCCTTACAATATAAATCTACTTGCAAAATATGTTAGCAACTAATAGTGTGCCTAACTAATTATTATCGGATTTTTTTAATAAGAGAACAAAGATGTGTGCTACACTTAGTCATGATTATAAATATTTGACAGAAAGAAGCATACCTGTGTATTTACTAATGTTTTCATAGCCAGATTCCACAAAGTGTTTACGACATAACCTCGAACTTTTTGTGGGAATACTTTTTTCGCGTCAAATGGCCTTTAACCACAGTCTTCCAATTTTCTTGTCCTTCGGAATTGATGTACTCCAATTTCTGAGCATATTGGCACAAAACAACGCGTCATTGAGTTTAAAATAAATTTTAATCAAAAATTCCAATACAAATATTGAATGTTATGGGAACAATGCACAACAGCGCCACTTTGACAGTTGCCAACCCCATTCTGTGAAATTCTATCATTCTACCTGTTGCTAATAAATTTTTTTAAGAGATTTTATGACCTGGTAACTAAGACCTTTAAGTCATGTCTTATTTTACTTTATATTCATAATTTTATGAAAAATGATAATATGGAGTGAAATGAAATGAAGATGATTAATTTGAGACATTAATCAACTGGGATGAATTTAATGAAATGAGATGATATGGGATGAAATATAATCTCAGTAAAATGGTGGTCATTTACTGAGATTTTTTCAGTGGACTTTTTGGAGGAACCCGAGAAGTTACGTCCAGCAGCTTTGTTTCATTTTCCCACATTTGTGCACTTTCACAGATATTAAACAGTTAATAAACCACCATTATTACACATTTAAACCTGAAGAAACACTAAATAGACCGAATAAAACAAATCACACAACTTCACTCCTCGCGTTCCCGCCAAAAAGTCCTGTTGCTAATAAGTTCAAGCTTTCACCATAGATTATACACTTAATATTTGAGAGCTTTCACTGCATAAGGTCTGCGTATTTGACGACACTTGCAAATTTTAGTTTTATGTACCACATTTGCAGTACAATTCAGTACATATTCACATAATTACATTATAATAATATGCCAGTAGTACAAAATAAAACCTTTCAGTTTTTATTATTTTAAATACCTACTTAAAAAGGGTCGGACTTTCGTATGTACTTAAGAAAAACATTCTTTAAGTAAAAAAAGAAAGAAACCTTTAAATTCTAGAATTTGGGTTTATGAAAACCCGGATTTATTCGAGAATTAATTAATAAATTAATCAAATTCGGGAATTAATTCGGGTTTATGAATGGTATGAACCGTTTGAATGCTGAATTGAGTACATAAAGGGTTTCTTTAAAAAATTGTATTGTGTACTCGAATTTACTCGATTATTCGGAAGAAAATATACTTTTCAGCTGGTTTTTGTTTTAGCACAAGAAGGCTGAAATAGATGTCACTAGAATCTATTCTTATATTCTTCTATATTTTCGTTTTCTATATTATTCTACATTCTTCTATTATTCTTCCAAAGATTTCACTAAAAAGTCTTTAAAAAAACTTTGTAAATACATTGAGACTTTATTTCATCCCATCTATCTCGTTTCATTAAAGTTCATCCCAATTGACATAAATCAACTTTACTGCATTTCACATACGTTTTTCATAATATTTTAAAATTACAGAATCCACAAAAAAATAAGATTTTACTTAAAAGTCAAGTTACCAGGCCTTAATACATTAAAAAAACTACAAGTTGATATTATTTTTTTTAAGGGATTTTATGACCTGGTAACTACGACCTTTTAGTCATGTCTTATTTTAATTTATATTCTTAATTTTATGAAATTGGTATTAAGGAGTGAAATGAAATGAAATCAAGACGATTAATTTGAAACATTAATTAACTGGGATGAAATGAAATGAAATGAGATGAGATGATATGGGATGAAATATAAACTTAGTAAAATGGTGGTCATTTACTAAGATTTTTTCAGTGGGCTTTTTGGAGGATCCCGAGAAGTTACATCTAGCGGCTTTGTTTCATTTTCCCACGTCCTTTTTCACAGATATTAAATAATTAATAAATCACAGTTATTACACATTTAAATCTGACGAAACATCAAATAGACAAAATAAAACAAATCACAAAACTTTACTCCTCGCGTTCCCCTGCCAAAAAGTCCTACAAAATGAAAGAAAGCTTCAATTGCCAACATAGATAATAAATACACTTTACGTAGTAACCAATATAATAATCTGTGATAACACTTATCCATAGATTATACACTTAATATATTTGAGACACTTATCACTACATAGTTTATACAAAGTCGCTTTCTCTGTCTCTATACCCCTTTATATGCTTAAATCTTTAAAACTACGCAACGGATTTTGATGCGGTTTTTTTTAATAGATAGAGTAATTGAAGAGGAAGGTTTATATGTATAATAACATTAATTAAATAGTGGAGAAATCAATAATAAATTACAGTTTCCGAAGCGAAGTGAGGCGGGTCGCTAGTAGATGATACATATAACATTTTAGATTTAATTTTTCATTATAGATGAATACTTATTAATAATTTTTTTTATTACGAATTAAAACTTAATGTTCCATACAATCTACGTAAACACTATTAGTAATAAAGTTTATTTAACTAAACTTGATCATAGAATGATGTAAAATGAAATGAGAATAAATGAATTTCTTTTTTGTTGCTTAGGTGCGTGGACAATCTCATGGCCCACCTGATGTTAAGTGGTTACGGGAGCACATAGACATCTACAACGTAAATGCCGCCACCTACCTTGAGATGCGAGTTTTAAGGTTTCAGTTTTAACAGTACAACGGCTGCCCTACCCTTCAAACCGAAACGCATGACTGCTCCACGGCAGAAATAGGCAGGGTGGTGGTACCTACCCGTGCGGACACGCAAGACGTCCAGTAATTACACAAATTATAATTTTGCGGATTTCATTTTTATAACTCGATGTTATTTCTTCACCGTGGAAGTCTATCGTGAGCATTTGTTAGCTACGTATTTAATTAGAAAAATTGGTACTTGTCTGCGGGATACGAACACCGTTGCATCGCAAGATACGAATGCACCGGACGTGCATTATCCTTTAGGCCACGACGACTTCAACTTACTGTCATTTCAATAACTTTTTGGAAGAACCTAAGAACGATTTTCGTAGATGCTAAGCGGATATCAAGCCTCTACTATTTTACATTTAAATCATAAGGAACCAAAGCTGAATAAAATATTTAATTTTACCTTAATTTTTCGTGTTTCAGTCAAAAAGTCTTTGCTGTGACTTAGCATTGTCTTCATATGAGTATCAGCATTATTTAAATACCTTGGTAGGTTTTATAATCTCAACAAATCACGTAGAGGTCATCATTTGTATTTATTTGATAATGGGGGTTTTAGATAATGAAAAGTCTTAGTAAAAAATGAAACAGTTTATTGCCAAGTAGGTTAAAACCAACAGAATTTAAATACATATGTACTCTTACTTGATTAATACAGTAATTGAATAAAGTAATATGATCAAATAATAATTAATGAATATTAATAAACTTAATAGTTACTATTATTAAATTACCGCTCCGTACGGGGTATACTTCACTCTAAATACAAAAGTTTCACCATTGACGCTTGATACGTAAACATTATAATAATCGCAACGGATAAATTGTTTACCAATGTAAGTAACACTGCAACACAATAGCAGTGTGGATTCCATGATCTCGCTAAACTCTAGGTGTATCTAACCTTAAATTACTCGATAACCAATTATGATCATTCAAAAATGAAAAGCATTCAAAATTCTTAATAAATTTAATAGTAACTATATATATATATATATATATTTAAATCAATAGTAACTATTGCATTACCTTTTTAGTAGCAGTTTACCTTATATCGTGCTATATAACCTATTCCTTGGTGAATAATTTTACGTTGCATTTTTTTAAATGTTTGTCTATTAATGTAAGGCTGTCGCCTTTTAAATATATATTTCTATTCTATCAGCCCGCAGACGTCCAGTGCTAGACATAGGGCTTCCCCAAGCCTCGCCACAAAGATCGGTCCTGCGCTGCTTGAATCCAGTGGATCCCTGCGAACCTCACTAGGTTAAATATATGTCAATATATGTTTAAATATATAAATCATACGTAAATAGTATTGATACACAATTCAGTTAGGCACCGTTTACTCTTTTGTTTATCAACTGATTTTACTTTTTTTATATCTTCGAGTTCAGAAGTAATAATATTTTTTGGCAAGAATCAGTCTGTCTAAAACAAAAGAGAAAATGGAATGCATAAATGAATCTGAGTCTTGAAGTCAGTGAATGTGGGAGAATTTCCGTCATCGGACGAACACTAGATTGTCTTAATACTTAATCACATTAGAGAGGCAGCATAATAATTATTTACCAGCAAAGCTGTCATTATCTATACATATATGTATGTAGCAAAAAGAAATAAAAATGTTAAATATTAAGATAAAAGTTGTCTCTGAGCTTCAATATCAATTTGCATCGAGTAAAATATGCTTATAACAACGTTGACAGTGATACTAAAAATTTTAAAAACTAAATTAACATTGTTTAAGATAATGGCATTCCGTTGGTGTGCTTGGTGATTTATGTTGAAAATGCTGCTCAAAAGGACCGCTACGATCGCTGAGACCAACTATGAAAAAAAAACAAAATCAAAAATGAAAAAAAGTAAAACAATACGACCAAATGCGTAGGTATTAGTAAGCAAACAATGAACATTTATAATGGAAGGTGCCTACGCAATATTGCCTTGTAAACGTACTAGGTGTATTATCTATGAGTGCTTCTGTAAAAATATGTGCAATGAACCAAACATAAAAAAATATACATTGAAAAATGCATACGTTATTAAGCATTAAATGATGGGCTAAATCCGAAAACATACTTCGAAATGAAGACGTGATGCTCTTATAAAATATAACACTAATTTAAAATTAAATAAAAACGGCTCCATCCTATTTTATGAAAATGAATATAATTCATCTATTATTGTGTGTTGTAATCGTATTATTATATTAATATCATGCTTAATCAGATAAATCTAACTTCTTTAAATTAATATGCTTTAAAACAATAATTAAGGTCTTAAATACATAATAATAATAAATATTAAATTAAATTAAATACATAATTAAGTACATCATAAAGAGCGTAACTTTTTTCATATCGTAAAATACATTTATCATTTCAACAAGTACCTCCTACCTAAATCACCTTACATTAAAAAAAAAAGGGTATTTTTGGGGAGTAGAGTTTGGTAAGCAATAGAACCGATAATTCGCGCCATAATAGCAATAAAAATATGCCTTCTATAATAAGGCATGACTGCTTCACGGTATAAATAGGCAGGGTCACACTTTAGTTAAATGTAAATAAACTATATTAAAAAATGTTGTGAATTATCTCAAAAAATGCGAAGAAACTTTTTCCCCAACCTTATATTAAATTTATATTTATACTAAAAAACATGAAACAAAAAGAAGTGAACCTTCTAATGCGACTTCCAACTTTAAATAAAAAAAAGGATTGTTTTTAGTTTGCGTTAAGATAGCACTTTACTTCATGCACAGATGGGTATATCTATATAATATGGGCAGATATAACTATGCTGTCTGTTTCTGCCGTGAAGCAGTAATTCGTCCTTTTTTCCCCTTTCTATTCGCTGGTAGCCTAGCTCACGGGCTCAACCTGAGAGAGTTTACCAATACTAGCCCTAGCAAGAGCAGTGCTTCGCTGAATCTACCAGCGGATCGGAATCGCGACCAACTGAGAAGATCTGACGAGAAACAGTGAGGTGTGTCTATGGGCTAGTTCGTTCGTCATTCGTTCCGTATTGAAGGTTGGGTCAGCCGTTAAACAATTCAATCGAGATTTCGGTCTAATATCTCAAAATTGTTTAAAATTTAGGCATTGATGTTATAAAATTTACGAAATCTAATGACTTGAATTTATCCACACGCTGTGCAACGGGAAGAAAAAACTCCAGGGACAATTTATTGAAAGATAGGATAATATACATATTAAGCTCACGTCCTTACGGATCCATCAGATCCAATAACGCTTTTATTAGACGCCTTTAACTCTACCACTAGGAGTAAAGACCCTGGTAACCGTACTTGTCGAACTCGGCAAAGAGTTCGACGTGGAGCCTAACCTAAACACCAACCCACTTAACTTCTCGCCGGATCGTCCCGGCGGGCCGCGATTCCGATCCGGTAGTAGATTCATTCGCGAAGCAACTGCTCTTCAGTTGTGAAGTCTCCTTTGGAAGAGCTGGGGTATCTGTTAGCAGATCCCACGCCTCCTGGCTTAGCCCTTGCTCGCCCACCTCTCCTGGTAAATCTGGAAAGGCCACTGTGCCACCAGTAATCTCTCAAACATAAAAAAATACATATTAAGCTATCTTATTAGTTTTATTCCCGTAATAGTCTTGAAAGGAGAGCGCGGGGTCTAGGCCGAAGTTCATTTTGATGACGTCACAGAACACTGCTCCAGTCATCATGCCCACTGACGAGTGATACAGCCAGTCAGCTATCTTCTTTTGTTTTGTGTTGTGGTCTACGTCGAGAAACGAGGTCAGTATAGCCAATATCCCCGCGCTCGCCTGCACCAATCACAGTACTACATTATTATCCATTTTAAAGTTACGATTTAAGGAAATATAAAGTCATTTGTGAATTAACTTTTTTTTAAATGTTGTTAAGAAAGACCAGCCGACTTATGGTTCGAATGTTTCAGAATGTACCATTAACAGTAAGTAGCTTACTGAGTTTAATAAAAAGAATGGTCATGTACAAATGACGCCATGAAAACAAATGTTGTTATAAAGTGTTACATATTTATACCATAGTTAATGAAAAGAGTTATTATTATAGTTATGTTAGTCAGGTGCTTAGTGCGAGTTTTTTAACGTTCTCGATAGCGTAAAAGTTAGCTCATATTTGTATGGAGTTGGAACGTTTGCTTACGTTTGCCGCTGTTCCAACTGCATACAAATTTGAATTAGCTCTTATGCTATCGAGATCGTTAAAAACTCGCACTAAGAACACAATAGAACTCTTAGGTAATACAATTTAGTCAATATAAGGATGTCACTCAATTTTAAACTTAAAAGTTTTAATGCCCCTGGCATTGCTGAAGTCCATGGGCGACGGTAACCACTCACCATCAGGTGGGCCGTATGCTCGTCTGCCTACAAGGGCAATAAAAAAAATAAAAAAAAGTTTCTTACAAAACTTCGAATAAATTGAACTTGAAGAGTCACTGCGCACTGAATTAGAAACCTTTCCAAATGATTAGTCCAATCTGAGGATTGTCAACTGATAGAATAAGTAGTGGCGCCATATTCTTTTTAATGGCATCACCTGTCACCTTCATTAAATGCAGCCGTGCGACAGAGATAGCGACATGTTCCTACTATCCTAGGGTTGCCAGCTGTTCGTCCGATTTCCCCAAAATGTACTTTGTTGTTGAGGTGTAGTAACTCTATGGATGGCTAAAACAAGTTGTGATAGAAAGTATTGCAAGCCCTCACAGACACAAACTACCAATCTAATTCTGCTGCGAAACGCTTTGGCATAAGCTCTTAATTGAGATTTCGGTTTCGTGTTTCAAGATCGGTTTTGGCAGTCACATTGTACTCCAGTAACCATTTAAGACCAGATTAGCCATGAACTAGCTCGCATATCATTATTCAAAATTATCCTCACCGCCATTGCAATTATAAACTTGACATTTTAAATATATTTGTCAGTGAATCGCCAATGTTCATATTCTATTTCAGTCTTGCCATGACTAGTTTCTCCTATGTTGAAAATATTGTAAAGATCCTTATTCGTGCTTCCTTCATTCGCATTTTCAATATTCGCGAATTAAAAAAATGCGCTCCAATTCTGAAGTTCGCGGCTAAAGATTTTGTTAATCGCGGACTTACATCGGTAGTTCGTTACATATATATTGATAAAAATGATTCCAACATGTAGGTTCCAACCGAATATCCTTTGTAAACGCATCGTCAAATGGATTAATAAAAAAGCAAAATCAACCAACTGTGCCTAAAGTATGTTGTTAAATTATATCGCCAATGTATGTATGTACCTATTGGCAAACAAAGATTTAAAACAAAATCACCCCGCAGTATAATTTCTTTTCCTTAAATACTCATTGTTTATATAACTCAGCCGTTCCAAAATCAGCGGATTATTTGAATACTCTATGCCGAAAGCGGAAATTATGATGTTAATAACGGAAATGACAAAAATGAAAATGACAATGACGTCATTGAGGACGACCGCAGAAGGCTGGTCTTCGTGGTCGTTCAGGTCCAGACCGCCGATTATCACGAACAGCAGACCGACCAATAGCTAGAACAAAATGCCGCTGTATAACGGTCGAAGTGAATGCATCAGTGTTACCATACTAAGGTGATTTTAATGCCGTTTGAAAAGATCGATGGTAGATCACTCATTAACCTGTTACTCTTAATTCTAGATGAAACTTTTAAGCATATACACAAAAGCAACAAAAGTAAACAGAACTTTTACAATAACGCTAGTTTCACAAGAAATTTTTCAACAATACTCTCAGTCGAATTCCAAATATTTAGCTAGAGAAGAATCAAACGCTGATACTAAGACATTGAGTACGGTCACGACAAACGCTGTGGCTGTTGTTCCATAGTTAATGCTCAGGGCTGAAGCTCGGTGCCGTGGCAGATGGAAGCGGCAGTCCTGCAGCAAATTCAGGGACAAGAGTACCATTCCCATCGCCACCTAGATCGACATTCGATATCGTCGTTCGTCATGTGCAATCTCCCTTGACTACATATTTCACAATAGACATTTTAAAGCGTTCAAAAGGATATGGGCCATTTTCGGCGCAGCTACTCGTGCTCTCAAGGACATTAATGAAATATCTATAGAAAAAAATCATTCATTTTTACATTTTTATTATAAAATTTAAGGGTATTTTAATGGTGAGATAATTAAAATCATAAATAAAAAGGAATTAGCATGACTAAGCTACATTGATAATATTGAAGGAGTTGCCATAGGAAAAATATGTTTATATTTTAAACAATTCACATTAAATCTTCTTAAAAAACATTAATTTGCAAAAACTAGCAAAATATATTAACATATTTAATTAATGGATATTAAAATTAATATAAAATGTTATGTCTAAACAAAAATATATTTTTATACTTTTAAATCCGTAGAGTAAATTATTGCATGGATGAAAAATTATTGATCATAAGCAAAAAAAACTACGCTTGTTTAATGTTTATTGACGTTTTACATTTAATCACTCGTTTTCGCACTCGTGCGCATTGTGAATATTATTATTTCGTTGCGATATACCTGCTTATTTGCGTTGTAATATAAAGTATAGTAATATAATATAATATAAGCTAATGACGATGTTAAAGTGTCAGTGTAAGGACAGCAAAATCATATGATTAATCTAAAATTCTTATCTTATTTTTTCAATATCTCTGTATGCCCATGAACAATATTGATTTTAATTTGTTTAAAATAAAAGGGATATACATATATATAGTCTGTTATTTAAACTTAATTTCATTACTGTCCTTGAACTTCGTTTAGTGGGCCGCCCAATGTATCATGGAGGGTGGCCCATGTCCTTTAATCCATATCAAGTCATTTTTAATGCTTGCAACACAGTGTTACAGTTGTAGAGCAGTTGGAATAATAAATTCCGGTTCAGCGTGATTAAAACTTTTGTCTACACGAACAAAAGTTACGAAAGCAGGCTAAGTTTATTTTGTATTCAGATATTATAATTAAAGTTAAATAAAAAATTTAGTCATTTTTTATTTAACAATTTTATTTTAGACACGAACACTGTCTTATGATTATATACAAGACATTTATTTGACCGTTCGCAAACTATTTCTTGATCTCTTCTAAATACCTAATCAGAATGTCGATTACAGTCAATATAGTGTAATAAAAAAGAAACTCACCTGAAGAACAATTGATATTGAGATCAAAACAACCAGAAGCGTGTAGAATTCGTGTTTCGGTCCAACCTGGAGTACGTACTTTAATTGGGAGGCGTTCGATGTCAATAGAGCAATATCTAGCATTCCCTGCGCTACGGTTTTCTTCGTCGCGTAACGGTTGGCGTCCAGGCCTTTCATCTAAAAATTTAATCTAATGACAAATTCAGTGAAACTTATTCTTATTATTAGTTTCACTCTTGGCACGGTGACAGAGCTTGACAGATTTGATGCGTCTTACTGCGTATATCCCGCCATCTCTCTTAGATCGAGGCCTTTCTGTTGCTGCTTCAAGGGAACCTTCCACCAGATAAAACTAACAGGTAAACGACTAAATATTTTAAATTGATATGTTATGTTCCGATAGTAGCTTTGAATATTAAGTTATCTATAGTTTGCAAAAACCTTTGTCTATTTAGGTACTTTAGAGAGATCATTTAGTTTTATATCTAGGTACATCATTTATTGAAGGAATGGATAGATCTGGTAGAAATATGTTAAGTAAATACCTACATGCTGAATTTATGTTAAAAGTAAAGCAAAGATAAAAAGCGAACCTAATCACTACTATTATAAGAATAAATTAGTACTAAAGACCAGCGTTAAATTGTAATTGTGACGAACTGTTCAATTTCAAGGTAACACCGAAGTCTAGGTCATTTTTTAAATACTTTCAAGCACGCTTAACATGTTAAATTATAATTTAAAGTACAGATTAAAAGAAAATAGAAGCGGGAATAACCAATTTAATAACTAAAAACCAAAAGTCTTTTAGTTCATCTTCAAATTTATTATTTCCAACGTGTACCAACATTTAGAAAATGTAGTATTAGAAATACTCGATGCTTAATCGATTTTTTAGAGATAGTTTTTATTAATATTTACATCATCACATACGATATCCGACGTTGCGTTTTGATCTCTCGCTGCTATCTCACTGATTTTTGGATGTTCGACATTGTCTTCAGATGTTTCTTCAACGTCGTCCGACATTTTAAAATTAAAATAAAACAATGGATTGTTGTAACGTTCACACACAACACTCGCTTGTATACTGAACTAAAATTCGAAGGTATCGAGGCTTTGGAAGGTGCTTCCTTTTGTCGAGGTCAATAAATGAGCATGATTAAATCGATTGTATAAATGTTAGGGAAAACGAATTTACGAGAGATATCTGTTTTCCGTTTTACGAAGGACTTTGTTATTATTAAGCAATCAATCTNATGGATTGTCGTAACGTTCACACACAACACTCGCTTGTATACTGAACTAAAATTCGAAGGTATCGAGGCTTTGGAAGGTGCTTCCTTTTGTCGAGGTCAATAAATGAGCATGATTAAATCGATTGTATAAATGTTAGGGAAAACGAATTTACGAGAGATATCTGTTTTCCGTTTTACGAAGGACTTTGTTATTATTAAGCAATCAATCTTAGATTTTCACTAATATCTACTTAAAATTGCATTATTAGCATGGATTTGGGAACTACAAAGAATAACTTAGCTCAGCACTTATCGTTCAATAAATTATAGGTGATGATAGGTCTCTAATGAATGCCGAATAAACTCTACAATTAAATATTATTTTTACTTTTTACTATTAGCGTTCTGCTTAGTCGTATGCACTCTTGGCAAGAGTCGTCGTGGTCATTATTTCGGGTGGTGGTGCGCTTCATCAGACGTCGCCATTCCTCGTATACCGCGGCCCTTCTTGAGCACTCGTTGGCGGAACCGTTTAGAACTATTTATTAGTATACCTGCTAGGTATAATAGGTAAGTATTAGCTCGCGAGCAGGACCGGTGACGTCTCCGATGTAAGAAGTATAATACCTTAATGCAGTTGTGCAGCCTTTACGATTTGCCTTTGTTCAAATTCAAATATACCGATTAAAATCTACTAGAGTCCCGCAGTAGTCGAAATTCGACTATAATTAATTGAAATTGTAAGTTTGTACACTATTATGATTGTATTTTCAACGCCAAGACTACACTATAGAAAAATATTAATAAAGACAAACAATATTTAATCTATTCTCAATTTTACCACAGACGTCAAGAATATAAATTTGACAATAAATAAATAGTATGCATGCGTGTGTGTGTGTCAAATACATGGTAGTGTGTGTAATGTTTTCTTTATTGATTTAATGTATCTTTTATGCATTATATAAAAAAAATATTAGCATTGTGCACTTCTTCTCTATATTCTCTATAAGTGTGGAAAATTTTATACTCCTCCGTCCGCGCAATTTTCGTAAAAAAAGATACAAATTTTTTGCTTCACTTACTAATATATAGATAAATGATTAAAATTAAAAGATTTTTGATAATTTAAATGTCATCGTGGCTTAGTTGATGAGACACCCGGTATGTTCGATTCAACAATGTCAGAGAGCAAATTGGACGTCATCTATAGTACTCATAGTTATTACAAGAGCGATATAACCTCTCTTCTCAGTCGGACACTCTTGTCAGAGTGGTCGTGGTTGCGTTGACGCTGTATGTGCAGTAGGACCTGTTAGGTCGCCCATGCTCCCGACAACCGTCCTCCAGGCAATGCGCTTCCAGGTCTGGCGGTTCGAAGCGTTACGAGTACATTCGACCATAGTGGACTCAGTTGCCTTCTTTATTAGGTCAGTCCAGCGGGTCGGTGAGCGGCCGCGTGATCTTCTGCCTTCCACCTGGCCCTGGACTACCAGTCTCTCCATCGAGTGCTCTTTTCTGGAGATGTGACCAAAGAATTTTAAAACCCTCAGTTGCACTGTTGACGAAAGTCGGTCTTTGATAGCGAGTTCTTTGAGGATGGATGCATTGGTGCGGAATGCCATCCATGGGATCTTCAGGAGGCGTCTCCAGCACCACATCTCCAGTGCATCGATTTTACGGCGATCCTGCAATCTTAGAGACCAGGTTTCGGCTCCATAGAGAAAGATTGGAAACACAAGACATTTCATCAATCTGACCTTAGTCTTCTTGGTAATCCTCCTATCCTTCCAAATCTTTCCCAGCCGTTCCACTGCTGACCTGGTAATGGCGCATCGTCGTCTGATCTCTTCACCACATCCTCCAGTGCTTGAGATAGCAGAGCCGAGGTAGATGTAGGTCTGTACAACTTCGCAATTACCTATGTTTTGTACATTGGTTCCATTTTGTTCAGCCCGGTCTACTATCATCATCTTCGTCTTGTCCCGGTTAATAGCAAGTCCGAATTTAAGGCTGGTAGCTTCCAGACGAGTCAGTAGAATTTCCATGTCTTCTCTAGTCTGTGCGAGAAGGGTAGTGTCATCAGCGTATCTTAAGTTGTTAATCACTCGTCCCCCAACTGATATACCTTTATCCCATTCTTCCAAGACAATGCGCATAATGTACTCTGTGTAGGTATTGAAGAGCAACGGTGATAAGATGCATCCCTGTCGTAATCCGGCCTCGGTCTTAAAGTTTTCTGAAAATGTGTCGTCCACTCGAACGGCCGCAATACCTTCTTCATATAACCTCCTTAAAAGATTTATTAGATGAGGCGGCACACCCATTTCAGCAAGTATTGTCCAGAGGTGTGTCCAAATGACCGTGTCGAATGCTTTACAGAAGTCTACAAAGCAGATGTATAGGGTCGAATCAAACTCTCTGGCCTTCTCGATAATTTGGCGCAATATAAGGATTTGTTCGCGAGTTCCTCTTCCCTTCACGAATCCAGCTTGCTCAGGCGCGATTTCCCTTGAGAGATAGGCCGACAGTCTTGTGTTGATTATGTGAAGCATCACCTTACTTGCATGTGATATTAAAGATATGAGTCGGTAATTGTTGCACTTCTTCGTGGACCCTTTTTTTGTGCAGTGGGATGAAAATGGATTTCAACCAGTCTTCGGGCCATATGCCGGTCTCCCATATTTTACTGCAGATGATATATGAGACCTCAACTCCAGGTTCCCCCATCGCTTTGAAGACTTCGATTGGGAATTCATCATAACCTATGGCTTTATCAGATTTGAGATGTTTAATCGCCGCTCGTATTTCGTCCCGCATGACGTCGGGCTCTCGGTCACAGGTGCTAAAGGAACAGCATGTGATGTTCGGTGGCAACTTCCTGGCAAATAGGGATTTGCAATATTCCTTCCACACATTCACGATATCCTTTATTTTCGTTACTGTTGTCCCAAAGCAGTCCTCAATAGCCCACGTTTTGGGTTTAAATTGGCGCGTTATGTATCGCACTCTGTCATGGAGATCCTTGGTTTGGTATTTATCAGAATACATTTCCAGCTCATCACATATCTTACCCAGGTGTCCAGAGCGATATAAACATAGAACCAATAACGTTCTGTAATGAAAATGAAATTCCCATTTTTTTAACGAAAGTATACACACTCTTTGGGCATTCTATGAGCCCGTACGATTAAGTACTATAATCTTAACGACTTTTTTTACCGTGAAGCAGTTATGAGAATCGTTAAGTTGTGGTAGATAGGCTTCGTTCACCAAAATTAATCGAGATGAAATTGTTTCAATCCTCCATGACTAACTAAATGTTAATCTCGAAGCGATGATCTCAACCATTGTCAACAACAGGAAAGAGATACGATCTAGCTCTGACCTAATTATTTCCAGTGTTGACCAAAAAGCTTGGATAATGCTTGGTATCGATTTCACATCACTTGGATCCTTTGCATGTATCCAAGTGAATGGTTTTAATGTTGATATGTTGACTATTAACGTAATTACGGCGACTCAAGCAAATTAGAATTTGCATAATTACTGGTGGTAGGACCTCTTGTGAGTCCGCGCGGGTAGGTACCATCACCCTGCCTATTTCTGTCGTGAAGCAGTAATGCGTTTCGGTTTGAAGGATGGGGCAGCCGTTGTAACTATACTTGAGACCTCAGAACTGATATCTCAAGGTGGGTGGCGCATTTACGTCGTAGATATCTATGGGCTCCAGTAACCACTTAACACCAGGTGGGCTGTGAGCTCGTCCACCCAACTAAGCTATAAAAAAAAGCAAAAAGTGCTAGTAATACTACATCAAATTATTCCTAGAAGATACTTTCATTTTGAACATAAAATTTTAATTGATAAACAAATTTGGTATTTCTCAGTGTTCTAATGTGTTTGGCATCTAAGAAATACCGGGCGTTGAACAATGCAACTACGCCAACTACGCTCAGATTTGGTATTGCAATAATGATTATAAAAAAATTAACATAATCGTAGGCATCTATATATTAATACGTGAAGCAAAAACTTTGTATCCCTTTTTACGAAAATTGCGCGGACGGAGGAGTATGAAATTTTCCACACTTATAGAAAATATAGAGAAGAAGTGCACAATGCTAATATTTTTTTTAAATAATGCATAAAAGATACATTAAATCAATAAAGAAATCATTACACACACTACATACCATGTATTTGACGCACACACGCATGCATACTATTTATTGTCAACTTTTGTTCTTGGCGTCTGTTGTAAAATTGAGAATAGATTAAATATTGTTTGCCTTTGATAACATTTTTATAGTGTAGTCTTGGCGAAATTTGCGATTATTATAATAAAATATAAATTATAATTATAATAGTGTACAAACTTACAATTCTAATTAATTATAGTCGAATTTCGACTACTGCGGGACCTCTAGTATGATAGAATTCCACGCTAAACGAATAATGTAAAATAATTCAATGCTTTACATACTCTACTTCTACTTTATGAAACCATCAGAATTTAGAAACTTGCGAAAATACCTACTGGTGATATTATTATGTCGAAAAACTAAGCCTAACATTTTTGCTTATATCTGCACTGAAGGAGCTATGCGTTTCAGCTTGAAAATTCGCAGGATTCACCTTGCCTTCCGATGACTACTAAACATCTTGAAAGAGAACTAGGTAAAAAACATTGCAGATCCAGCGTTTCTCCAAGCTTTTGCTACTTACTCCTTCTCTCTCATTAGCCATTACTGGCAGTATTTTTCTGTAATCAAAAGTCATGCGAGCGCTGTTTGCATATTATGAGTAGAGGACAGGGAGATAACAGTAACAAATCTCAAAATGTCGGACGTCAATAGTGTGCCCAGCCCAAAAACCCCAAGACAATATAAAATCTTCCTATGATTTCTAGCCTAACCCAATATAGAGTTGCTAACTTGACAACCCATGTTGGCTTACATTGCTTCTTACCACCGGTAGTTCAATAAAATTTTGTGTGCATGTACCGATTAGATTCTCGAATAAAGAAATCTTTATCTGCGAATATAGAAACTGGGTCGCATTATTTGAATCCTCGAATAGTGGAAACGCGAATGAAGGAAGCGCGAATAAGGAGCTTTTTCAATAATTTGCCTGAAGACTACTTACATTTAAGGTTTTTTTTAACTGTTTTGTTTTACTGTTCAATCTTGCGTTTTTTGTCATTCTTTTATATTATTTCCGACTATTGTCCATTACCACGAAAACTGTAAAGTATTTGAAGCGTCTAGTAAAATAGTTTTAATTTTGCTTACGACTGGCAAATACCATTTAAAAATACAATATTTAAATAACAGGATAATATTACAACGTATTTAGAAGACAACGTGAATCACGCTTCGGTATTCAACTTCACAAAAGTATTTTGTACATACCCCGTTCCTTAATCCTGTTGGTAAAATAGCGGCCATCTTCGATTCCTTGGACGGACGTGACGCTAAAAACAAACCATGGCATCTAGGTTTTTTTGCGCCAATCTCGTGAGAACATAAGACAATGCTGTTTCTGATGTATTGGTGTCGCGTCAGACCGATAAAATCGATGTCGTTGCCTGACAACGTTGTTTTTTCCATAACAAAAGTTTCCCAACACAGCAATCATTGTGCATAATAAAAATTAACTCAATTTTACATATAAACATTTTTTTGCCTACGAGCTCACAGCCTACCTGGTCTTAAGTGGTTACTGGAGCCCATAGACATCTACAACCTAAATACGCCAACCACCTGGAAATATGAGTGTTTAGGTCTCAGTATGGTGACAACGGCTGCCCCACCCTTCAAACCGAAACGCCTCACTGTTTCACGGCAGAAATAGGCAGGGAGGTCCCGCATATAAAATCAGTCCGTGACCGTGCCGCGTTTATTCTCGGTAGACTCTACCCCATGATCTGTAAGCGGAGTAAAATGTCCCTTCGGAACAAGGTGACACTTTACAAAACTTGCATAAGGCCCGTCATGACTTACACGAGTGTGGTGTTCGCTCACGCGGCCCGCACACACATAGACACCCTCCAATCTCTACAATCCCGCTTTTGCAGGTTAGCCGTCGGAGCTCCGTGGTTCGTGAGGAACGTTGACCTACACGACGACCTGGGCCTCGAATCTATCCAGAAATACATGAANAGTCCGTGACCGTGCCGCGTTTATTCTCGGTAGACTCTACCCCATGATCTGTAAGCGGAGTAAAATGTCCCTTCGGAACAAGGTGACACTTTACAAAACTTGCATAAGGCCCGTCATGACTTACGCGAGTGTGGTGTTCGCTCACGCGGCCCGCACACACATAGACACCCTCCAATCCCTACAATCCCGCTTTTGCAGGTTAGCCGTTGGAGCTCCGTGGTTCGTGAGGAAGGTTGACCTACACGACGACCTGGGTCTCGAATCTATCCAGAAATACATGATGTCAACGTCGGAACGGTACCTCGATAAGACTATGCGTCATGATAATCGCCTTATCGTTGCCGCCGCTGACTACTCCCTGAATCCTGATCACGCAGGAGCTAGTCACCGTCGACGCCCTAGACACGTCCTTACGGATCCATCAGATCCAATAACCTTTGCATTAGACGCCTTCAGCTCTAACACTAGGAACAGGCTTAGGGACCCCGGTAACCGTACTCGTCGAACTCGACAAAGAGTTCGCCGTGCAACCTAACCCATGAATCAGCTCGCTGAGTTTCTCGCCGGATCTTCTCAGCGGGTCGCGATTCCGATCCGGTAGTAGATTCATTCGCGAAGCAGCTGCTCTTGAGTTGTTAGGTCTCCTTCGGAGGCGCTTGGGTAGCTGTTAGCAAATCTCATCCCTCCTGGCTGAGCCTTTGCTCGCCCACCTGTCCTGTTGAAACTAGAAAGGCCTCCGGGCCACCAGTAATCCTTCAATCATAAAAAAGGGAGGTGGCACCTACCCGTGCGGACTCACGAGAGGTCCTACCACCAGTAATTACGCAAATTATAATTTTGCGGGTTTCATTTTTGTTACACGATGCTATTCCTTCACCGTGGAAGTCAATCGTGAACATTTCTTAAGTACGTATTTCATCAAAAAAATTGGTACTCGCCTGCGGGATTCGAAGACCGTTGCATCGCTAGATACTAATGCACCGGACGTCTTATATCCTGAATCTTAACGGAGTCTTAAAAAACTGAAAAACTGAAAAACTTATCACTCCCTATGGATTACGTGTTAGCAAAAAAGTGATGTCGATGCGGTATTCCGTTAATGCCTGAAAAAAGACAACCAAAAACACACTTTCGTATTTATGAATTATAATTTTGCATTTTAAGCAATCATTATTCATCATATTTATAAAGGTAAGCAGTTCGTCCAGCAGTTCCGCTGGCAAAAATGTGTTCGAAATGGCTGCTCACATAACAACACGCTTAGAATGATTCGATTGTGGAAAACGGGTTTTAGTATACCTAATATTGGCACAGGAATCTAAATTAGATTTGGTAGCTATAGTTATGATTTGGGTATATATCCAACTTCTTTTAAACAAGTTAAACTATACAGGGTGTCCCACGGCTGTAACTATCTAGAACTGCATTTTGACGCCTTCAGCTCTAACACTAGGAGCAGGCTTAGGCATCCCGGTAACCGTAATCGTCGAACTCGGCAAAGAGTTCGACGTGCAACTTAACATAAACACCAGCCCGCTGAGCTTCTCGCCGGATGGTTCCAGTGGGTCACGATTCCGATCCGGTAGTAGATTTATTCGCGAAGCAGCTGCTCTTGAGTTTTTAGGTCTCTTTTGGAGGCGCTCGGGTAGCTGTTAGCAAATTCCACCCCTCCTGTCTGAGCCCGTGCTCGTCCACCTCTCTTGGTGAATGGAAAGGTCTCCAGGCCACCTATAATACTTCCTTCATAAAAAAAGAACTGCATTGAAGAACAGAATCCCAGCTCCTTCTAACCACCGCCTACCGTAACTCCCGCCTCAATGTGGCAAACCTTGTCAAATCGAGTAACATTTTTACAGTAATCTACCACGACCTCAATTTAAATTAATTTAATTGCTACTTAATTTTATACTTGTTTATTTTAAGCTTGAATGTTTTGTGTGTATTGCTGTTGGTGTGTCTAAATAAATAAATAAATAAATGCCAACCAAACCCTGAGAAAGATAGCTATTATGTAGCTATTATCAATAGAAAACAAGTGGCCCGAACCAGAATGATCCCTTACTCCGGATGTCAACACCTCGCAACAGTGAATAGTCTGATTTTGAACAATTATTATCTCATGCAGAAAGCAAATAGAAACTGTCGCACTCCTCTTTCCACGATGTTTATTTATGGAAATGAACAACAGGGAGAGCGAGCGGATTGCTTTAGAGAGATATACGAGCTCAAGAACCACCTAGTATAAAGTGTTTATCGAAAACCACAGAAGTAACAAAGTTAATGCCACTCAGATAAGAAGTGGAAGTTTCAAATGTATGCAATACAGTAAAGATATAGTTCTAATCTCTAAGCTGTAGCATATCAAGACCAAATGAAGTCAATAATAGGGAGGGAAGATAATGACACCCACCTTACGTAAATTTATAAAATTACTAGCTGACCCGGCAGATTTCGTAGCGCCTCAATCGATAAATAAAAGACTTAAACTTTTGTATAAAATAAACTTATAACAAACAAAAGGAATCCGTCTGACGGGGAACACATCAAAAGGGAAAACAAAATTGTTAGTTTTATTTAATTCCGAGCATTTTTATATTTATCTGCCTTTTAAACTTTCTCTGGACTTCCACAAATAATTCAAGACCAAAATTAGCCAAATCGGTCCAGCCGTTCTGAAGTTTTAACGAGACTAACGAACAGCAATTAATTTTTATGTATAGAGATCTTGTGGTTTTTTTTTCTTTCACACAATGTAGTTGAATAAATCAAGTTTTTTTTTTAAATAAATCCTAATGATTTTAAGGTCAACAGTTTGCTTTGTTATAAAGGAATTAGATAAGTATATGACCCCACTTCTCCTTCATCCGCTCGTAATCACGGCTTAATTATTTATTTTTATAGCAACAACTTCCTAATTCCCAATATTTACTGGCGTCATGACCATGTCGATTTGTCCTATGAATCAATTTTCTTCTTGGGTTTCAAAGGTGGGACAACTGTTGCACCGAAACAATTAAAAAATCACATCGCACAGCAATATTCACGTTGTGATATCTATGCTTTGGTAACCACTTCATATCAGATGAGCCAGAGGCTCGCAGCATGTCTAACATAGATTCTAATCACCCTTATCTTGCTGAAAGCGTTCTTAAAAATTACCGAATAAACAACGAAGTGAAAGTTAAAATTGTATTAAGATTATTTTGCAATCCAAAGTTTTGCTAACAAGTAATGATGGAAATCGAGTTTAAAAAACTTTACGTAGTCATCTTACTGCTTAAAAATATTTTTACAAATTACAGAAAAAATTATACAAATGCAGTGAAGGTTGTAGATCATTACAGTACAATTTTTTCATCACATCTCAATTTTAAAATAGTGATTGACAAAAAAATTTAATTTAAAACACCGCGCACGATTGAATAATGTCTTGGGAGTTTAATGCTCAAATTTACACAAATCAAGTTATGAAATGTATTTATAAAACAGTAAATATTAATTAAAGATAAATCTTAAAAATAATGGCTTCAATTACTGTACCTTTTAAGACTTCTCCTAGTTAAAAGTTTTCGAAATATTATGTAGAAATGAAACGTGTGCGCACTCTGCCGCCTGCTGTTTCGCGTCCTAGAACTGTCAAAATTTTCGATGGCTTGTGTTGTTTGGATAAAAATAAAAACAATCTATCTTTAATGTGTAAATAAATAATCATTTACGTACTTTTGTAGTGTGATTTTTGTTTTTATACAATGTTTTATTTGTGCAATATAATCATGTAAACAGCGTGAGAAGTCGTGGTGCATTTGGTGCTTTGGCTTGAGTGGCCAAAAATCTTCCAGATGCTGCCTTCTATGCCAGTTCTCTTCACCAGGGATAGTCAGGATGCATTTGGCAATAAAATTCAGCCAAGCACAAGCTTTTTTAATCAGAATTCTAATGACAAATCCTCATTTATTATAAAGGTGAGTCAGTCCAATATAAAACAAATTTATGTAACTCAGTCTACTTATCAGGAGTTTCTAGCCAATTTACATTTTTAACTAATAATATCAAGTTTAGCATTCATGATATGCTCCTCTCTTTCGTCACAGGCTTCATTATTTGTTAAATATAAGACTAAAGCTATTTAGATCGCATTAATTATTGTCGCCATTTTACGAGATTTTAAAGATTCTTAAAAATGTAAACTCTATACTATTTTTCAGCCCTTACCTACGACAGCTGTGCAAGACGAACCCAAAGTGACAAATGAGACTAAACACAAAAAGGATATCCCTCAAAAACAGAAACCAGAGCCACCTAAGAAAGATTACAATGCATTTGAAACAGGTAACCCATGTTGGACATTTGACCTTTTAGTATTATACCACAATGCTTTCCACAATTCTTTAACATATGATTAAATACACAAATTCTGCACATTGTTAATAGTTTAGAATTCAAAGAAGTCAAATAAAAGAGAAGATAAACTGTAAAAAGCTGGGTTTCTAACTCATTCTCCATTGCTTTCAGCAATAATTCAGTCCTAATCTTTGTCATTGGTGCAATTATAGAATAAAATATACTCTTGTTAAATATTCCGCTTCTTACATTCATCAATAGTCACATACATCAATAGTCAAATTATAAATCTGCTTTTTGTTTCAGCGCTGATAAGATCTTACTACACAAAAGTACAATCAAGGTTTTCATCAAACATATCAATGCCTAAGAACAAATTTGTACAATTTCAAAACACATTAAAAACATTTGACCCTAATAAAGAGACTCCAGTAGATTTATTTAGAAAAATAGAACAATTATTTGGTGAAGAACACAAGGATATAGTTGAGGATTTTTTACTGTTTTTAAAGCCGGGACAGGCAGCTGAGGTTGGGAGGTTCATGGACCGGTTCATGCTTGTACGAATAACAGCTTTCATTGAGTCTTTACAAGTGAGTATAATATTTAAACAATGTATAATAATAAGAATTTTCTTTTTCTTGACTGATATTTACCGATCAAGCCATCATAAAGGAGGCATTAAAAAAAATTTAAATTTGGTGTTCGTTGTTGCGGAACAGTCCTAGTCAAATATAGAGTAACTATTACTATTGACTCCTACCATTGTGGTATTTTTGGAACTTAGGATCTGCATTAAATGAGCCTGCTGAATTCAGTACGTCTTAAAGGCTACTAGTTCAGGTTAAGCAACCATAACCTTGAATTGCTATTTCTTCAGTCTCTGACCTTAATTTTATCTTGACATTGTTTGGAAATTTGGCACACTAATTCCTGACCTGGTTTGCTCATCCAAGGCCTAATAGTGCCTAGTAGTGGATAAATCAGGCGACTTGACGCTCATAAAAGGAGTGAATTCATATGACGCATCGCTGGTGAGTTGTGGCTACGAAATGCCGGCGACTCATTGCTTAGGGTCAAGTCACTGTACTTTTGAAGTCATCATGGCGTTAAGGATAAGACGGCCGGTATATTCGGACCGAGCGATATAACTGTGCCGGTTTTCGAATCCCGCAGCCAGATACCATTTTATCTACTGAAATATGTGCTGCATAAATGTTTACTGACTTCCACAGGGAAGAATAAAAATCGTGTAATAAAAATCGAATCCGCAAAAGTTATAATTTGCGCAGTACTGGTGGTAGGGTGTCTTGTGAACTCGCACGGGTAGCCAACACCCTGCCTATAACTGCCGTAAAGCAGTAATGCATTTCGGTTTGAGGGTGGGGTAGCGGTTGTACGGTAAAAGCTGAGACTTAGTACTTGTGTCTCAGGATGGGCGGCGGCATTAATATGGTAGATGTCTAAGGGCTCTTTGTTTTTCCTACCTATTCGCTGGTCGCCTAAGAGGCTATTTCAGCTACGCGCGGACGGGTGAGTGAGCTCACGGGACCTGAGAGAATTTGCTAACACTAGCCCTAGCAAGAGCAGTGCTTCGCAGAATCTAACACCGGATCGGAATCGCGACCCACTGAGAAGATCCGGCGAGAAACTCAGTGGGCTGTGTCTATGGGTTAGTTCGCTCGTCGAACTCTTAATCGTCGTGTTCGACGAGGACGGTGACCGGTGCTTGAGGGNGGACGGGTGAGTGAGCTCACGGGACCTGAGAGAATTTGCTAACACTAGCCCTAGCAAGAGCAGTGCTTCGCAGAATCTAACACCGGATCGGAATCGCGACCCACTGAGAAGATCCGGCGAGAAACTCAGTGGGCTGTGTCTATGGGTTAGTTCGCTCGTCGAACTCTTAATCGTCGTGTTCGACGAGGACGGTGACCGGTGCTTGAGGGTCCTAAAAGCACCGAGATTGAATCCGACATGCTTCGGGCGATGGCGACTTTACGTTGCCCCGTCGCGGTCGGATAAGTAATTAGCGGCGGCTACGATAAGAGGGTCTTCTTGTCGCGCCGCTTTGTCGAAGTAGCGTTTTGACGTTTCCATAAGATACTTACGGTACTAAATTTAGGTCCTCGTGAAGATCTACAATCCTCACAAACCACGGTGCTCCAACGGCTATCCTGCAGAAATGGGATTGGATGACCTGGAGAGTTAATGTGTGTACGGGCCGCGTGAGCGAACATTCCACTTGCATAAGTCATTTTGCATAGGCAGAACGTATGCAAGTTTTGTAAAGTGTCACCTTGTTATGAAGGGACAATTTACTTCGCTTGCAGATCATGGGGTAGAGTCGACCGAATAGGAGCGCGGCTCGGTCGCGTACTGAACTAATGTGGGGCCCAAATGTCATCCGCCTGTCGAGGGTGACGCCTAAGTTCTTAGCCTTCGAAGCCCACGGTATGGGCTGTCCAAAGATTTTTATGACGGGAATGGAGTTATCACGCCTAATTAGTGACGAGATACTAGTAATAGTGTCGGGAAAGTGACCCCGTTTTGAAGAGCACGGCTGTGCTTTTCCTGGGACTAAGGGCTCCAGTGGGTCGTGAGCTCGTCTACCCATCTTAGCTATAAAAAATTCAAAAAACCACAGTTGAGCATAACAAGCGTGCTTTCTTGGTACGGTCGGACCCATCGAGTTATAGGCCTATCGCGATAACTTCCTTGCTTTCCAAGGTGATGGAGCGAATAATAAATACACAGCTCCTGAAGTATCTTGAGGACCGCCAGCTGATCAGTGACCGACAGTACGGTTTCCGTCACGGTCGCTCAGCTGGCGATCTTCTTGTATACCTTACTCACAGGTGGGCTGAAACCTTGGAGAGCAAGGGCGAGGCTCTCGTTGTGAGCCTTGATATCACGAAGGCCTTTGACAGGGTCTGGCATAGGGCACTTCTGTCGAAGCTACCAGCTTACGGAACCCCGAGGGGCTCTGCAAGTGGATCGCTAGCATTTTTGATGGGCGGAGCATCACGGTCGTTCTAGACGGTGAATGCTCTGATACCATGACCATTAACGCTGGCGTTCCACAAGGTTCGGTGTTCTCCCCTACGCTTTTCATCTTGTATACCAATGTATATTAATGGCATTCATTGCTATGCGGATGACCGCACGGGGGATGCACGATATATCGGCCATCAGAGTCTCTCACGGAGCGTGGTGCAAGAGAGACGATCAAAACTTGTGTCTGAAGTGGAGAACTCTCTGGGGCGAGCCTCCGAGTGGGGTGGATTGAATTTGGTTCAATTCAACCCGTTGAAGACAAGTTTTCGCGTTCACTGCGAAGAAGGACCCATGGCGCCGCAATTCCAAGGAGTATCCCTACAACCTTCCAAGAGTATCGGGATACTTGGGGTCGGCATTTCGAGCGATGTCCAATTTCGGAGTCATTTGGAGGGCAAAGCCAAGTTGGCGTCAAAAATGCTGGGAGTCCTCAATAGAGCGAAGCGGCACTTAACGCCTGGACAAAGACTTTTGCTTTACAAAGCACAGGTCCGGTCCTCGCGTGGAGTACTGCTCTCACCTCTGGGCTAGAGCTCCCAAATACCAGCTGCTACTTTTTGACTCCATACTGTCAATAATCCCATTCTTACGGATCGTTTGGAATCTCTGGGTCTGCGGAGGGACTTCGGTTCCCTCTATATTCTGTACCGTATGTTCGAAGGGGAGTGCTCTGAGGAATTTTTCGAGATGATACCGACATCTAACTTTTACCATCGCACCGCCCGCCACCGGAGTAGAGTTCATCCATACTACCTGGAGCCACTACGTTCATCCACAGTGCGTTTCCAGAGATCTTTTTTGCCACGTACCATCCGGCTATGGAATGAGCTCCCTTCCACGGTGTTTCCCGAGCGCTATGACATGTCCTTCTTCAAACGAGGCTTGTGGAGAGTATTAAACGGTAGGCAGCGGGTTGGCTCTGCCCCTGGCATTGCTGATGTCCATGAGCGACGGTAACCACTCACCATCAGGTGGGCCGTATGCTCGTATGCATACACGGCAATAAAAAAAAAACGATGGCAAATCGCATACTCACATTAATTAATAAGCCGCTCTCGAAACAAAAGAAAATAGCACAAAACGATACTGGACCTCTTGTATTTGCATTAGTTTTACGCCCGATAATCTCACTGTATCTCTACCGCTGCGCCTCTCTGTGTGGTGGTAGTATGGAGTTGCAACATTTGCCTACGTTTGCCGCTAGGAGCGCTGTTCCAACTGCGTACAAATTCGATTTAACTTTTACGCTATCGAGAACGTTAAAAAACTCGCACTAAGCACACTGGCCTCATGTCTGGTGATTGGGCGACATCCCAATTCGTCGCCAACAACGTATTGCATCGTTTGGCGTGATACAGTTATTTTTACGTAGCGTGACGCAGCTTCGAACAAGCACATCATGTTGATTCACTTAAAAGCAAGGAAAATAGTGATATTTTCTTGTCCACGTCCAGCTGCTTTCAGAAGAAGATCGTATGCCTAATTTAGTTCAATTGCTTGTGGGATTACAAATCGTAATGCCTCATATCATGATGCCTAATATATCCACTACTAGCTCCCTATAGACGACAAAATTTAATTGGCATTCTTACGTTACTTACTGGTCGCTTAGCTGGCATCTTAGTGTCATCGGTGGACAGATGCCACATCTGCTAAAAAAAGAGACTTCAGTAATTCGTGGAAGGAAATATGTTATATGAGTGCTGATAATAGAATCTAAAGAAAGGCAGAAATACAATATATACGGACAGACGCCATGCCCGCCTGATGCTAATCGGAACTCTGCTACCTGCTCATGAGGTCTCAATAGCATAAAAATAAGGCCTTAGCTATCCCAGCTATCTCCGATACTCTCAGATACCTTTCAAACACCATGAAGTGCAGAACATTTGTTGTTGTCACGTAGTTGGGTAAACAAACTCACCGCCACCTGTTTCCTGTTTGTGACGTCTGTGTGCCAGGGCAATGGGGGGTATTTTGAGAATTAAGGTCGAAATCACCTTTAAAACCGGAACGCATAACTGCTTCTCGGCTGAAATGGGCAGAACAGTGTACCCTGAGTACGCTGCTAGCGAAACTTCGGTGAATCTCTGTCATCACACTCACGGGAGTAAATCAGTATTATACCCAAAAGAACAAAGAAAGAGAAAACTACCCTCGAAAACATAAGACTTTTTTGCAAAAACCAGCCAAACAAATATTTTTTATTACTGTACATGTATGTAGGTATGTTACTTTGAGGCAAAAAACTGGATTCTCATTATACTGCAATTGCCAAAAAAATTATTATATTCCTAGCTAACCCGGCAGACTTTGTAGTGCCTCAATCGATAAATAAAAGACCTAAACTTTTGTAGAAAATAAACATAAAACAAACAAAAGGAATCCGTCCGACGGGGGCACATCAAAGGAAAAACAAAATTGTTATTTTTATTTTATTCCGAGTATTTTCATATTTATCTACCTTTTAAACCTTCTCTGGACTTCCACAAATAATTCAAGACCAAAATTAGCCAAATCGGTCCAGCCGTTCTCGAGTTTTAGTGAAACTAACGAACAGCAGTTCATTTTTATTATTGTTATATTATCCTTGTTTCCAGAACGCTTTCGCTCGCAAGCCCACTGTGCTTCGTAAAGTGATCCGCGCCATCACGACGGGCCTCAATTCTGGGAACAGCGAGGACACGAAGGCCCGGGTACTGCCGCATCTGAGATCACACGCGCGTTTAACGCAAATGTTCAAATCTCTGTTCCCTGATGAGAGACCATCGGACAGGTAATTTCAGCAATAATTTTTTTTTTGTTTTATTGCTTTTGTGGGTGGTCCTGCTCACGGCCCACCTGGTGTTAAGCGGTTACCGGAACCCATAGACAACAACGTAAATGCCGCCACCTAGCTTCTTAGAACCTTATAACTTCTAAGGTCTCATTACAGCTGCGCCACCCTTCAAACTGAAACCCATTACTGCTTCACGGCAGAGATAGGCAGGTTGGTGGTACTTACCCGTGCAGACTCACAAAAAGTCCTACCACCAGCAAAATTATAAAAAAAAAATATCTATGGTTACATTTGGGTATATAAATTTAAAATACTATATTTCGAAGGGTGAACGGCTATGTCGACTTCGGTGGTAGATTCTGCGAAGCACTGCTCTTGCTAGGGTTAGTGTTAGCAACAAAGTCAGGTTTGAGGTCCTTGAGCTCACCAACTTGTTAGGGTTACGCTGAAATGGTGTCTCAAGACCATCAGCTTAGATAGACAAAAAAGTATATTTGGTTTAAGCAACATTTCGCTTAATACGCGATATCTTTGTAATTAAAGATGCGTTTTATTTGGTATTAGCATTATCATCAACAGTTCGATGTTTTTAATTGAACTTCAATTAAGTTTGTTTTGTTGTTGTTATGATTGATCGTAAAGATGCAAAAATGTTGCTTAAACCAGAGATCCCTCGATTTAGAGTATGTAATTGTCAAATAAAAAATAAAAAAACTTAAAAACCACAACTTATTAAGTCTGAAGGTTGGAAATTTTTCATTTTCGGTCTTGAGGGCCTTGGGTGAAATTTTAAAGCTGTCCACCGACCACACATCGACGGTAGAGGCATAAATAACACAACAAACAGGCATATACGTTTTAAACTTTTTAAAATGAAATTGACTAATTTAGACGGAGAATTTTAGGCGGCCTGATTTAAAATAAGATTTAATTATGTAATATATCGTTTATTGAAACAAAAAAACTAAGTTGTTGTTCTGCAAAGAGTTATTTATTTTATTAACTTATTTCTACACTTACAATTACGTATTATAATTATTTTCGAAACTGCAAAGAGAAACAACATTGAAAGCTATTGCTTCAATATTTAAACCTTTTTTAAATCTGATTTTATTTTTTTAAAAAGCACGTTATCTTTTTGCATGTACAAAGTCAGAGAGCATTTTTTCCAATTATAGAATGAACATAGCTTCCACCATAGATAATACTATATTATAATAGTCGAAGCTAATGCGCGGGAAATTTAAATGTAATGAAGGGCCAAGAGTGCTTCATTTACATTTATGTGATCGATAACGTGGAAGAGAGAAAAAAACATGAGTTTTTTTTAGTAGAAATCAAATCAAATCAATCCCTATGTTTTGTTGTCTTAATTGTGGAGAAGAACTACCGATGTTTCGATAATATACCACCTGTTTTAGTTAAAATTATTTCGACTCTAATGTGAACGTGTTTTTTTCACAAAAGATAAATTGTATTTAAATGCACACTTCAATTCTAATTAGACTTTGTAAGTCAAAGATCAAACATAACGTGATAAATTAATAATAAATGAACGTGCTTATTAAAATGAATAGAAACGACACTATTTATAGAAATAATATATTATATAAATAAATGCTTTGTTTTTTTCCTGATCAGAATATTACTTAAGAGCAATAAGATTGTGTTGTAATCAGACATTTTGAAGTTGGTGAAGATTACATTGAAATATAGCGTTACATACATATATATGTACCGTAGATAGATTACAGGATGAGCTAGGGTATTTAACTGTATCGATTTGACCTTACGAATTAAAATGACAAAAGTAACTCAGCTATCCAAATTAAAATTAATTAGAATCGGATATATTAATAAACAGGTAACCCTCCTATAAGACGGTAGTTTACAACACGGTTCCATTTTAACACGAAAATGAAAATTTCCCAAAACCCTCTTATAACACGGTGCGTCTACAACACGATAACGAGATTTTTGTTTAAAATTATTTAGAAAATTACACTATGCAGATAAACACACAATGGATCTGAATGTTGGGCGACGAAAGTAAAGCATGAAAGGGGAGTGCATGCGGCAGAGATGCGAATGTCGAGATGGGATGTGTGGAGTGACAAGAATGGACAAGATAAAGAATGAGTATATCAGAGGAACTGTGAAAGTAGGGTGATCAACAAATTAAAGAGCGGATGGTTAGCGTGGTGTGGACATGTGATGCGTAGAGAAAAGATGCATGTGACTAGGATCTCCTAGTCACATGCATCTTCTCTCTTCTGTATGGAAATGGTAGTGCATGGTAGAAGGGGAAGAGGTCGACTGAAGAAGACATGGATGGAGTGTGTGAATGACGATATGAGAGAGAGAGAGAGNAGTAGGGTGATCAACAAATTAAAGAGCGGATGGTTAGCGTGGTGTGGACATGTGATGCGTAGAGAAAAGATGCATGTGACTAGGATCTCCTAGTCACATGCATCTTCTCTCTTCTGTATGGAAATGGTAGTGCATGGTAGAAGGGGAAGAGGTCGACTGAAGAAGACATGGATGGAGTGTGTGAATGACGATATGAGAGAGAGAGAGAGAGAGGAGTGAGTGTTGAGATGACGGCTGATAGAAGAGAATGGAAAAGAAAAATTATCTGTGCCGACCCCAACTAGTGGGATAAGGTGGGGAAAAAAAAGAAGAAACACACAACATATGGGAACCCCACAACATACATTGGAAACAACATAACACATAATTTAGCTACTTATTTTATATACATAATCGGTACAAAAATACGTACAGGCACAGTTGAGTTTCATTCAGAAAAATTACTCTCCTTTTTGTACTGACTTCTCCCATATAACACGGTTTCGCACAACGCGGAACTCTGTAGGAACGCATCTACCGTGTTATATGAGAGCTACCTGTAATCAGTGATTTTCTTCTCGTTTCATTACTGGTGGTAGGACCTCTTGTGAGTCCGCACGGGTAGGTACCACCACCCTGCCTATTTCTGCCGTGAAGCAGTAATGCGTTTCGGTTTGAAGGGTGGGGCAGCCGTTGTAACTATACTTGAGACCTTAGAACTTATATCTCAAGGTGCATGCGCATTTAGGTTGTAGATGTCGATGGGCTCTAGTAACCATTTAACACCAGGTGGGCTGTGAGCTGGTCCACCCATCTAAGCATTAAAAAAATGAACTTTTTTGTTTTTTAGCTTGTATGAGACCGGCACTGATTGTATAGACGAAAGCTTCCTGACGAAGGACACCGGCTGCGACGTTTGGGAGTTTGTTGAGACAAACGATAACAGACAGAAGCCAGACTACAAGAAGGGTCTCGATACTGCGGTGAGTATCCGCGTCCCTACCCCCTGGGATGTGCCGGGGACACTCCCGAACTTGTTGGCGGGAACGCGAGGAGTGAAGTTGTGTGATTTGTTTTATTTTGTCTTGTTAGTGTTTCTTCAGGTTTAAATGTGTAATAACGGTGGTTTAATAACTGTTTAATATCTGTGAAAGTGCACAAATGTGGGAAAATGAAACAAAGCCGCTGGACGTAACTTATCGGGATCCTCCAAAAAGTCCACTGAAAAAGTCTCAGTAAATAACCACCATTTTCCTGAGATTATATTTCATCCCATATCATCTCATCTCAATTCATTTAATTTCATCTCAGTTGATTAATGTCTCAAATTAATCATCTTCATTTAATTTAACTCCATATTATCATTTCTTATAAAAATAAGATTAAAAATTAAAATAAGACTTGATCTAAAGGTCTTAGTTACCAGGTTATAAACTCTCTTAAAAAAGGGGACGCTCCCATACCCTCAAAATATCGAAACCATAACGAGTTGTTCAATTATACAATCGCTCCAAAGTAAAAAAATGTTTGCTGTTATTATTAGTTGGTACTTAATCATCTTATGAAACAGCTGATCGTTGTGTACTCGATAGTCGACCTTAATCACTGATACCTCAAGATATAGATTCGTTTTGTGTATTAAATTTTCTCTTATGTTTTATTATTAACATGTTTATTTGGGTGGACCGAGAAAAAACCGTTTCCGAGACTACTAAACGTTGATTATGTTTGTGAATATAAAAAAAAAAGATGTGAGGTGTCGTGGGACACCGGATAGGAACGAAGTTCCTTATAAAAATATTAATTTTAACTTATATTCGAGGTATACAGAAAATAAAACTGGAGGTTTCGCAACAACCCACGGTCATTCGGTAACGTGCAGCTTATTGTGGTACACTTCATTCACGGTTGTTTGCATAAGAGTTTGTGAATTGCGATTTGCGCAAACGAACGCTCTGAGATCGTGGTCAATGAATGATAAAAAAATATATAATTTTTTGTACGTTATTACCAAGTTAAGTCGTACATTGTGTGCGTTACTAATAAAAATCTTACGTTACGGACGTTTTTTCCCGCTTAGGGTACCCCTCCGCATCGTCCCATAAGGAACTTCACTCCAAAAATTTATACGGAACTTTAGTTTCGATATTGAGATGGCGATTTGTAGATGTTCTTCAAATAATATTGGCCGTAATCGTTTAAAAAAATGCTTTCGTTTGTTCTCAGTATCTGAACGGTCGCGTGTTCCTACAGCACGGCCGCCTGCTGCGGTCGGCGCGGGTCACGTACCCGTACAGCAAGGAGCCCTACCGGGTGCACGCGCGCCGCCTCGCGCCCGCGCAGTGCCACCTCTCCCCGCCGGACTCCGACGAGGAGCGGTCTTCGCCCAAGCGAAACGCGAAAACTCCTTCGAAGATCGCCCCGAAACGACCCAAGAAACAACTCAAATCGCCAACAAAAAGCGTAAAGGACGTAAACGACAACACAAAGCACAAAGACTGCTCCATTCTGAGCCCTAAAGCGAAGAAACAACAGAACGTCAAGCCGAAAAGCAAAGAGGTCGTCAAACGGAAAGACTCGAAAGGTTTAATATGTAAAAACGAAGGTTCTAGAACAAAACAAACAAAGATTGAAGGCATAGCGAGTGCGGACGCTAAGAAAGCCGAGATCAAGAGTAATTGGACTCGCGACGAGGACAAGACGATGCTGCAGGTTCTGAAAGGGGAGGCCGGCTCCGAGCAGGTGTTCCGCCGCATCCGGCAGCTTCTGCCGCACCGGTCGCCCGCCGAGATCAAGGAGCGCTTCTGTCACGTCATGAAGCTGTTACAGCAAATGTCGGTCGGCGAGGTTACTTAGATATTATTATGCATGTAATTGATATTTATAAATTTTGTATAAATAAAATATTTTTGACGGACTATATTTTTTGTTGGTTTTTAATTAATGAAATCCAGTCTACTTTATTACAGCCGATAATCGTAACGGAAATTAATCACGCCTATTTGTGTAGTTGTACATTAATGTGGGCGGTTCAAAATTCTCTATCACACCTAGATAACTTGTGGTCACGCAGTCACAGCATCGAATATATTATTTTAGATATATTTTTTGCCTAACGACTTGTGATTCGAGATCTTACGCAACATCGGTACTAATATTATAATGACAAACTCTCTATTTAGTATAACAAACAAAGTAACTGTCTATTTGGTATAACAAACAAAGTAACTGTCTATTTGGTACGTTTTCGCGCTCAAACCACGGAACATTTTATTTTATGAATTCGATGGAGACAAAGTTTGGACCCTGTGAAAGAATATAAATCACATTTCGGCCCACTTCTACTCACGTAATATGTATTGTAGTCCACGAAGTGTGGGTGGAAAACTAGAATGTCAGTATGCATTAAATGTTGGCAGAACCGATATTTTATCGGTTTTGATAATATGCTTTTGATGTCCGACGCTTACGTGGATAGTGATTACCTTCACACGTTGACTTGGACAATGCCAGTGATAAAGCCAAACTGAAGAAGTGATAGTGACGCTCATACTCCAGCGGTGATCATAATTATTTGTACATCACATGTTTTTACTTTCAGTATTACCAAAGAAAGGTTGCCGGCTTAACTGTTGTATTGGTTTATTGAACAACTGAATTAATCCTATTAGATCCGTAGTGGAGAAGAATGCATGGACGGACGATTTAAACTAAAATAATAAAAAAAGTACTCTAATGCGTCGAGTAATTCGATTGGTGTTTAATTTAAACAAGCACTATTTATGCATTTACTGTTTATTTAAATTTGAATTAAAACGTATGTATGTACATATAATTCCTGGCACACACTACACACAGTTTAATTCATGTACCTATGATTTAGAACTATTTGAGACGTACCTAGGTAGTGTGTTATCTAACTCCTTGGTTAAAAAAAATATTATTTGAATCTATAATTTAAAACTAGTAAAAAGGTAGGTACTGAATATATTCTCTTTGATAAATATTTATTTGTCAAAGTTAAAGTAATTTTAGATAATTTAATTTAGATTTGTTTTCTAAAATCAAAATGCCTAATTTAAGTGAGAACTTTAATTTGCGAAAATGTTATTTGAAAAGGCAACAAGTACCGACCCAAAGTGTTATGATAGACAAAATGTCGAAACCCTTGGCCGAAGTTTACTTCAAATCAATGACGCCGAAATTGAAGGTCTTGGCTGGTTTAGAACCACGATTGAAAGGCGGAGGCAGTGATTGGTACATCCCACCAGAAGATCTGCTAAAAGGCAGGGCAGTTTTGAAACCAATACAAAAATGTCATCTTGCGCAACTCAGTTTTGAAGGTATTGCTTACTTTGGAGAAAGAATCGTTGAAGCACATCACATGGAAATGGAGAGAGAAAAGGATCGGATACTCCATGATAATGACGTCAAATGGAAAGAGACAATTGACGCTAAATGTAAAAAACTTTGGGAGGAATGTTCAACGGAAGCCGCAAACAGGAATACCCAAGCTATTCGACAGGCATTTAAAGAATTTTCTGTCGTTTACATGACGTCTTTAACAAGAATAGAATCCTTAATGTCACATGCTGCCAGTATTGAAGTCATGAGAACCAGCGAAGAAACATTTAAAAAGATGAAAAATAAATACAAGGCTCTTGTGAAAATACAAGCTACAAAATTATATGACGAATATACAAAAAAACTTGATGCTGAAAAAGAGAGACTTAAAGCAGAGTTCGTTAAAAGGGTTCAAAACTGTCGGGATGCGATGATTGATAAAGTACACGACCTTAACGTGGAAAAACATGTTGCGATCGAAAAGGTCCGTAACTTAATACAATGCCAAAAGCTGGCCTGTCAAGTATATATCGCATTGAAAGAACGAGATGAATGCCAAAAAGAAATAGAACTTTCTCAACATGAACACAAAAAGAAAATCAAGGCATTGACTCAGCAAATTGCCTTGAATGATTTCGAAATACGTCTCGCGAGAGAAAAAGAAAAGAAACGGCAAGAATTGATTAATATTTGGAAGAAAAAAGTATGCGAAGTCGTAAAGAAATTTCAGCTCTTCGTTTCGTATTGTTTGAATACATTGCCAGAGCATGCAGAATTTTTCACGAACATGGAGAAACTGATGATGATACAGTTGAATGAGGCAGTCGAACAGCCAAGTGTTGAAAGCATTTTTCAGAATGATGATCATGAATTCCGTACTCCAATACCGAAGCCGCATCCTTTCATTCTGTGCAGCGAAAAAGGATACAAACCGAAGATCGACCAAAATCTGTGTCCCAAGCATTGTACTTCAAGTGCATCGCAATTACCGGTTGTAGTAATCAATAAGCGTTACATGTATGCCGCCTGCGATAATTTTGAAAAGCTTTCGTCTAAGATCGAGAACTATATTCATAACGAACCCGTGGACCGAACAGATTCAGAAGATGATCACGTTTACAGTTATGACGTTCCTATAAAGTATAATTTATCTCAACAAATGCTAGAACTAAAACTTGAAAGTTCACTCTTACAGGTTTTACAACAAGAAATTCCTAATTTACGTAATGTGCCAATCGAATGCTGTGTGTGCAAAACACCGTACTGCTTTTGTGATCCACTACACGCATCAAAAATGTCCATAGATTTAAAAGAAAACGTGGAAGAAATAAGCAAGCCATTAACTATAATTTCTTCAGGCAATAAAGTGGAATCACGAACTGAAATACTACAATACGAAAGGGGCCCCAAATTAGAAAGCTATTTTAAGTACGTTGAGCCTAAACGCTGCACATGTCCCAAGACTGCCAAAAAGCATTTGAAAGAAAATTTGCCTGCTTACATGAAGAACACTTCCTCGTATCAGCCTCCTGACTTGCCAAATTATGAAGTCAGTCCAATGTCGACTATTAGAAGACTAGTAATGAAAAGAAGAGCTAAAAATGCCCCACAGCCTGCAATAGAAAAGGTGGAATCTAAAACGCACGATGTTGGTACTCAATATACGGATGAAGAATTTGATTTTCTATGCACATGTTTTTCTGAGGATAACAGTGAGAAAATATTACGCCACCTAAACAAAGGCTGTTTCAAAGAGTCTGAACAAATAAAAGTTGAAATGAATGATGGTAGAACAATGTCTCCGACATTTTTGAATAAATCCGCGGATTCATTTGCAACAGCTCGCGCATTGTCTTTGCGAAACCTTTTGCATAACACGACACAGTTAGAAGAGATCTTCAGGAAATACGATTGTTTATTTTAACCTTTATTTATTTATTATTTTTTCCATTCACTTTGAATAAATTGTAGGGTATTTCTACATTACTTCGTAATAGTTCAGCACTTTCATTTAAAGTAACACTGAACAAGATTATTGATTTTTAACAAAACATATTATTGTTTTAGTTTATAAATCAATGAAGTTCAAATGAAACGGACTGGTGGTGTATAGTTTTTTTTTTTCTAAATTATTAGTCATGTAGTCATTCACGAATGAGTTCAACGATAATTTTTTTGTAAAAAGCATACTGATAAAAAAATTGACATTTCCGTATTAAGGGCACTTTGTAAGCCCGAACGGGCTGCTACCATCATCCTGACTTTTTGTGGTGAAGCTATAATGCATAGGTATCGGTTTTAAGGGCGAAATAGACGGCATATGATACTATTTAGATTTCACCCTTGTATCTCAAGGTGGGCGGCGGCAATCATGTGAACTTTAGGGTTACCATTTTTTTTTCGGTTCTGGAGCCTAGCCTCCTAGGAGGTCCCCGCGCCTAGGGGGCGCGCGGAGTATGTGGGATTTCACCATTAGCAGATGTTGATAGCAGACCGCGGGCCCAAAGACGGTTTAGGGCCCTACCGCACTAAACGACTCCCCTGCACTCTTACACCCGACGTGCGATCTCCGTCCGGGGTCAGAACCTGGTCAGAGTAAGAGGGTTCCCGTGGTCAACACTACTAACACCAGACTTTCGTCGTCACTCCTAGGACGCCCGACCGACGGGTCCTCGAGGCGATAGTCGACGACCAACGACGCCGGTCTCCACGGTACGGCAGCCCTACAAGACCGCCCAGACGATGCCGCTGGTGTTCCGGGATATCCCACTGGGTCAGAACCAACCTGCCGGGTCGGAACGCGATACACCGCCGACCGAGTTGCTCTTCCACAGTATGTTCGGCGACGACAGCGCGTTGTCCCTTCTTCTTGGTGTCAGCGCGCTAGTGATAGTAGCGTGCGGCGTAGCCTAAACCTCCTCAGGTCGCCCCGTGACCATGACCGGGAGGAGACTACCTCCTCACAGAGGCCAGAGTTGGACGAACGCCCTTCTCCGACCGTCGACTCGGCGGGAGAGGGAAAAAGAGCTCTCCTTCTTCAGTGTCGCCGCCTCCTTCCGCGAGATGGTGGACTTTCAGAAGTCGAGCATCTACCAGAGCTAACCGTTAAATACTGGATGCGTAGTCAGCGCTTTCACTTGTCCGTCCCACACAATAGAGCATTACATGTGTATTAAAAATTAAACCCGCAAAAACTATAATTTGTATTGGTGGCATCTTGTGAGCCCGCACAAGTGGGTAATACCACCCTACTTCAGTAGCGTTTCAGTTTGATGCCGGGGCAGCCGTTGTACTGTAAGTTACTCAAGGTGGGTGGCCGTATTCACATTGTTGATGCCTATGGGCCCCGGGAACCTCTTAGCATCAGATCGGCTGTGAACAGATCTGACTCTCTCAAGGTAGGAGGCAGTATTTACATTGTTGATGCCTATGGGTTCCAAAATCCTCTTAGCATCAGATCGGCTCTGAACAGATAGGATAACCCATTTTAGCTATAAAAATGGGCCATTAGATCATCACCACTATAATCTATAACCTTGTCTACTCGAACATACAATCTAGTGGTGTCTTTTACTAAAATGCGTAATTTCAATTTTGAAATTCACAACCAAATTTTTACAATGCCTCTACAGAAAAGACGTAAAATTAGTCTTAATTTAATAGGACCAATCGTTCTCCTCCGTGGAACATTTATATATTAATACGTGAAGTAAAAACTTTGTACCCCTTTTTACGAAAATTGCGCGGACGGAGGAGTGTGAAACTTCTCACACCTATAGAAAATATAGAGCACAATGCTAATATTTTTTTAAATAATGCATAAAAGATACTTTAAATCAATAAAGAAAAAATTACACACACTACCACGTATTGAACACACCACATACATAAAAATATACTCTTTGTTTACTGTCAATTGGGAAACTTTTGTTATTGTTTAAGTCTGTGGTCGAATTGAAAATAGATTAATATTGTTTGTCTTTAATATTATTGATCTATAGTGCAGTTTTGGCGAATACTGTGATTATATTATCGAAATATAATAGGGTTTGACAATAGAACCATATTAATGTTTAAACTTATAATTTCAATGAATTATAGTCGAATTTCGACTACTGCGGGGCCGCTAGTCTATATTATTTTAAGATTTTCAATAAAACGCACGTTTAGTCTATAAAAAACCTTTAATTAAAATCACTGAACATCGTGAAGTCGGCAACGTTACCGAGGACCGGGCGCAGATACAGTAAGTATAACAGCTACCCGACAACATACAATATGAACTTACGAGCCACTAGTTCGGGCCATACATTACACAAACATCAATAACTAAACGAGCGGAGAATGATTAACTATAAATTAAATTTACATTAGACACGTGAATTTTATGAGACTGCGACGCGCAGTCAGACTCGCGCGCCGGTTTTGTATTTTTTTTCTTTTCTTTTATTTAAAACTATATATATATATATCTAGTCGCGACGCCGCCGTATGTTTAGAACTACACGTCCGATGTCTGCGTCACTATCGCATACGTGTACCGGCCGGGGCCAGGCGCCATGTTGGTGTGGTGTGGCGACACGCAGGACAAACAGACAGGACGTTAGTTCTGGTCTATCGAGATGGTGGAGATGCCCCGAGGTCGCGAGCGAGACACAGTTTAGCTGTACAGGTCGTCGTCACCCCCCTCCTCCTGGAACGTGGGCTGGTCGCCCGCTGAAGTACCCGTGCCCCCTGTAGCTCCCGCGTTTGTTGGGAATCTGAAACGAATTAAAATAATCTAAATAACTAGCCCGCTGGTGTCTAAATTAATTAACATTGCCGATCTTGAGATATTGGATCAGTCTTGAAATGAAATAAACCCTACAGTCCATTCAGACGTATTACAGTAGTGGGGTATGTACCTGAAGTTGGCACGTCCCTTAGAAGTATTACAATAGTGCGGTGGGTATCTGAAGTTGGCACGTGCCTTAGGAGTATTACAGTAGTGCGGTATGTACCTGAAGTTGGCACGTCCCTTAGAAGTATTACAGTACAGTGCGGTAGGTACCTGAAGTTGGTTCCGAAGCCGCGGCTCTGCTGCAGGGTTTGCGCGAACATCTCGTACTTGCGGATGTCGTTGTCGGACACCGAGCGGCGCGCGAACTTCATCGCCTCCTCGAAGTGAGCGCGGCTGATCTCCGGAACGGGGTCTTCCTCGTCCATCTGTTAACAACCATGTATTCTATTAAATTTTATAAAACCAATTATGCCGAACTTCAGTTTTCTTGACCAGTTTTGTTTAATTGCATAGCTAGTCTTTTATTCGGGCTATGAAAATAATTCCTGTCGGTGTTTGAGCTTTTGAGGCGTCGCTATGGGTCGCTATGAAAATTCAACAGTACGTAAGTCTGTCTGTCTGAGCACGAACCATAAACTGCATAGGATTGTATTGTAGCATGATATACACTAAAAGCTCATTTATATTATTCAATTAATTTGTACACACCCCAGAGAAATACTTGAATGCAACAAATTAAGATCAACAATTTCAGAAACTGAAATCAGTTTATTGGTTTACATTTAAAAACTTAAATGCAATGGTTTTTTTCCAGACATTATTACTATCAAGCTTAAATTAATCAAAGCAGACTCGTGGAAGAGAGGATTTTATTAAAAATTCAGTTCTGCTGGTAAAACTTATTTTCAGATATATGATTTGAGTTTTTTAAACCCAAATTAGTAGGTAATAATACATTTTAAATATTATTTTAACTTAGCCAGTTATTAATTACTTCAATGTAATTACATACAAAAGGTAAGAAACTGGCTTTGTTTAAATGTAACAGTATAGGATTTCGTTTACTTCGTTTTTTTTAAATAACATATAGATGTAGTGGTCAGATACGAACGTCCATAACGGCAGCGGCGGCCTGCTGCTGGCGAGTCCTCTCGCGATGGATCTCCGCCTCGATGGCCTGGCGAATGGCCAGCTTGCAGGCTCGCTGGCATATCTCCGTCAGGTCAGCGCCACTGAAGCCTTGCGTCACCTGCACAATTCTCGTTATCATAAAGAATCCGCCGAGGACAGTGGTAGTAATGGTGTGTAAAAGTAAAATGGTGGTAGGACGTCTTGTGATTCCCCACGGGTAGGTATCACCACCCCGCCTATTTCTGCCGTGAAGCAGTAATGAGTTTCGGTTTAAAGAGTGGGGCAGCCGTTGTAGCTATACTTGAGACCTTAGAACTTATATCTCAAGGTTGGTGGCGCATTTACGTTGTAGATGTCTATGGGCTCCAGTAACCACCAGTAAACACCAAGTGGGCTGTAAGCTCGTCCACCCATCTAAGCAATAAAAAAAAAATTGAGGTATTTTGCCATTAATAACTTATATTGTTTTACAGTTGTATCAATTATCACTTAAATTATAGAAATATAATTGCAAAAAGTAGCCATCTTTCTATGAATACAAAAAATATATTGAAAAGTGGCATGTACCTTAGCGATGTAAGACAAGTCAACGTCCTTAGCGATGGGCGATTTGCGAAGGTTGGCGCGCAGGATGGCCTCACGGGACTTCTCGTCCGGCAGCGGGATGTAGATGAGCTGGTCCAGGCGGCCGGGACGCAGGATGGCCGGGTCGATGATGTCCGGTCTGTTTGTGGCACCTTCATCACAAATTATTCATTTAGTTTCTCCTGATTCAATTCATTATAATTCTTTTGCAAAGTTATCATTGTAATCGATTCATCATCTGCATGTCTACGATTTGGTTTTAAAAATAAAAATAAAAAATTTCGTATCATTGACTAGCCGTACTAGCCTACTTCGCTGCGCATTTAAAATTAACATTATTATTTATTGTCATTATTATTAGGGAGTCCAACGCTCATATAAATATTAGTCTATCCATTAAGTACGTGTATTTTCTACATGGATACCAAGTTTCAAGTCAATCGGATGCAGGGTTCAATAGTTATAACGGAACATCCGTAAAAACCACTGTAAAAACCCGTTTTTTTTTTCCCCTACCTAAGCTGATAGTCTTGAGAGGCTGTATCAGCGTAACCTAACTAGTAGGTGAGCTCACGGGGCTAAAACCTGATGACGTTGCTAACACGAACCCTAGCAAGAGTAGTGCTTCGCAGAATCTACCACCGGGTTGGAAACGCGACCCACTGAGAAGATCCGGCGAGAAACTCAGTGGGCTGTGTCTGAGGGTAAAACCACTGTAGATTTATATATTAGTATAGATAGTGAGTTGTCAATTAGCAGTGGTCATTTAATTGAAATTTCTTTAGGTAGTATAATGTAGTGACCGATGATGAAGACGTTCTTCTTGGCGCCCATGCCGTCCATCTCGGTGAGGATCTGGTTGATGACGCGGTCCGCCGCCCCACCCGCGTCCGACACGGAGCCGCCGCGCGACTTGGCGATGGAGTCCAGCTCGTCGAAGAACAACACGCACGGAGACGCCGATCGAGCCTGACCGGGGACACAAACATTAATATGTACTATAGTACATTGTGCACCAAGGGAGAAAATTAGGACATTTCCTCCCGCGTGGATGAAATGTCCTACTTTTTTCCCGTGGTGCACATACAATTTTTTCTCCTACCAGGCCGAAAGTTCGTGGAGTACCGAGGATACTCATTGGTGGACTCATACATCGTGGAGGATACTCATAAAAAATCAATTTAACTGTTTTTTAATTTTTAAATAAACTTCTACTAATTGAATAAGATCTGTCTGATGAACTCATCTTTGTTTAATACTTCACTATTAAATTTTATTGCCTTTTGTTTATTTCACTTTTACACTAAACACAATATTGCAAAATTCCCGAGCACGACAATGGCGGACAATTTTAGGTGCGTGAGAGCAGACGTAGACACTAACGCGCATGCGCACTTGTACCCAGGGAGAAAAAGTTACACTTTCTTCCCTGTACAGCGGATCGGTGTAAACGGATATAAACGGATCAATAAGCCCACGGCTCTCCTTGTGATGAGCAATGCCAAGGCTTCATGCATGCAGATATGAGTGCTAAAATTTCATTTTCCTAATTTCCAAACAACTGTACACTATAGATTTAGACATTTATATTACAATTGATTATTATGAAAGGTGATTGCATGCAGCAGAGATGCGAATGTTGCGATGGATGTGTGGAGTAACGAGAATGGATAGAATACGGAATTAATATGTTAGAGGAAGTCTGAAAGTGGCACCTGTGACAAAGAAGCTGAGAAGTGCGCGTTTGGGATGGTATGGACATGTGATGAGACGAAATGAAAATTAGGTTGGTAAAAAAATGTTAACTATGAATGTGGAAGGATATAGAGGAAGAGGTAGACCTAAGAAGAAATGGAATATGACAGAAGAGTATGGAAGGAGAAAACATGTTGCGCTGACCCCAGGTAACTGGGAGAAGGACGGGATAATGATGATGAATTTATGATATTACAATTGATTATTAGCATTCCGGCGGTAGTAACCGTAGCTTTAATATACTCATTTATAAGTGAGTATTATTATTGCAGTTTATATTACGTGAATATGCTATGTAAAGCGAAAACACACCTTCCTCCAAATTGAATATTTTTCGAATACATTCTCCTTCATCTTTGTTTTATGGAATATTTCAAATATACCCAGTCTAAATGTAACAAGACAAATGATTTAACAATTAGGACCCACCTTGTCGAAGATGTCGCGTACGTTGGCCTCGGACTCGCCGAACCACATGGTGAGCAGCTCCGGTCCCTTCACTGATATAAAGTTGGCCTGACACTCGTTGGCGATGGCCTTTGCCAGCAAAGTTTTACCTGATTGATAATGATAAAACAATACTTGTAATGATTTCTACAAATTACACCAGTTACATATTATATTACATATTATACAGTATGAAACAAATGATTTTATGAGAAATTTTTGCATGGGTAGTCGTCGTGGCCTAAAGGATAAGAGGTCCGGTGCATTAGTATCTAGCGACGCAACGGTGTTCAAATCCCGCAGGCGAGAACCAAGTTTTCTAATGAAATACGTACTTAACAAATGTTCACGATTGACTTCCACGGTGAAGCAATAACATCATGTAAAAAAATCAAACTGGCAAAATTATAATTTGCGTAATTACTGGTGGCAAGACGTCTTGTCCCCACGGGTAGGTACCACCACCCTGCCTATTTCTGCCTCATCTCTGAATCTCAAGGTGGGTAGCGCATTTACGTTGTAGATGTCTATGAGCTCCAATAACCACTTAACACCAGGTGGGCTGTGAGCTCGTCCACCCATCTAAACACAAAAAAAAAACATAAGTAAACATAATCCCTCATGCTGTAGCTACAGACTGTGTAATGTCTCCATTATACGCACCACAACCAGGAGGTCCGTAGAAGAGAACACCGCGCGAGGGCTGCATGCCGAACTTGAGGAATTTATCGGGATGTTCGACCGGATACTGCACGAGTTCTTGGAGTTCACGCTTCACTCCCTCCAGCCCTCCGATGTCGGTCCACGTCACGTTGGGAACTTCCACTACTGTCTCACGTAACGCCGATGGAGACGATTTCGTCATTGCGTACTGTTTTAGAAAGGAAATTTGGAATTTAATTAATAGTACATATATATAACCAAAGCCAGTGCAGGATACGTTGTAACTAACACAAGTCAATCACACATTGTGATTTGTATAGCACAGTAAAATTTATTCAATCTTACGTTTCAATAATTTTATTGACATTGAAGACGCCTATTTATTTATTTTTCGAGGAAATCGCCGGATTCCCACCCTCCACTGGGGATGGCCGGCGGGGTATGTCGGAGTCGAACCGACTAAAACCTCCTGTCGCTCAACAACCCACGTCCGAGCCAGAACTCATGAAAAGGCAAAGGGGGAGAGTGAAGCGTTTAGTGTGGAGCACATCTCTCCCATCACCCTCCCCCTCACAATAGCCTATGACATAAAAATGGGTGAGCCAAGAGCATATCTAACTATGCTACAAGAATAAAAATAATTATACTCTCTAATGAGGAATTATTATTTACACAAAAATTGATGTCAAACCATTTAGCATTCTATACATCTAGAAATTATGTTTTCAACTATGACATTTATTCACGCTATTGACAAAAAACATACCCGGAAGTTATCCATGGAGACAGCCAGAGAATTGAGAACCTCTGCGTCGATCTGATCGTCCTCGAGGTCAATGAGATCCATCTTCTCACGAATCTGCTGCAAGGCTGCCTCCGAGCACAGAGACGCGAGATCAGCGCCCACGTGACCGTGAGACTCTGCTGCGATCTAAAGAATGAGATGAAACCCACATTACAATAACATCTAGAAGGTACAACAAAGCCTTTTTTGTTAAATATAGTTATTGTTAACTGCCTATTTCGGCCGTGAAGCAGTAATGCGTTTCGGTTTGAAGGGCGGGGCAGCCGTTGTAACTATATTGAGACCTTAGAACTCATATCTCAAGGTGGGTGGCGGCACTTAGGTTTTTTTTTTTTTATTGCCCTTCTAGGTAGACGAGCATACGGCCCACTTGATGGTGAGTGGTTACCGTCGCCCATGGACTTCAGCAATGCCAGGGGCAGAGCCAAGCCGCTGCCTACCGCTTAATACTCTCCACAAGCCTCTTTTGAAGAATAATTGTAGACGTCTATGGGCTCCGGTAACCACTTAACACCAGGTGGGCCGTAAGCTCGTCCACCCAACCAAGCAATAATGCATATTGTTCCTGGAATAGTTACTGAAATTTTCTTTATGTGAGCGGTGTGAAGTTTCACCTGTTCTAGATCGACATCGTCTCCTAGCTTCATGTTCTTGGTGTGTATGCGCAGGATCTCGAGGCGGCCGGTCGCGTCGGGGATGCCGATGTCGATCTCGCGGTCGAACCGCCCGAAGCGCCGCAGCGCCGGGTCGATGGAGTTCGGCCGGTTCGTGGCCGCCATCACGATCACATGGGACGACTTCTTCATGCCTGCGTTAGACAAAATATTCTAATTATTATAATCTATGATCTTGTTGCAAATAATCTGACAGTAACAACCTATTCAACATTTCGGTTTCAGGTTTTCATGTAGGATATCGGTGTATTATACTAGCCCTTCTCTAGAGGTTCTTTATTTTTTATCAAATGCGCAAAAATTTTGAAATAATATTTAAAACTAGCGACCCGCCCTCGCTTCGCTTCGGAAACATTAAATTTTATTATTGATAGGCGAAGCCCGCCATGTTGCGCGCGGTACGACAATAACTGCGGGTATCGCCGCGGGGCGAAGCTAGTCTAAAAAAGTAGCCTAAGTTACTCCTTATATCATCAGCTACCTATTAGTGAAAGTCTCATCAAAATCGGTCCAGCCGTTCCAGAGATTAGCCGGAACAAACAGACAGACAGACAGAAATTGTAAAAAATGTTATTTTATTTTGGTGTATGTACCGTATATATATATTCATATGCATGTAGTAAAAAGCGGTTACTTCAATACTACAAACAGACGCTCTAATTTTATTTATATGTATAGATGTAATATATTTCAACAAAACCAACAAAAAAAACTCAATCATGACTCACCATCCATAAGCGTCAATAACTGTGAAACGATACGTCTTTCCACTTCACCGTGGGTTTTCTCTCTCTTTGGTGCAATAGCATCGAGTTCATCAATGAAGATAATAGCCGGAGAGTTCTTGTCGGCTTCCTCAAACGCCTTACGGAGGTTTGACTCCGATTCTCCCGCCAGCTTAGACATGATCTCCGGTCCATTAATTAAAAAGAAGAAAGCTCCTGTTGGATCAAAATAAAGCATTTTTGAAGATTTTTTACATAAAAAACTTATTTAATTAATTTTTTTTTTATTGCTTAGATGGATGGACGAGCTCACAGCCCACCTGATGTTAAGTGGTTACTGGAGCCCATAGACATCTACTTAATACTACTACTACTATTACTACTACTACTACTAAATAATAATATAGAGTATTTTTAAAATATATGGAAGATTAATATTTGTAAAAAATACAGATAAATATGATATAATGTTAATTATTTGCGAGTACAGCAATTTTACCTGTTTCATTAGCAACAGCACGAGCAATGAGTGTTTTTCCGGTACCAGGCGGCCCATACATGAGAATGCCGCGTGGAGGCTTCACTCCAATAGCCTTGAACAGTGAAGGATGACGCAGTGGCAACTCCACCATCTCCTTAATTTGCGCCAGTTGTTTGCGACAACCGCCGATGTCATCATAGCCGACAGCATTTAGTGCTTCCTCTTCTTCCTGTTGACCATACGATTGTGTTAGGCGAACATAAAAAAAAAATGATTTTTGTTAATACCATAGGAGTACAATTTTTTTATGATTAAAGCATATCCATACTGAGTTCGGACATCAGGACAGGTAAATACAACAACATTTAAACATTCTACAATAAAAAAAAGTGCACTGGTTATATAAACTGACTGGTATATTATGGATCAGAGAGTCAGACAAGCAACACTTTATCCTACAAATGCAATAAAATGAAATGCAATGATCTAAATGAAAATGCAATGTCTTAACATTCTTTTTTTATAACAAATCTAATAAAGACGAAACCGTGGAACATGCCTAGTGTACCATAAAGTAAACATTAATTTTACAAACACATTAGTAAACAAATATAAGTTATCAGAAGTACTTGGGGCACTTCTTTTTTTTTTTTATATTGGTTTGATGGGTGGACGAGCTCACAGCCCACCTGGTGTTAAGTGGTTACTAGAGCCCATAGACATCCGCAACGTAAATGCGCCACCCACCTTGAGATACAAGTTCTAAGGTCTCAAGTATAGTTACAACGGCTGCCCCACCCTTCAAACCGAAACGCATTACTGCTTCACGGCAGAAATAGGCAGGGTAGTGGTACCCACCCGCGCAGACTCACAAGAGGCCCTACCACCAGTAAAAACTAAAAACCAGTATAAACTTCAAATTTAGATAACAAGAAGGATACTTAGAAAATATATAGTGCATTTAATACATACCTCACGTTTAATCGGTTCACCGTCACAGTGTATTACAGTATCAGGAGCCACGATGCAAAATGGTGATGGATCTGTTTCGACCACTTTAAACTCGACGGCGCGCATGCCCCCCCGGACCATGAAGGTGTCGTCACGATGGATCGGACGGTAAGCCTCCATGAAGTACGGCTTCAAGTATACTTCGAATAGATTGCTATTGTACAAAATATAAATTTTGTTTAGATTAAATAACCTAAGACTGATACGATTATGTTTTTTTTTACTTATTCTTTATTGCTTAGATGGGCGGACGAGCTCATGGCCCACCTGGTGTTAAGTGGTTACCGGAGCCCATAGACATCTACAACGTAAATGCGCCACCCACCTTGAGATGTAAGTTCTAAGGTCTTAGTATAGTTACAACGGCTGCCCCACCCTTTAAACGCATTTCTTCTTGTCGGCAGAAATAGGCGGGGTGGTGGTACCTACCCGTGCGGTCTTACAAGAGGTTCTACTGTAATTCGAACACCGGTGCATCTCTTATCCTTTAGGCCATGATGACTTACAAGTAACGACATAGTATCTTGTCTATTACAATCTGTGCAAATCGAGAGTAATATACTATGTTCATACGAAAACTGTGTTAGTTACCAAAGTGAAAAAGAGATTACAAATAATTATAATCTAAATACAAAACAATACAATTTTATTCATTAGGCTCATATGGGAGGAGGCACTTCTGCCAGGTAATAAAGAGGAAACTGCGCTCATTAGGGCATATTTGGAGATGCCTATTATTCACAGTGGATAAGAGCTGATGATGACTTACAGCATTGAGGGTTTTTGCATAATATATTGAAGATACTGAAGGAATCAATAGCACTATTGTGTATTAGATAATTAATTCATTTTCATGGCTGACACTGACAATCATTTAGACACTAACAATATGTACTATGCTAATATTGTATTGAAGACATAATTGAGTTTTACTTATCAATCAAACAGATATATTATTAATTATGCAACCACACAATTCCTCCCATCGCAGACTTATTATATTGAGTTGAAGTTCAATTACAATCAACAAACTATTGATACTAATACTAAAGAAAAAGCAACATTAATTAAAAAGATATATTGCATATTAAGTGAAATGTCACTTAAACCAAATAAATAGCCTTCACCCTTCAATATATTATATTAGATTGATCAGCAACTCCAATATTTATAGTTTTATATATAAAACGCATTATTAGTAAGGAGTTTGATAAGTTTCATTAGTATTCAATTAATAGTCAATTGCTATATCTTACCCAGTAAGACCCTCAACTGAATCATCAATTGGCAGTATGTGGACTCGTTTTCCATATTTCACTGAAGGACACGGAGCTATGGATACCACATCAGAAAGACGCACACGAAGGTTGTTTCTCACGACACGGTTCATCCGAATTTTCTCATCAGGGCAATTATCATCTGAGAGCACGATGCAAACGGTTTCCTTGCGGCGTTTGCCCTTGAGCAAGACTGTGTCACCACGGAAGAGTTGAAGTTGCTCCATTTTGGCCTGTTACAAAAAAAATTGATGATTGTAAAAACTAGAATTCATTAATAATTTTATTATTATTGTAATTATTTTTTATGTTTCTTATTTGGTATATTGTTGGATTATATNGCAATTATCATCTGAGAGCACGATGCAAACGGTTTCCTTGCGGCGTTTGCCCTTGAGCAAGACTGTGTCACCACGGAAGAGTTGAAGTTGCTCCATTTTGGCCTGTTACAAAAAAAATTGATGATTGTAAAAACTAGAATTCATTAATAATTTTATTATTATTGTAATTATTTTTTATGTTTCTTATTTGGTATATTGTTGGATTATATTTACATTTATGTATGTTTATATTTTTTTATGAGTAAGTAGTAGAAGTCAATAGAAGTAATTTATTTGCATTAATACATAAAATAATCTAATATGCACTACGGTTGGCTGGTAGTTTATTACAGCATTAAGTTTGCAATTTAACTTTTTTGTTACATGTAAATAAAGAATTTTCGATTTATAAAATTTTGCTTTTTATACAAAATATGGAATTTATATTCAATTTATTTCCTTATCATGAGTTCATAATGAACATATTAGTGTGCTATCATTTAGTTAAAGAAATTTGACTGTCATAAATACAGTTTAATAGTTAGTAATGTGTACTGATTGCCAATGATATTATTTAGTTTAACTTCATATTTCAGAACAAAAAAGTGTGTTGTTATTATAATTACCAATGGTAAATTCATACAATATTTGTGCTTCTAATAGTTATTTTGCTTAAGGATTAATATACCAAAACATGGCTTTTTATACTTATGCAATATATATCTAATAATATTTTTACATTTGCACACTATCATCTGAAAGCCCTAATAACTAAGTATAAACCATTTGTTAGAATGTTTGAGCTGAATCTCAAGCTGACTCAAATCAAAACAGTTGTAATTTATGCATTAGTAAAACTTGCAGTAACAGTTTTGATACATCACTCAAGTACAATCTTTCAGAAGCTGGATATTTCGGTGCCACACAGGCTGATAGAAAGAAACGTAGTGATTTGTGTATTAATTTGTGATTATGTATAATCAATGTAAATGTTTATGTGTAATCAAAGGCACTCTAGCGAAACCTACGTAAATTCACAGTAGATAGATTCTAAGCATATGTTAGCATCGGAAGGACATTGTTTATTATAAGCTTTTATTGACAGGCAATACGGATACAGGACTTTACTGTCAATATCTGATTGACAATCAAACAACAAAATGGTAATTTTTTTATAATGATAATACAAGTTTTTTTTTTATTGACCTTGTAGGCAAACAATCACTCGGTCCACCTAATGGTGAGAAATTACTGTTGCTTATAGAAGTCAGTGATCCCAGAACCACAACCAGAACGTTGCCCACTACTAAGGACTCTCTATAAACCTCGTTAGGAGAACCACGTATATTTTTAACCAGTCCGAAAATATTGAGTTTCGTTGAGAAGCATTAACACATTCATAATATAGCCCTAAGCTTAAACTCACAAATCTTCTTCAGCCCCTTCAGAATTTTTAGGTACTGTTCGTTTATTGTACTGTACTGTAGTATTTTTTAAATCAAAGTCTCCAAAGTTTTCCTTAATGGTCACTACCAACTTGGTAACAAACAAAACAGTAGTTGGTAGTACCAACAATATAGATCAGGTTTTTCTAAGTTCCTATTTTAAATAAAGTGAGTTTTTTATTCCACTTGGTAACTAATTTTATTTCATACTTTTTAGTCAATTGATTCTGTAAAATAAATTCATTCTATGCAGGAAACAGACTTAAACAGATAATGTTTTTGGTAAGAGATATCTTTAATTATAAAAAACAATGAATAAATATTATTCCTCTATTAATTTTGTCAGAGACACTATGTTGAAATAATATATGACATATCACTTTTATTAGGNTCCACTTGGTAACTAATTTTATTTCATACTTTTTAGTCAATTGATTCTGTAAAATAAATTCATTCTATGCAGGAAACAGACTTAAACAGATAATGTTTTTGGTAAGAGATATCTTTAATTATAAAAAACAATGAATAAATATTATTCCTCTATTAATTTTGTCAGAGACACTATGTTGAAATAATATATGACATATCACTTTTATTAGGTGTTTTTATTTTGTCTTTTCTTAGCGCTTGTGTTACCAGATTTTTTACTTAGTTATATATTGTGTGTCTAATAAATAAATAAAAAATAAAAATAAACAACCAACTGACATCTCATTTGCTAAAATCCTATAAAATATTTAAGCTGAGGAGTATAACATACATAAGTTCACATAACTTGGAATAGACCTTATAAATTTAATAATCAGTTGAAAAACACTGGACAACAGTTTACTACAGTAACAGTTTACCGGTGGTATTATAAGCCTGGGTTGAGTGCAGTCATGCATTCCAATTTGACAGATAGGTTGGCCATTGTCATACAGTTTTTTTTCTTTCTTTTCTTTATTGCTACGATGGATGGACAAGCTCAGGACCCATCTGATGTTAAGTGGTAAACTGGTCTCAGTTTTACAGTTATAACAGTCACTCAATCTACTCTTTGGACCAAAATGAATTACAGCTTCAAGGCAACTGAGGTTGGTGTCACATTCACATTATGATGTCTATGGACTCCTCACATAGGCCGTGAGGACATTCACCCATCTTTGCAATGAATAAATAAAAAAAGTAGTCTTACAGCTTTACTATTGACCTAAAGAGATAAAAAGGTTATTCAACTCTGATGGTTATAACAATGGATATTTTGCATCATATAAACTATGTTACAAAGGTTCGTTCTTTTCTATAGATTAATGGGGAAGGACAGAGACATTTTAATCATTGTTCTTTATTGTTAAATTATTAAAAACAGTAGTTACATATTTTTTTTTGCATGGTGCCTATGCGTCTTACAAAATACTGTATTTTATTAACAAAACAATAGTTTTAGGGATGTTCTTTTGTTTGTTTGATTTGAAAAAAAAAACCTTTATGTGTTATGTTTATGTTAATTTTATTATTTGAAGGTTAGGATGACAGACGAAATTTACTTTTTTTTTGTTCAAAGCAAAAGTACTAATATTGCTATTTAAGGTTTAGTGAATGAACCAAACATCTTGTCCAGAGACAAAGCACTGACCTGTGAAAGTGCCACGACTGAGTTGTCATCGCTGACTGCTTCTTCGACAATGAGACGGTTGGGTCTGTCCTTGCGACGGAGGATCGCGGTCGATAAATCATCAGGGCTGGAATACAAGACAATTATGACTACTCTTCAGTTTAACATTTATTTCTCACTAGTAGAAATACTTGGGTTTTGTTTGGTTTAAGTAGAAGGATTAATGTCTTTTCATTAAGATTTTTGTATTTAAAATGGTATTGGTATTTTTTAATGATTTTTGGACATAAGTTCAAACTGATTATCACTGGTGCTGAGGATGATGTTTCACTTAATTACACATTTCTAAACATATATTTCGAAAATTTGGTGAGTTCGGGTGCTCAATTTCATTCATTTTTATAGGAATGATTTCAAAATGCCGAAATTCTTTTGTGTTAATTTGTCATCTCACCGTCTCTTAAATAGAACAAACTTGTTTTCAGAACTAAGTACTCTTGCATTAGAAAGTTACAATGCTGTAGAATAATAAAATTGCTGTTGTAGGTCATTGATGAAAATAAAAAAATCACTACACTTTAAAAGTTTAATTCTCGACATGATGACAAGCCAAATTCGAAATGCATTCACAATGTACTTCGCCGATTTCGTGTAAATTTTACATGAAACTCCGTTTTGAATATTTGACGAATATAATTTAGCACTCACCTTTTATTATCTGCCATTTTATTCAAAATTTATTGTTAGAATCTAAGAACTATTATAATTTTTATAACGCCAAATAATTACTTGGCGAACTTCAATCCTAGCGTGACGTTGCCGTATTTCATTTGTTCATCGATAAGCTTCGTGTTGCCATAGAAAATAATACCATAACTAAAAGACCCATTTCTGACTAACTCTTCAAGTTTTAATCGATTGTAACCATCTCTCGATTGCAATCATTGATTACCACCACAGAGTTGCAAAATGTCTCAATGGATTTATAAATTCTTTAAAATTGGGGTAATTTAAGACGCGAATTATAAATTTCGAAATTAAAAAAATAGAGGTTTAATCAAAGATCGCCATAGAGGTTGGCATCAGAGGCTGGCCATACTACCGATAGCTAATTATGATTTTGGACACAAAACAAGGCTAATTGAGTGTAATTTCGAATAAATGAGCATCTCTCTCTCTGATGATGCGCAATACTCTAGATCAGCCATCTGCCTTTTGTATTTTTTTTATGACTTGAAAGCGTTGACTGTATTGTCTTACCTTTGTCAAACCGAAATGTATGACGGCTTCGCTGTGGGTATAGGCAGTTTATTGATTACAATCTATTCGCACTCACAATCTGCCCTTCCACCAATAATTGAACAAATTTGTTAATTGTGATTAGTTATTAAGGGTTTAGTTTTTATAACATGATGTGTTATTATTATGTAATATTACTTAACATATTGCCTTCTTGGGACAGGTGGCAATCTTTTTCATTTTAAATAAATTACCTATGGTAACTGTTGAGTTAGTCTATTGTTCCATTTTTTCAACAGGCAAAGCTTAGATATCACACCATACTGCCTATTCTTTTGTTTAATTTGTTATATGAAAAAACATAAGGAGCGAAAAATTTAAAAATTAAATCGATGAAATAAGGTAAAGTTGATTTATTTGAGACTAATGGGTGTAATAGTGGAGATGAAATGAAATAAAACGAGATGAAATAGCATGAAATTAAATCTCAGTAAAGTAATGGTTATTTATTGAGATTGTTTTCAGTGGACCACCTTTTTTTCCCCTATCTATGCTGACATCCTTGAGAGGCTATTTCAGCTTTTCCTTGACGTGTAGGTGAGCTCACGGGGCTCTAACCGGGAGTGTTGCTAACACTGGCCCTAGCAAGACCAATCTACCACCGAATCGGAAACGCTACCCACTGAAAAGATCCGACGAGAAACTCAGTGGGCTAAGTGGACCACCCTTATTAGAGGTTTAAACCTGAAAAACCACTAAATTAATAAAATAAACCACAGAAATAGGACACTAGAACACAGAGCATTAAATAAAAATCATAATTCATAGAACTTCCAAAAAGTCCAAGGGAATCACATAAATAGAATAGCCCAAGTGGGCTGTGATCCCACTGTCTTGCACTTCGAATCGTTCCCAAACAATTTAGCAATCATTCGAGATGTTTTAAATAATTTGTGAAGTGCAAAAAGTAAATAAAAATACACACGATTTTATTTTTGTATTGCTTAAATGGGTGGACGAGCTTACCTGCCCACCTGGTGCTAAATGGTTATCGAAACCTATAAACCTCAACAATCAATCTATGCCGGCTCCCAAGACGTCCTACCACCAATAAGTAATTACTCAAATAAAATATTTTGTTGTTTTTTTTTACACGACGTTATTCCTTCATCGTGGAAGTCATTCGTTTGTCAAGTACGTATTTCACTAGAGAAAAAGAACGAAGCGTCTTAACTTTGAGCCTACGACGACTTCAAAATCTCGCTGTTATTCAAAAATCCATTTGATCATGTAATTAGTTTCGTAATTTTTTATTGGCATCGAAAATTCCCGTAGCTTAGTAATTAGTTGACAAAAGGGCCTATAGCTACTAGCTTTGGCTATTTCAAAACTTTTATAATAAAAAAAAACAATAATAATGCATTTGTGGAAACCTTAAATACACTTACTCACATATAGATAGCACTTGTGGAAACTGTCGCTGTTATCTTATCATTTCATTCACATCTCTATTTTTGTTATACATTCTCATTGAAGTAGCGTAAGATAGTAGAGTAGGCTGAAAACGTCCTTGATCGCAGTGGATGACTAACTGTCATTTAATCAGTGTGCTTAGTGCGAGTTTCTTAACGTTCTCGATAACGTAAAAGTTAAACCAATTTTGTATGCAGTTGGAACAGCACCCCTAGCAGCAAACGTACGCAAGCGATCCCATTGCATACAAATATTAAAAAACTCGCACTCAGCACACTGGGTCTTCAACCGATTGAATAAACTTTCCGTCTTTTTAGAAATGATCGAGTATGGCATACGATATACGTCATCTTCAGCGATAGTACATGTTTGAATATTTAGAAGATTCTATCAAAGCCATTGGAGATAATTTTAAATTAACTTCAATAATGCACAGTAGTAATGTTTGATCTAATGGGAAAGAAAAGAAGTTTTCCTTGTAACAATCTTTAAAATTAAATTAAGTATAGCTCCCGAGCTAAGGTCCCCGAGCTTTACATAATTTTACCTTCTGCTATCATTAACGCTTGTAGTAAAGTACATAAAATAGACCACGAATAGCCCGGGGAGTAGCGGCTTTTTTAGTGAAAACTCCTTAGCATCGTTGTAATTCGAAAGTTGATGAAATGAAAAAGCGATAGTAAAAAGAGACAGACAAATTCGTATGATTTAACGTGAGAGAAAATTAGATAGGAAGCAATACAGTGCTTCTTATATTCGTGGTTCTCTTTGTGCTCTGGTTCGTGCCTAACATTAGTATTTAATACATTCTGAATAAATCTATGTAATATATACGAATAAAATGTAAAATAATTATCAAACTTTATATCACTATGATCATTATAAAAACCTACAAAATGATCCTCTTCTCAAAACTTTACCTATATTTCATTATCTTGAAGCCAAATTTTTTGAAGGTTTCATTTCTACGTGTGAATTGCATACATGCATTTTTATTGCGTAGGTGGACGGCCGAGCTTACAGTATACTTGGCGTGTAGTGCTCACCAGAGTCGTAAATGCTGCCACCAACCTTGAGACATGACTTCTAAGTGGCATGGCGAGGAGATGGGCGCTGCGGATGAAACTCCTTTCTGAGTTATGTCTCGTCCGAGGCTCGGACGCTTTGTCTATGCAATTTTTCCGACTCGCCACAATGCGGAAAGTGCTTTAAATGAAATACGTAAAAGTTATTTGAATTTTTATTTTGCTTATTTTCAATTCAAGAAATCTATGAACGTACAGATAAACAGTAAAATAGCTCCGACAGTAACATATTGTGTATGTTAGCACTAAATATAAGCGCTATGAAGCGATAGAAATACCATACGATTTTGAGCCTTCAAATTTATTAATATCGATACATAATCGAATTTGCTTAATTTTGACAATTATGTAGTAACAACAATATTTCATTTAAATTTTTATCATATTAATTTATTTTTTATTTGCTTTCATATTGTTCTATGTATTTTACTACATCAACACGTTTGAAATTTTTGTTAGATACAAATTTTAAGAACGAGAATCTCATAAATTTGAATTGACTTCTTTGATTCATATGTAAATTTAATTTCACGGTTTGCATTTACGGCTTTCCGAGCATCAATGTAGGAGGCGTCTCTATTTGAAATTCATTAAACCTTTTTTTTATTTCCATCCATGTATTCTATGATTGCCAATTTGAATTTTAACTGAATATCGTTTTTAATGCTATCATCTTGTTTATTGAATCTGTGGAATATTATGTCTCTCATAATGCGTATAGTGTCATCCTCAATGTGTTCTGAAAGCCCTTCGCCGTATTTCTTTAAAGTATAAATGTATTTATCGATTTTCATAGTATCCCCTAAACTATAAATATTATTTACAGTTCGAAAAAAATCATAAATATTCGGCGTACAATCAAGAAGGATTTTTCGTAAATATCTCAATTTTACTTTTAAAATTCGTCCCCGGTAATCCGAAAGTTTTCTTAATGTTTCCCGGAATCTTGTGATCGCCTTCTTCATTAAGTAACCCGTTCCGAGACCCCTTAAGCTTTCGTCTAAAACTTTAAAGTATTTAGGGATTCTACGAGACGTGAATTTCGTTAGCAATACGTCACAGATGTCCGTGATAAAATTGTAGAACGGTCCTTTCGGTAATGCTGTTGTCATTGGAGTGGTCACCGTTAAAGGGATGAAAGGAACGTTGTTGAATATTAAAATCTCCTCTGAACGACTGGTCTCCCCGGATACTAGCGGATGGACGATATTTGTGGAGGCGTCATTAAACGGTGTTATGGAAACGTCGGTCGTTGTTGTTGTTGTTGCTTTGGTTATCAAATCTTGTTTGAAATTGTTATCATTTGATGTATCGCGAGATGTATCGTCAGACGTATCACTCGATGTTTCATCGGACGAATCACTCGATGTATCGCTACTAGATGTATCGCTACTAGATGTATCACAATTAATGTAACAAAAAAGGAACGTGAGCACAACAAACGAGTCCATTTATAACGTTTTCCTAACACGTTAGACGCAAGTTTAATGTTCTTCGAGAATGTTTTATTACTAAATTTCTAATTTCTGTGCAACGTTTCTGTTGCCGAACCACGATCGCGCAATCTTCATTAGCTGAAAAAGAAACATATGTTTTTTTAAAGAGATTTTATGACCTGGTCAATAAGACCTTTAAGTCATGTCTTATTTTAATTTATATTCTTACTTTTATGAAAAATGATAATATGGAGTGAAATCAAATGAAATCAAATGAAGATGATTAATTTGAGATATTAATGAACTGGGATGAAATTAAATGAAATGAGATGAGACGAAATATAATCTCAGTAAAATGGTGGTAATTTACTGAGAATTTTTCAGTGGACTTTTTGAAGGATCCCGTGAAGTTACGTCCAGCGACTTTGTTTCATTTTCGCCCATTTGTGCACTTTCACAGATATTAAATAGTTAATAAACCACGTTATTACACATTTAAACCTGAAGAAACACTAGGCAAAATTAAACAAATCACACAACTTCAGTCCTCGCGTTCCCGCCAAAAAGTCCAAATACATACGTTTTTCTTGGCTACTGATAATAATTTAATTTGGCTATTTGTTTTTTTTTATCACCATGGACTGGCAAAAGAAGTTGTCTAATGGATATTGAACCAAGGCGTATCTATCGCCGGACATCTTTAGAATGTAATCCAAGTCCCATGTTTTAAAACTATGCTTATATTATACGTCAAATCATTAATTATACTTCGCAGCTAAAATAACCGTTCCCGGTTGCATTCAACATCTACTATTACTTACTCCTTGCTTCGTTTCGGAAACTGTAATTTATTACTAATTTTATTGAATTTTCTTTTATACAAATCTGGTTTTGACAGTAACAAACAAAAAAAAATCTAATCTTTCCTCTTCTTAAATTCATGGTTCACTATATTAGCGATAATGGCATAAAAATAAAAGATAGATATAGGCTGTCGCGGGCTTTTTTGTAGGACTATGTTATACAATTCAACAAACTTTCGCGTTTATAATATTAGTAGGATTTTATACTTTTATATTTTTTCAGTTTCATCTGACTCGTATAAGCAAAACTCAAAAATATACCTACTTTGATCTAAGTTAGTGCCGGTTACGTCTGTATAGACATTATTATGGTCTTAGCTCAGTTGTATATGACGCAATTCGCCTGGTTAACTATCATTTTTAAAGTGTTTAAATTCTATCCCAGTGTATAACAAAGCAGGCTATTCAGTACAGCAATTCGTATTGTGAAAAGTAATTATATAATCTGCCGTCAACATCCAGTGCTCTCTAAAAAACATAGCTTAAAATTGTGAAAAGGCGAAACAGTGTTGGGTTGTTTAATAAATATACCTGGAACAGTATAAGAGTGATTAAAGCCGCCAATATTTCTTCATCGGTCGCTACAAATATACAACTGTAGAACATCGCATCAAATGTTGATAGTGTCCATTCTTCACCCCACCTACGAGATTAAATACGAACTATTATTATTTGACAGTGTTCCATTTTATTTCGGCTCAATAAACCAATAATTGACAATAAATCAATGATCAATAAATCAATAAACCAATAATTGACAATAAATCAATGATAAATAAATCAATAAACCAATAAATTGGTAGCCCAATTCGTAATAGAAATGCTTACAGCATTAATTAGGTGTTTTCAGCGATGTAATACACGATCGTCCACGCTAAGAAATCAGTTTAGTTTTTTTTTCAGGATTTTACTAGCAATAATAATTTCTAAATGATAATCTATTCTATAGTTATTATAATCTAGAGACTAAAACAAAAACAATTTAGAGCAATACAGGGTCGTTGGATAAGTCTTAAAATTAAAACTTATAGGCTTCCGAACAACTTTCTACTGAGGTATTTATTTCGTCTAACTTCTCAACTATCAGATAAAGGTTTATCCACATACAACAAAAATGTTTGTGTCCTGTATTAATTAATTGATATGTTGATAAAAATAGACAATAACGGGGTCTAAAGAATGTTAATTTTTTTAAATTTTGTGTGTGTGGTGAGTTTACGTTTTTTTTAAAATACATAACGAATGACAGACTTATCCAATTTAACATGTAATTTATATGATTAAGTTCTACGTAGACGGGACCGCGGGCATAGCTAGTTTTGAACAAACTTGTAATTATTAATTACAGTGAATTTAAATAATTTCTCAAGAGAATTACTTTCGAGTAAAATAGGTTCGTTTCTGAGATATGGGTTTTTTCAATTAGACGCGTATTTCAGAGTGAACTGATTTTAGATTTTACTGTTTTTTCATTATGAAGTACATCACATTGATTTAGAACTTTACCCGATACAATATACAGCTGTGTGTGTGGTGTGTGGCGTCATGTAGTTATTAATTTTAAGCCCATAGAGTAGGAAGGACAAACAACTTTAACATTAACGAACTGTATTAACATTTTGCTCTATTCATAAATAAATAAGTAAATAGTTAACAAGTTGACAACACATTCTAGGTCGGTATGCCTCTAATTCATATTTTATGTAATTTCATTGACCGTGCCACACCATTCCTAGGAGACTAGGAACTACCAACATTCACGGCAGAGCCAAGCTCAGCCTTAAATGTTGGTAAATTTAATAGAACGTAAACATAACAATAAATTGTGACAATTGCTTAAAGTGAAATCAAGATCTTCCAACGAGAGTTTGTTTTTGTTTGATAAATCGAAAAAGATTCTAATATTGTTTTTCGGAACACAAATGCTGCTACTGACCGATATTCTTATTTGCAAAATATATATATATACCTTTGAGTTTTAAGTTGCTCAAATGTATTAGTTATCTGAATAAAATAAAATATATTATTGTATTCAGTGACGGAATTTGAATCGGATTAGCTATTTATTAATTGCCAACGTCCCTGAGTTTCTCGCCGGATCTTCTCAGTGGGTCGCGTTTCCGATCCGGTGGTAGATTCTGCATAGCACTGCTCTTGCTAGGGTCAGTGTTAGCAACTCTCCGGTTTGAGCCCCGCGAGCTCACCTACTATATAGTTAAGGTTACGCTGAAATAGCCTCTCAAGGCTATCGTGAAAAAAAAACTGCTTATCCAAGTGATAAGTGAATTTAGGTGAAATATACATAACTATTTAAGACTTTATTCTCTTACCACGTAACAGCGAAGCAGGAAGGCGTATTACTGTCATCATATAGTAAAGTACTAGTGCTACCAGTTTCCCGGGTCGAAAGCTCAATTCCTAGAAGTTTTTCTAGGAACGTTCTTTCGCTGGCAACCCAACTCATACCATCTAAAGCCTGTATTGAAACCAATAATTAGTCACTGATTCTCCATTTATTTATTTATTCAAAAATAACAAACTAACCCTTTCTATGAAAGCTGCTAGAAATTTTGATAGAACTATTTGCTTCGTTTCGCCTACCCCGAGACCTGCGCCTTATACAATAAAAGAAATATTATTATCATTTGAGTTCAATGTTTCATACTAAAATTCGATAAGTTCATCATCATCATCATAATCAACAGCCCACAGTCGTCCACTGCTGGACATAGGCCTCTCCCAATCCACACCACTGAGCCCGGTCTGCGGCTCTCCTCATCCACTTCTTGCCGGCCAACGTGCGGAGGTCATCGCACCATCTAGCTAGGGGGCGTCCCACGGTACGTCTTCCGCTGCGCGGTCTCCACTCGATAAGTTAATTATTTATAAATACCTGGAGTAACAGTTGATAATTGTTTGTAGACAGCCCTGAAAAGCATACTTTATTTGACTAGATTATACCATAGATATAAACTTGTAGCCGAAATACTTTCGAATAAATAGATATGTGATAATTTATTTTCAACTTGTGGACACAGCAGGTCGTATGCAAATTTTTTTTCTTTGCTAAGACAGGTGAACCATCTTACAACACACTTTGTGTTATTGGAGCCCATAGACATCAACAACGTAAATGCCGTGATCCACATTGACACATGAGCCCCACCATTTAAGCGGAAACGCAATACTGCTTCACCGCAAAAAACGCCTTACCAGCACTAAAAAAACGTCTGTAAATTTTCCAATTTTTCATGGAGTTTCCCCGAATTTACTTTCCATTAAAGCCTTATTTGGATTATTTTTAAAACAGTTGTAAAAGTAACCAATTATCACTATACGTGTGTATATTGTTCTAAGCTTACACCAATGAACAGTATCTTAATAGAATTAATAAATACACAGATGTACTATATATTTATAAAAAAAGTTTAAGTGTACATTGTTTCTAAATTTAATCGATATCTATGTATGTAATGATGCCAAATTTTTATTTTATTTTACCTTAGTTGTGGAGAGCAAACGATCCGACAAATCGCAAGAGGACCAGCCAACGTTCTTATTTCTTTTGATTCGTCGTTTCTGAAATATAATGCTCACGAAATGAATTAGTGCAGACTTTAAAGAATTACCGTAATGGGTACATAATATAGCTAAGCCAACACGAAAGTATTACACTTTATGTATACAGAACTCTCCTCCTCCTTGCGTCGGTTTCCTCATTACTGAGGGTCGTGGTCATGGCCTTGAAACAGTTCGTTTTTTTATAATGCACCGCCATCTGTTCCTATCTGCAGCTGTGTTCAGAGCATCGTGCACTGTGGTATCCAGGGCTGCACGAATCTGGTCCGTCCAACGGGTCGGGTTCCTGCCTCTTGGTCGCTTGCCCTCGACCTTTCCAGTGATCACCAATTTCAATACTAAACTATACTGAGTATATAATGTTTTATATAATTGAGGTGACATCTGCCATGAACTTTTGTCAGTTTGTTAACATTTTGTATTGATGATCGCTTTGTTGGTGCAACTTAATAAATAAAAATAAACAAAGCAAACCTTCCGTGCACATAATGAGCATAGTATTCCTCCTCAAAAACCAGCACGGACACATCAAGTGCAGTGCAACTCTTCGGCAGGACTTCTGCGTCTGAACCGGCTACTTTATTTAGAGCCCATTTTAAGAGAAAAACAATTGAGTACGAAGACCACCACGCTATGGCAGTAACTGCCCATTTATACCCATCGCTTTTTGGTAGAGACGATTTCCACGGCTTTAATACCTGGAAAATATTTTAACTTACATAGTAAGTATTAGTTGATATTGTTAGTAGGGTACACCCTATTTCTAACAAGATTCTTTGTGTCGAAGTTGTAGATCAGATGTAGTGCCGTTAATGCAAATGAGAAATTTAGTTTTATTACTCTGCAGTTTGATGAAAGAGCTCGCAGCCTGGTGTAAAGTGGTCATTAGAGCTCAAGGACATCAATCACCACGCGCCGCTATCCGCTTTTCATTTTATTCTCTATAGACAGTTTCACTTTTCAATTTGGACTAAGGATGGTGGTACTCAGAGTATCAGATATTCCGAGATCAGAATGCGCTACTCAGAGAAATAATACGCAGTAAACGCTCCCGCCCGTTCTCCGTTGAATGCATTAGTCGCCTTTTACGACATCCAGGGGAAGATGGAGTATTGCTATTCTATGCTAACACCACACAGCCAGAAACCTCAATTTTTTCTATTTCCGGCACTAACAACGCAGAAAAACCGTAGGTCTAAAAATTTGTATGTAGGATAAACGTGTTACTATTATTGTATAATAATTTATTTAGCTAAATAAAACTATTTTATCAAAAATAATCAAAATATACAATTTGTAATAGACCAAATTGTGAATCTAAGCTATTCTAGACTATACTTGAAGTAACACAAATAATTTCATTAAAATCTATCCAACCGTTTTGGAGGAGTTCAGTCAGTCACATGTGCACGCACCGAATAATTATATACTTAATAATATACACAAAGGTATTCTTACATTAATAGTAAAAAAAATATTGAATTCGCTATAACACAAACAGTTAATAGACCTGCGGTAGGGTCTGCGGAGGGACTTCGGTTCCCTCTGTATTTTGTACCGCATGTTCCATGGGGAGTGCTCTGAGGAATTGTTCGAGATGATACCAACGTCTCGTTTTTACCATCGCACCGCCCGCCACCGGAGTAGAGTTCACCCATACTACCTGGAGCCACTGCGGTCATCCACAATGCGTTTCCAGAGATCTTTTTTGCCACGTACCATCCGGCTATGGAATGAGCTCCCCTCCACGGTGTTTCCCGAGCGCTATGACATGTCCTTCTTCAAACGAGGCTTGTGGAGAGTATTAAGCGGTAGGCAGCGGCTTGGCTCTGCCCTTGGCATTGCTGAAGTCCACGGGCGACGGTAACCATTCACCATCAGGTGGGCCGTATGCTCGTCTGCCTACAAAGGCAATAAAAAAAAAAAAATCTTTATATTAAAGAAATTAAATGTTGAAACTAATTAGCTATATAACTAATAATAAAAACTTTTGCTTCGCTATACTTACGTAGAGAACCAGTAGAGTTATAGTAACCGTGTAGCCCAGTGGAGCTCTCCTTTTTGTTTGCATAAGACTCCATTCTCTAACCAAACATGATGTCTTCCAGTACTCTGATTTATAAACAACGGCTTCATCTAGGATTTAAAATATTTTATCTATAAAGAGTGCGAACGTTCTCGAACATAAAACGGCTGTAATTTTCTTAAGTTTGAAATTCGAAAAATTCTTTGTTTTTATCAAAATGATTGAAAAAAAAATTATATCACAACAAAAAGTATATCGTATTTAACTTTTTAGTGAGCTCGATGAAATTAGTATCATTAATGTGTTTGTTGACTGTTGTAACCAACTAGTTTTGAATTTATTGAATGATCACAAATTTACATTTCGCGAAATCTTCACACAAAACGAAGGCAGTCCTCAGACGTCCCTCGCGTTCCCCTGAGACCGTAATATTTGATTTTATCAGTGGCTCAAGAATATATAAGTATGTTTTTTAAAATCGAATCATCGAGAATGTATGAAATCGATAGTAGGGGATCAATATATTGTATCTTAAGACCAAACTACCATTCATCTCAGTAGGGCTCCCTATGGACTACAAAAGTGCAACAGAGTGAAAACACGTGTAGTATAGTCATGGATATTCTTTTATGTCTCTCTAGCACAGTACGGAAAAGAGTAATACAAAGTCTGCGTTTCAATATTGATTTAAAAAAAAAAATTGACCTGGTACCGTCCGAAGTTCCGTAAATTATAACAAAAAAAAACTTTCTTGAGTCTTGGCAAGTTGTAGACATAATAAAAACTACGTTTACGCTTTAATCTCAAAGCCATTTTACAATTATAGAATACTTTTCGTAATAATAGACTAATAAAATATGTTTTACATTTTTATGTTTCGAACTGATAACAGAAATATTTTATGAAGAGACTAAAATAAATAATGTCGATTTTTATTGTATTCTAAGTATTTCAACGCGATGATTGATCCAAATAATCCTATTAAAAATAAGTATACACGTACAATATTATCACAATGTACACTTACGATACAATTCATTGTTAATTTTCTAGAACTTTTCTTTTGTTTGTCAAACCTTTGCTCGCAATCATCTTACCTCTCCACGGAGAGTTGTATAGTGACCAATCCAAAAAGAATATATCGCTTCGACACTGCTTCCAATTCACCCAAACAACTTTGATTGCCTGAAAATGAAATCTTTTTTTTAAATCAAAATATATTATATAAAAGCATAATAATAATTATTATTATAATAATATATGGATTAATTTTAATATACGCTTTCGAGTAATTCGAGCTTTATATCAAAAAGCATTCTGATTTCTATCGTATTTTAATTGTTATATCATTAAAAATGTCTTAAAGTATAATAAGAAAGAGAGGGAATATCTTGCGTTGTCGAAAAATATTATAGTAATAAATGATATAAACCTTTAATGAAACAGATGAATAGATTAACATTTTAATAATAGATTCCTCTCGTTTAGAAAGCGGTAAGACAAGTGGAAGCGTACCGGCTTCTGCGGCTAATGCATGAATCGTCGATATTAACGCAGACTGAAAATATAAACAAACAAATTTTAATTACTATTCTTTCGTTGCTAAGATGGTATTATGGCCAACCTGGTATTAATTGGTTACCGAAACTCATAGACATCAACAACATAAATTGCTGCCACTCACCTCGAGATGCGAGTTCTAAGTCTCCGTTTTTACAATACAACGGCAGCCCCACCCTTTAAACCGAAACGCATTACTGCTTCACGGCCGTGATATGCTCTACCATTGCCATTATTACAATATGCCATTATTAGACGATGCTGTTCCTTCACCGTGGAAGTAAATCGTAAACATTTGGTAGGCAGCGGCTTGGCTCTGCCCCTGGCATTGCTGACGTCCATGAGCGACGGTAACCGCTTACCATCATGTGTGCCTTATGCTCATCTGCCGGCAAAGGCAATAAAAAAATATAAAAAAGTATACATATTTGATCAGAGAAACTGGTACCTGCCTGCCGGTATTCGAGCACTAGCACAGCGCCGCTTCGCTAAATTCGAACATACCAGGCGTCTTACCCTTTAGGCCACGACGTCTTCGAAATGACAGGGCACATAGTACATATTGTATCCATCGTCGACAAATTAAATATTGCACTACCTAAAGACTCATAAGCAAAAAGTGCTCGAAATCATAAACCTAATTTTAGCTAATAACTAGCCCCGTACTCGCCTGCTTCGCTGGGCATTTAAAACTAACATTATTATTTATTGTCATTATTATTAGGGAGTCCAACGCTCGTATAAATATTAGCCTGTCCATGAAGTACATGTGTTTTCTACATGGATACCCAGTTTCAAATCAATCGGATGCACGGTTCAGTAGTTATAACGGAACATCCGTAGATTTATATACCATATATAAACCACTGTTGATTTATATATTAGTATAGCTAATAATGTATTTATTTGTTTGTAAACTCACAAAATATAATGTGTCAGCGAGTGCCGCCGATACTAATGGCACCACAGAGGCATAGGATGCGCCCCGACGCACCACGCCCCGCCATTGTACTAAAGCGTACAAGGATGTCAATGTGCCCAGGACGAAACCCCATATCTGTTTTACAAAGAAACAAACAAATATTAGAAAACGTTCGCATCTGCGTAAAGCGTAAGTAAATTAATAATATCGAAGAGTGAAAGACTAAGCGACATTTTATAGTACGCTACATTTATCTTTGTAATTAAAGGTGCGTTTTAGTTGGTGTTAGCATCAACAGTTCGATGTTTTTAATTGAACTTTAATTAAGCTTACTAAATTCAAATAGCCGAAAATGGGCTCCGGTGGTAGATTCTGCGAAGTACTACTCTTGGTAGGGTCAGTGTTAGCAACACTCCGGTTTGAGCCCCATGAGCTCACCTACACACGTAAGGGTGAGCTGAAATCGCCTCTCAAGGCTATCAGCATAGGTAGGGAAAAAAACCGAAAAGGTTTTTTGTTATGATTTTTTTCCAAATTTTAATCTTTAACTAGTTCTCCTGTCGCAAAAATGTCGCTTAGCCATATCTGTACCCTTTCACCCCTCAATATAATCATATGAGAAAAAATTTAAAATTCTCATAACTTTTTCGCTAAACTTGACACGTTTAATAAGCATTCATCAATATAACGTATAGGTATATATTAATACGTGAAGAAAAACCTTTGTACCCCTTTTTACGAATATTGCGCGGACGGAGGAGTATGAAATTTCCCACACTTATAGAGAATATAGGGAAGGAATTTTTTTTTAATTTATGCATTAAAAATAGGTATTAATGTACCTATTATATAATATATCAATAAAAAAACATTACACACAATACCATGTATTTGACACACACCTATACCTATATACAGTAGGAGTGGGTAATATCGGTTTTGCCGCGTATCGAATCGTATCTATACCTAGTCAGGTCATAAATTCTGTCACATGTTTAATGTAAAATAATTGAAACAAGTTTATTCATTATGTAACCATTCATATACCAAAATGAACTTAACAAAACATAGATTCTTATGACACTAAAGTTTATTCAAAATGACCTCCGTGATTTTGAATACAGGCCTTCAATCTGAGCGGCCAGTCGTCTATCGCAGCACGAACGAGGTCNTTTATTGCTTAGATGGGTGGACGAGCTCACAGCCCACCTGGTGTTAAGTGGTTACTGGAGCCCATAGACATCTACAACGTAAATGCGCCACCCACCTTGAGATATAAGTTCTAAGGTCTCAGTATAGTTACAACGGCTACCCCACCCTTCGAACCGAAACGCATTACTGCTTCACGGCGGAAATAGGCGGGGTGGTGGTACCTTCCCGTGCGGACTCTCAAGAGGTCCTACCACCAGTGAAAACTGAACTGATAACAGAAATATTTTATGAAGAGACTAAAGTAAATAATGTCGATTTTTTTTGTATTTCTAAGCGATGATTGATCCAAATAATCCTATTAAAAATAAGTATACACGTACAATGTTTTCACAATGTACACGTCCGATACAATTCATTGTTAATTTTCTAGAACTTTTCTTTTGTTTGTCAAACCTTTGCTCGCAATCATCTTACCTCTCCACGGAGAGTTGTATAGTGACCAATCCAAAAAGAATATATCGCTTCGACACTGCTTCCAATTCACCCAAACAACTTTGATTGCCTGAAAATGAAATCTTTTTTTTTAAATCAAAATATATTAGAGCATAATAATAATTATTATATATGGATTAATTTTAATATATGCTTTCGAGTAATTCGAGCTTTATATCAAAAAGCATTCTGATTTCTATCGTATTTTTATTGTTATATAATTAAAATCGTCTTAAAGTATAATAAGAAAGAGAGGGAATATCTTGCGTTCTACAAAAATAATAAAAAAATATATAAACCTTTAATGAAACAGATGAATAAATTAACATTTTAATAATAGATTCCTCTCGTTTAGAAAGCGGTAAGACAAGTGGAAGCGTACCGGCTTCTGCGGCTAATGCATGAACCGTCGATATTAATGAAGACTGAAAATATAAACAGACAAATTTAATTTTATTATTATTTCGTTTCCAAAATGGATGGACGAGCGCACGGCCCATCTGGTACTAATTGGTTACCGGAACTCATAGACATCAACGACGTAAATGCTGCCACTCAACTCGAGATAAGAGTTCTAAGTCTCGGTTTTTACAGAACAACTGCAGCCCCACCCTTCAAACCAAAACGCATTACTGCGACACGGCAGACATATGCCCTACCATTGCCATTATTACACGATGCTGTTCCTTCACCGTGGAAGTAAATCGTAAACATTTGTTAAGTAGGTAAAATTTGGTAGGCAGCGACTTGGCTCTGCCCCTGACAATGCCGACGTCCATGAGCGACGGTAACCGCTTACCATCATGTGGGCCGTATGCACGTCTGCCTACGAAGGCAATAAAAAAATATAAAAAAGTGTACGTATTTCATCAGAAAAACTGGTACCTGCCTGCCGGCATTCGAACACCAACATAGCCGCTTTGCTAGATACGAACGTACCAGGCGACTTATGCATTAAGCCACGATGTCTTCGAAATAACAGGGTACATAGTACATATTGTACCCATCGTCGACAAATTGAATATTACACTAAAAACTCATAAGCAAAAAGTGCTCCGAATCATAAACCTAATTTCAACTTATAATAATGTAGAATAGGGATCATCATCATCATCATCATCATCATCAGCCTTTATCTGCCCACTGTTGGACATAGGCCTTCCCCAATGCCTTCCACATAATGCGGTCCTCCGCCTTCCGCATCCAACGACTTCCCGCCGTGCGTACTAAGTCGTCAGTCCACCTGGTTGGAGGACGCGGCGCATAAAATAAAACTTCCACTGTTCCAAACTCTTCTGTTATAATAATAATTAAAAATTAATTAACACTTTTATTACGCCTTGCTCATTTTTTAACCGTCTTCGCCATCTTCCTTTTCTCTGTCATTCTGTTTGTCATTCTCTTCTCCCTTTCTTACCGTTTTCTCTAACTCACATCTTAACGCTCCGTTCCACACTTTTTCATACATTCCGTTCTTACTAATCCTACAATAATAATAATGTTTGTAAACTCACAAAATATAATGTGTCAGCGAGTGCCGCCGATACTAATGGCGCCACAGAGGCATAGGATGCGCCCCGACGCACCACACCCCGCCATTGTACTAAAGCGTACAAGGATGTCAATGTACCCAGGACGAAGCCCCATATCTGTTTTACAAAGAAACAAACAAACATTAGAAAACGTTCGCATCTGCGTAAAGCGTAAGTAAATTAATAATATCGAAGAGTGAAAGACTAAGCGACATTTTATAGTACGCGACATTTATCTTTGTAATTAAAGGTGCGTTTTAGTTAGTATTAGCATAAACAGATCGATGTTTCTAATTGAACTTTAACTAAGCTTACTAAATTCAAATAGCCGAAAATGGGCTCCGGTAGTAGATTCTGCGAAGCATTACTCTTGCTAGGGTCAGTGTTAGCAACACTCCGGTTTGAGCCCTGTGAGCTCACCTACACACGTAAGGGTGAAGCTGAAATCGCCTCTCAAGGCTATCAGCATAGATAGGGAAAAAAAACCGAAAAGGTTTTTTGTTATGAATTTTTTCCGAATTTTAATCTTTAACTAGTTCTCCTATAGTTGCAAAAATGTCGCTTAGCCATATCTATACCCTTTCACCCCTCGATATAATCATATGAGAAAAAATTTAAAATTCTCATGACTTTTTCGCTAAACTTGACACGTTTAATAAACATTCATCAATATAACGTATAGATAGGTATATATTAATACGTGAAGAAAAAACTTAGTACCCCTTTTTACGAATATTGCGCGGACGGAGGAGTATGAAATTTCCCACACTAGACAATATAATGAAGGAGCGCAAAATGGTAATATTTTTTTTAAATCATTCATTATAAATACATTAAATCAATAAAAAAACATTACACACAATACCATGTATTTGACACACACCTATACCTATATACAGTATGTACTATTTGTTTATTGTCAAACTTTTGTTATTGCTTAAAGTCTGTGGTCAAATTGAGAATAGGTTAATATTGTTTATTTTTAATACATATTTTTGTCTATTTTTGTATAATCTTCTTGGCGAAATCTGTGATTATAGAAGTATAATAAATAGTCTTTGACAATAGAACCATGTTAATGTTCAAATTTATAATTTCAATTAATTATAGTCGAATTTCGACTACTGAGGGACTACACTAGTAAAGTTAATTTCATGAATTTGATTAAAGACATATCGTCTTCTCGTATTAAAACTGTATAATCTCAAAACTTACTAATTTTACAGGAGAGTGTTTTATAGGTTTAACATGTGATATTTTTAATAATAATCACCTCTGCAACATTTTTTACCAGCTAAATTATCTGTCTTTAAAGTAAGATAAAATTATGTATTAATTTTGTTAACACATACAGTCAAAACATAGGTAAACTAAAAAAAGCTAAAAAACTAAAGCTAAATTACGCTCTTTTGACAGTATTTATGAGAAAAATACTGGTGATACTTACTAAATCATTCCGCATATTAACTCAGTTTCGAATATTTTAGGAAATTGTAGACTTTTAATGCGAAAAAACGATATATCTTACCTCTAGTCCTCGAAAAATACCCGCATCCGGCATGTGGTGCTCAATCTTCAATGACGAAGTAGCACTAGAAGTCATCGCGTTGGCATATTCGGTTTCCGTGGTAATTTCCAAACGGAGACCGCCCGTCGCATGCTTGACTTTTTCAATCCTGGTTCAATTTATTCAATATTCAAAGACACATTCAAACAACAAATAGATATTGTGTCTATGAAGACAGCAAGCTCGAAAATTTGAGAGAGAGAGAGAGAGAGTATTACTTATTGTACACCAAAAAAAAAAAAAACAATGCGAAATATTAAATACAAAAAAGTATAATTACGGTCTTATCGCTAGAGCGATCTCTTCCAGACAACCATCAGGTGGAAAAGAATCATTTGGAAACGAATTATAGATATAGTGAGAAAGAATTTCCCTTCGTAATTTTTTGAAAAAGTTCGTAATTATCGTGCTCTCTTAAATAGCTTCAGTACAATGACATTATTCATTTTGACATTTGACACTAAGCAATAAAGTTCCATGTTAATGGATATGAAAATGTCACTCATTTAATACGATCATTCATTGACAGTTCGGGTGTCATCGTATTCCGTTAAAGATCCGAGTTCTCCCGAAGGAAAATAATTTCTCACTACATCTATACACGCGGTTTACCTACCAATCAATTGAAATATATATATACACATACACAGATACCATATACATATGCATTTATAAATATACATACAAATACACAATGTAACGTAATAATAATTACGATTATTGTTATGTAGAGTTTTTATTACAGTCATTTAAAAAAAACCATGTAGCATAGTCACACCATGTTCTGCCTCGTTTGATCGTGATGGTGCTGCTCTAGACCTAAGCTTACCCGTAGTTTTCTACCCCCCCCCCCCCAAACTTATCTCTTGGTAGGGTTTTCGGTACGCAGCGGCTTGGCTCTGCCCCTGCCATTGCTGAAGTCCATGGACGACGGTAACCACTCACCATCAGGTGGGCCGTATGCTCGTCTGCCTACGAGAACAATAAAAAAATTGGTAGGTATCACTATAATAATATTATCTCTTTCTGCCACAAAGCACTCGTGTTTTTCAGTCTGAAGGAAAAGATATGTCTCATGGTGGGTAGCGGCTGTTGCTATTTATCATTTATAGGATCTGATTAATCACTGGCCCTTGAGAAACAGCACAGCTAAACAAAACTGAGATTTATGTAAAAAGATTTAATTCAAAATTCTTTTTTAAATAACCTAAACGTTTTTTCATTGAACATAATTTATTATAAACCTACTGTAATTTCAAATTCAGCTGCGAGAATCTTTGAGACACCCTTTCTCGTTCTTAGACAATAAAGACAATGGCCTCGAATTTCGGCAAATAATTTATGATCTTACTACTAGTTTGAGTAGATTTAATTTTATTGCAAAAGTTTACGGTCCCTATCCGCACTAAAAAATAATTGTAGGGGTCAAAGATCGTATAAAGTTGATAGTATCAATTAAATAAAGCATTTGTAGCAATCTATTGAAATATTTTGAAGTCTGGTGAATAGTTCATAAGATTATTCGTCTCGTTACGGCTTTAGGCTTTTCCGTTTATTCTGTATTGCTCTAAACGGGAAAGATAATAATTAATAACTTATCAAGCGAGCCGCGAATTGGTCATGGCAATTACAACAACGGAACGCGAATCATCCTGCCGCACTGCAAAACAGATGTTCTTCAAGCTACAATAGCTAATTGGAATTTCTCTGTTACCGTACATAACAGACCTTTCACTATATTTCATTTTTTTGTTCAAAAGAGAAGTCTTCTTTTGTTTCAGGAATCGGAAACATCCGAGAGGCAGTTACAGTGTATCTACCTTCTATCAATCTAATTTGTTCAAGGAAAGCACCGACAGATGCCAATAGCGTGAACGAATGTTCCGATTTATACATAAACTAGCCGTACTCGTCCGCTTCGCTGGGCATTTAAAATTAACATCATTATTTATTGTCATTATTATTAGGGAGTCCAACATTCATATAAATATTAACCTATCCATTAAGTACATGTATTTTCTACATGGATACCAAGTTTCAAGTCAATCGGATGCACGGTTCAGTAGTTATAACGGAACATCCGTAAAAACCCCTGTAGATTTATATATCAGTATAAATTAGAAAACAAAAACTACATATATCTAAATTTAAAAATATTAATATAATAATATTTATATACGAAACAGCAATTTCTGAAGTAACGGCTTAATTGCGCGGTACAAATGACAACATCATCAGGCACGTCTGCTCCACGTCGTTAAATTTAACACGCAAGATGACGTGCCTACAACTTTCCTAATTATACTTAGACTTCGAAACTTTTCACGTTCATCTTTTTTGTCAATTGTTATTCGATGATTAATGCGTGATGTGGTTACCATCTATATTAAAACTTTTTGAAGTGATACTTCTTTATCGATGTAGGGAGGAATTTTAGAGCATGTAAAAACATATGCAACGTTTTTCGGTTACATGTCGCTGCACGTAAATTCAACAATTCCTGAATCGCGGTGGCGAGATGTTACACAGTTGATAGACGTTCTCGTATTTCTCTTGTTATATCATACCTACCTGGCGTCGGGATACCATGATCATGGCGGTTCCCCGGGATACGGCTGCTCCATTGCACTGCGGAGTTGTTGACTCCTTGCGATTGTTTTTATATTATATAAGTTTCACTTCTTCCGTGTGTGACTTTGCACTCACACACATTATTATTTTTTGCTCGGGCCATGTGCCCAACTTCAGGGGCTGTGCGTGTTATGTGGGACTTGTCGATCTGCAGATATTGGGAGCAAACCGCGGGCCCAAGGAAATCTTTACGGTCCTACCGCACTAAACGACTCCACTGCACTCTTACACCCGACGTCCGATCTCCGCCCGGGATCATATCTATATTGACACCTGCCTTGATCGAAGTCACAAACCTTCCCGTGCTTCTAATACACCCTACCATTTACAGCCTCACGGGTATGTGCAGCCATTCTGAATAAGTCTACTGCAATAAACACTTATGCAGTCCGGGTATAAAACCGTAAAACGTGGCACAACCATCATACAGTTCAATGTGACTTCGACCTGGTACCCCCAGATGGGTTACGACATCCACGTTGTGATGCCTATGAGATTCTGATTACTATGTGATTCTGATAATCGCTAAATCTAGATGAACCGAAAATTTGTTACTAAAAATAAAATCAATCGATTTCTCACCTCAAACGGATGTATAAAGTCCGTAGATAAATTACATTGCTGATATTAGATACGGCAGAGAGCTCTTTGTGTACTAAGAAATATCTACGAAATTTATAGGACGGCCATGTTTGTTTCTGGAAAAAAAAAAAGTTTATATATTAAGCGTATCCTTTTTCTACAACAACTAAAATTATAACGACAAATTGCAAACGAGAGTTATTATGACGATAGATCCTACCATAACACAAATATGTACATAAGTTTCATGAGTAATTTATTGCATATCAAAAAAATATGAGACATTTTCAAACGTTTTATTGCACCAGGTGGGTGAATGAAAAACCGGGCAATAACCTGAGTTCACGAGCCATGTGGTGTCCTCTAGATTAAATAAACCTAAATTTAATCAACAATTCACTTTTCATCCTCTAATTAAACATGTGACATAGTAAGTAAGCATTTATATAAACTTGTATCGTTTAATTAGGAGAGGAGTAATAAATCATACTTAGAAGTGATCAGTCGTTTGAATACCTTAGTCCCGACCTTATAAACTAAATATCAATCAATCGACTTTGTAATCGACTTCTTAATGTTTTATTATAAATATAATGTAAGAAATTCACAAAAGCATAATCTGTAAATAGACTATGCCATGCCACAATACGCATTAATGTTTATATTTTAAATGACCGGGATCAATAGCCAGAGATTTCGGACTGAAAATAATGATATATACATAAATATTACCTGAACGTATTGGCCATCAGGTTTCTTCAAAGACACTGGTAATGCTTCGAAATTATCTTCGAAGGAGATAAAAGGCGCTAAGGTCTCATTAAAACTCGACGAGGTTAAGTCTGTAATGTTTATGGAACAATCGAATCTGAAATAATATATATATAAGAGTAATATATCAACAATTTTCATTCATTCAAAAGATCGTTGATTTTTACATCGACGCTATCATGATTATAAAAACATAATACACGGTGAAGTGATAAAAATTTATTTTTAAATGCGTAAAGTGGTCGAACAGACTTCAGGGTGTTAGTTGGTGATCGCAGCCGAAACACAAAGTGATTTCTCATGCCCGCCATAAATAAAAGTAAGCAAATAGAAAACTCACGAAATATCATCGCCTATTTTGAACTTCACCGGTAAATGACAGGGTGAAATTACGTTCTTGTCACTCAGAAATTTAAGTCCACCACTTTTCGTATAAACTGCCACAGCTATTTTAATTTCATTCTGAAAATGAACAGGATTAAACTTTGAGAAATTTTAAATGATCACTCATTTATATTTTGTTCTAACCAAAAAGACTATTTGCCAACCTTCCCGCTGGATAAATCCGTATTCCACGATTGCTTTTCATCGGACGATTCAATTATTAGGGCTGGTAAACCTAGTGAACATTAGGGAATTAAAATTTACATCAAATTTATTTCAGCTTAATGTAATATCAGTGTAATCTTAAGTGAAATCACAAGATAATTGTTAAATGTCAAAACCTTAACACAAGCTAAGCAAAAATATCCACGCACAGCTCTGAAACGAACCACAGAACTATAATAAATTATCGCTCTTATTTTTTCTAAAACTTTTGGAACGAAGTTCCTTATGGGACGATGCGGAGGGGTACCCTAACCGGGAAAACGTCCGTAACGTAAGATTTTTATTAGAAACGCACACATTGTACGACTTAACTTTGTAATAACGTACAAAAAATAACATATTTTTTTATCATTCATTGACCATGATCTCAAAGCGCTCCTTTGCGCAATACCTACACTAACTCTTATGCAAACAACTGTGAATGAAGTGTACCACAATAAGTTCGCACGATACCGAATGACTGTGGGTTGTTGCGAAACCTCCAGTTTTATTTTCTTTATACCTCGAATAGAACTTAAAATTAATATTTTTATAATAAGGAACTTCATTCCTGTCCGGTGTCCCACGACACCACACAACTTTTTATCTGCATCCAAACAATATTTTTAATTACTACTTTACAACACAACAATGTTTATGTACGTGAGTCTACCTTTTATAATTGGTAATTTAGTTTGAAGCCAAAGCCGGCACGGCCCCGCTAAGTCGTTTAAATAGAAATTCTTCACACATATGTTGGCTAAAGTACGGCACGCGCGATAATCTTTTTGCTAAAAACAGAAAACAAATATTATTGAAGTGCCTGATATTACTGCGTGTAGGTGTCCCTATTTTTTAAATTTAAATGATTCAGCATATCAAAAAAACCAAGCCTTATATACAAAGATATTATAGTTTGTGTAAAAAAAACTTTTTTCAATACAAATCTGCACTCATTATGAGTTTAACGAGGACCTGACGAGACTCTCAGTGGAAAACTTCTGTGACTGATAATAAATTGAGATTGATCAAAGTGAATTCAAATAATGTACTTACAGCCTTTGTTATACCGTAATAAAGAAGATAAGAAACTTATAATTCTCATAGATATCATTAAAACTCTACTGAACTTAGGGTTCAATACGAAGTTTTTATAAGAATTTATTTGTTATTTTAATTTAACTTTTTCTTAATGATTTTTTAATGAAAGCTCTAATGTACGACAGTTTTTTTTATTTATTGGTTAGTTGGGTGGACGAGCTCACAGCCCACCTGGTGTTAAGTGGTTACTGGAGCCCATAGACATCTACAATGTAAATGCGCCACCCACCTTGAGATATAAGTTCTAAGGTCTCAGTATAGTTACAACGGCTACCCCACCCTTCAAACCGAAACGCATGTATTTTATGACGATGAATGCACTTGATAAATAGGCAGAAGTAGACGTTTGTGAATCTTACCGTACATAAATATTCGTATTTTATAACATCTAACAGAACTAACGGATGCAGCACGGTCTTTTCGTATTTCGGTCTCGTGTTCAAGAACGTTTTCGGCACACAAATCCCCCGTATCACGACCTCATTCTTGGAGCACGCGCATCCTTCGCATTTGACGCAAACATTGTTATCGGCTTTGTAACCTCGGGCACACTTCACGCATTGAACTTCCTTCATCGGCGATCCGTCGAAGTTTTGTGTCACTGTGTCAAATACATTAACTAAGAAATATAAAAACGCAAAATATTTTATTTATTTATGCTTAGATGGGTCGACGAGCTCACAGCCCACCTGGTGTTGAGTGGTTACTGGAGCCCATAGACATCTACGACGTAAATGCGCCACCCACTTTGAGATATAAGCTCTAAGGTCTCAGTATAGTTACAACGGCTGCCCCACCCTTCAAACCGAAACGCATTACTGCTTCACGGCAGAAATAGGCAGGGCGGTGGTACCCACCCGCGTGGACTCACAATAGGTCCTACCACCAGTATAAGAAGAAGATAAATAAGATGGATAACAAATTTAGCACTATAACATAACGTTCTCAATTTTTTAATACGCTTTTATTAACTTCAGACGTATGTATGTTAGTATGTAATGGAATCTTTGAACATGATTTTGACCCCCTATAAAACGTCTGATTAATTCGAAATTTGGCATACTTATTAAGGACCGATAACAATTCAATATTTAAAAAATATATTGAAATAATTTAAATTCAACTAAAAAATGAAAAATAAGTGCTTTTCAGGATATTATCTAGTGGGAAAAACTCTTTACAAATTTTCCACCACGGCGGTGCGCTGGTTCAATATTTTTGAAGAAAGTTTTGCGGGGGCGAGTATCGCTAAAGATGCACAAAAGAGGGGAAGGCCGAGGCTAGGCTATGAGGAGTAGACGTACCTGCCAACCCGTCGCTAGCTTCTTCCAGGCTGAAGAATTCGACGCCACTGCTGGACGACGCGTAATGGCGGCGACTTGACACGGCACTCTTCTAAATTATTGTCTATAAAACTTGTATATCACTCGCGCAACGACGAATATGGTCGTCAGTAAGAGTTTGTATAATAGAGAATTAATTTGAGTCCATGAAAATATTTGTGAAAAAATAAGCGGCGTGTGCGTGTACAGCGCGTGCGGTGCGGTCGGCGATAGTCTTCTTTTTTTTTTTTGACGTTTGATTCTTATGTTTCTTTTTTATAAGTGGCCATGCGAGAGGTTTTATGTCTACTCTCATTAAAAAAGAACCATTATCAAAATAGCCCTTCTACTCATCTATGTTCATAAAATATTTATAACTACTGATACCATGCACCCCGTGCTTTTTTTTACAATAAAATCATTTTTTCTTACACTTTTAATTCAAATTTATTAAAATTTATTTTCTATTATTTAGTTGGATTTTTTATAAAAGCGTATTTTTTTTAAACAATTATTTATTCTAAATGCATAAGTACACGAACGCCTTCTACGTTGACGCAATAACGTCTTGTAATAAAATGAAAAAATGTGGAATTACTAAGTTTTGGACGGTCGTGAGCTCGGCGGGATAGTTGCCACAATGCTGCCTATTTTCGACCCGAAGCAGTCATGCGTCTCGATTTAAAGGGTGGAACAGTATAATCAAAACAATTACACGTAAGTTTTTGAAGAAATACTATTCTGCGCTTACATTTTTTTAGCGTAAACACTATATTTATAAAACACTATTCTGCGTTTACTTTTTTAGCGTAAACACTATCTAAGTACATATTAATACGTGAAGCAAAAACTTTGTACCCATTTTTACGAAAATTGCGCGGACGGAGGAGCATTAATTTTCCCACACTTATAGAGAATATATAGAAGGAGTGCGGAATGTTAATATTTTCTTAAATTATGCATAAAAAAATACATTAAATCAATAACTACCAAGGGAGCACTAGTATTTATAAAACTACTGGCCGTACTCGCCCGCTTCCCTGGGCATTTAAAATGAACATTATTATTTATTGTCATTATTATTAGTGAGTCCAACACTCATTTAAGTACATATATTTTCTACATGGATACCTAGTTTCAAGTCAATCGGATGCATGGTTCTGTTGTTAAAACGGAACATCCGTAAAAACCACCGTAGATTTGTATATTAGTATAGATACTGTCATATTTGTATTTCGAATCGTATTCCGATCGTTTCAGTATGATTATCCTCACCTGAAATATAATCACTAGGACATTTCCGACAAACGAATCTACCGGATACATTCTGACATCGTCGGGGCACACACATGCTTCGATCCGCTGAAACCAGCTCAGTGGCATTGCAGGGTTTACATTTTGCTGGATTTACTGGTACGCTGTGCTCATCACATCTACATCCAAAGCCTGGATATAAAAGCAGAGACAAAACGGTTACAATTTTTTCCTTTTACAATCAACTAACTTTTTTTAGTAAATAACTATTAGCACCTATTGTGTTATGTGTATATGTGTAAAGAAAAACCTTTATTATTTAAAACTCTTCTATATAATATATGAAAATGAATTGCTGTTCTCTCCATGACAGAATTCACTCCATGACACTGAATCACACTAAAGAGAAATCCTTTTTATAAACTAACTAGCTGCCCTGGCAGACTCCGTAGTGCTTCAATCGATAAATAAAAGACCTAAACTTTTGTATAAAATAAACTTAAAACAAACAAAGGAATCCGTGCGACGGGGGACACATCAAAGGAAAAACACAATTGCTATTTTTATTTAATTCCGAGAATTTTAATAATTATCTACCTTTTAAACCTTCTCTGGACTTCCACAAATAATTCAAGACCAAAATTAGCCAAATCGGTCCAGCTGTTCTCGAATTTTAGCGGGACCAACGAACAGCAATTAATTTTTATATATATAGATAGATAGATTAATACTATTTACTGTTTTATTTTTAATATTAATTTTGAAAGAGATTAGGGTTTTAAATGTTCTTATCATACATATTACAGAAAACGCAGTTAAGCCTTTTATTGTTTATTCATTCTGAAGTAGGTACCCAATATCATTAAAAATATTATGTATTAAAATTGGGAACCAGATTTATAAATTAAAAGACCTAACAGCTGATTGCCGTGTTCACCTTTCTTTGTCAACCGATTTTCGTTTTCTTTGTTTGACATGTGTTGTTGTAAATAGTCTTTTTTTTTAGTGTGAATACCAAAATAAAAGTGAAAATGTAATACATAGAATGAATATAATTATTGTGGTAACAGTGATTAAGGTAGTAGTAGGTGAGCTCACGGGGCTCAAACCTGACCCATTCAAGGTGGGTGGCGGCATTTACGTTGTAGATGTCTACGGGCTCCAATAACCACTTAACACCAGGTACAAACACACTTTCACGATTAAATAATTCAGTACGCATATAATCCTTTAGTTACATATTTTATGTTTTGTAATATGCATTGATCAACTTACCGTCTAGTGACGTAATCATTGAAGAATTGGCCGGACATGACTGGCATCCTAATAGACCAGGATCATAATAGGCTTCGGGCTCACATTGTTTCTGTATATATGCAATACTCGCCGTTGATAAACAGCATATCATAATTATTGGCTTAACTATGCATCTCATATTGTGATTTGTAATTGCCTATGATTAAACTCTGTAAAATTAACCACAACTTTAGAAGAAAAGAGACACGAATCTACTATCACCAAGTAAAAAAAAATCGCAGTTAATATTGGAGCGTAACTTTAAAGTTTACTAAAACAGACAAAAACTTTTATTAATCTTATTAACTCAAGTGCACGTTTGATGCTTAACACACATTCGAAAACTTATGGCGGTAGTTATTATAGAAGTCGAAGTCGAAGTCGAATATTATATTTTGAAGTCGTTGTGGCCTAAAGGATAAGACGTCCGGTGCATTCGTATGAAGCGATGCACCGGTGTTCGAATTCCGCTGGCGGGTACCAATTTTTCTAATGAAATACGTACTCAACAAATATTCACGATTGACTTCCACGGTGAAGGAATAACATCGTGTAATAAAAATCAAACCCGCAAAATTATAATTTGCGTAATAGTACGAAAGGAAGATCTTCCGCCGAGCGGGTGATATTGCTCGGTAACCCGACGCCGGTCCGAACGTTGTTGATCGGAACTTGTATATATGCAAGCTTATCTTGAAAATGTCGTAAGCGAGATTCAGGCATCTGTCAAATATCTTGTGTTCTGTGATGGCTACTGCCACGTATCTTTGTAATTAAAGACCTGTTTTCGTTTTCAAACAATTTTTACCCCATTCAAACAGCCGAAGAACTTTTTTGTTATTGTAAACTAATAAATTCTACTAGAGGTCCCGCAGTAGTTGAAATTCGACTATAATTAATTGGAATTGTAAGTTTGTACACTATTATGATTGTATTTTATACTTCTACTAGCGACCCGCCCTCGCTTCGCTTCGGAAACATTAAAACCACATTAAAACACACATGAAACCAAAAAAATAAAATAAAAAAAAATTTAAAAAAAGTAGCCTATGTTCATCAGGGACAATGTCGGCTTCTAATGGAAAAAGAATTTTTCAAATCGGTCCAGTAGTTTCGGAGCCTATTCGAAACAAACAAACAAACAAATCTTTCCTCTTTATAATATTATTAGTATTAGTATAGATATAGATTAGTATAGATAATCACAAATTTCGCCAAGGCTACACTATAAAAAAATTTGAATAAAGGCAAACAATATTTAATCTATTCTCAATTTGACCACATACGTCAAGAACAAAAGTTTGACAATAAATAGTATGCATGCGTGTTGCGTCAAATACATGGCATGTAGTGTGTGTAATGTTTTCTTATGTATCTTTTATGCATTATTTTAAAAAAACATTAGCATTGTACACTTCTTCTCCATATTCTCTATAAGTGTGGAAAATTTCAGACTCCTCCATCCGCGCAATTTTCGTAAAAAGAGATACAAAGTTTTTGCTTCACGTTTTAATATATAGATATGAAGGAAAGGTTTCATTCATATCGCAAAGCTGTCCAGTAGATATGTGTCGTTCGCGAACGAACGAGTCAAACGACCCAGGTCTCAAATTCCGCGCGAACGATAGGGTCACTTCAAAAAATACGAGTCGTTCACTAAATCGACTCGTTTAACACAAAATCTACGAATCAGAAGAAAAGAACCAGACGAGTACGATGGTCATTCGGGTCATTTCGGGTTGCCGCGTCTCGCTTAGTCGTTCGTTGTCACATAATGTCGCCATAACACATTTGGATTGTTTTGATCTCACGTAAACAATCGAACTATAACAGTTCCTTTAAGTTGTTATTCAATACTAAACTTTATCCAGCCAGTAACCCGATAATATTATTTACGTTATAAATTGATGTAATAAACGGTAACCCAAACGTTCGACTGAACGGGTCGCACGAACCGGATCATTTTGTCAACAGGTCAGTACTGATCTGAATCTCTAAAATTGAACGAACGACACATATCTACTGTCCAGTGCAATAACCTGTTCATTGGCTGATCATGTAGGACATTAACCTTATAAGGTTTATAATAATATATGTATTAAAGATATGTATAACGTTGATATAACCACCTCGTGGTTTGCCAATACAGGAAAAGATTACTGCAATACTTAAAAAATGATATTCATTACGATTTATTTTGCGTTCGGTATTTCTTGACACCGCAACGCGTATGTTTCTAAGCATACAGGCTTTGTGTCCAGCATTGCTGTCACCTGACAGTAACAACTGACCATCAGATGGACCGCAGGACTTTGAGGCTAGTAAATTAAGATAGTAATTAATAAATTAATAATTAGTATATTAGAGCATTAGAACATAGCACCGACATTTACCAGTTTAATATATTTTCTATTGACGATCCATCGTTTTTAGAAATTAATCTATATAGATATACCAAAACCTCAAACTATCTCTCGGATTACTTAGCGCAAAATACCGTTGGACCATTCTATTCTATTTTAGATTTGTCCTTTACAATAGCGTGTAAGCTTTTGATACAATTTTGTTGTAAAGTTTTTCCTCGAATTCTTTTCCTTTGTGTCATAGTTCCTCCTCCCCCAGAGGTGGGCTGGAAAAAGCTTCAACGATAAATCCGTTAGCGAAATAGTATTTTATCGGTTTTCGCGAGCTGTGGACATAATTAAAACAACTTTTACGGCTTAATCTCGCGTCTTGTGTGACTGCCCTCTGTCCGTGACCATGAAAACAGTTATGTATTAATAAAATGTTATTTTAATTATTTATTTACTAGACTTCATGTAAATTTTTAATATATTGGCGGACATTCTTTACCAGTCACCCAAAGATAGTGCAGAGTAAATAGTAGTAGGTGTAATGAAATTTATATTAAATTACAAATACATACACAAAAATATATACACACCATACATAAGCGCAAATATATGTGTATACATATATATACACATGCATATGCACATATACACACATACATACATATAATAGTTTATACAGTACTCAAAGGAATATATTAATAAATTAATACGTGAAGCAAAAACTTTGTATCCCTTTTTACGAAAATTGCGCGGACGGAGGAATATGAAATTTTCCACACTTATAAAGAACATAGAGAATATAGAGAAGAAGTGCACAGTGCTAATATTTTTTTAAAATAATGCATAAAAGATACATTAAATCAATAAAGAAAACATTACACACACTACATACCATGTATTTGACGCACACACGCATGCATACTATTTATTGTCAAACTTTTGTTCTTGACGTCTGTTGTCAAATTGAGAATAGATTAAATATTGTTTGTCTTTGTTAATATATTCTTATAGTGTAGCCTTGGCGAAATTTGTGATTATAGAAGTATAAATTACAATCATAATAGTGTACAAACTTATAATTCCAATTAATTATAGTCGAATTTCGACTACTGCGGGACCTCTAGTATTAATAAATTCACTTGACAAATAACTTCAACTTTTATTAAGTTCATGACGAGTCGGTGTACTATCTGTACTAAAAAAGATGGATATAAAAAATAGATTGCCGCTGATGGTGGTGTCTACGGCATAAACCACCACTGGTTAGGACTCCAGAGTGAGAAACCACCTCAACATACGAGCCGTACCAAGGATAATTACTTTCAGTAAAGTAGTATTATAGTATTTAAGTTGTAGAAAAAATACATACAATGGAAATAAGCAATGCGAGATTAAACCATAAAACTAGTTTTAATTGTACCGTTAGCGACACTCATTTTAATTGATACTAACTTTAAGATTAAAACTGTAACAAAGGGGGTTTCAATTTAAACAAAGTCAGACTGTGTTTAAAATATTGCTCATCAAATAACACCACCATTCCTGATCTCTATCTAGTTGTTTTCTGATTACAATTTAGCTGCCGTTAACTTACCAAATTATTACTAATCTGTCAACATGTTATTCGAAACCGCTAATCACCAGCAGATTGAGTTCTCTCTGACGTAATCACTGGCTCAATAGCAAATTTCACCCACGTGTAAATAGTTTTGGCAGCCGCAAATCCGCTTACATATTTGTTGGCATTGTTTGATTTATCGTTGCTAGGATACGAACCGCTAACAAGTGTACGATAGTATCCAATAAGTTAAGTACTCTATGGTTTAAGTCTACGTCATACTAATTATTTTATTTATTTTTATTGCTTCGATGGGTGGACGTGCTCACAGCCCACCTGGTGTTAAGCGGTTACTGGAGCCCATAGACATCTACAACGTAAATGCGCCGCCCACCTTGAGATAAAAGTTCTAAGATCTCAGTATAGTTACAACGGCTGCCCCACCCTTCAACCTGAAACGGATCGTTTGGAACCTCTGGGTCTGCGGAGGGACTTCGGTTCCCTCTGTATTTTGTACCGTATGTTCCATGGGGAGTGCTCTGAGGAATTGTTCGAGATGATACCGGCATCTCGTTTTTACCATCGCACCGCCCGCCACCGGAGTAGAGTTCATCCGTACTACCTGGAGCCACTGCGGTCATCCACAGTGCGTTTCCAGAGATCTTTTTTGCCACGTACCATCCGGCTATGGAATGAGCTCCCCTCCACGGTGTTTCCCGAGCGCTATGACATGTCCTTCTTCAAACGAGGCTTGTGGAGAGTATTAACCGGTAGGCAGCAGCTTGGCTCTGCCCCCGGCATTGCTGAAGTCCATGGGCAACGGTAACCACTCACCATCAGGTGGGCCGTATGCTCGACTGCCTCCAAGGGCAATAAAAACAAAAAAAAATAATTAAAAAAACGCATTACTTACTGCTTTACGGCAGAAATTGGCAGGACGGTGGTGCCTACCCGTGCGGACTCACAAGAAGTCCTACCACCAGTATGTAAGTCTTATCGTAAACACGGCTACGTAAATATTTATAAAGCATTTAAGCTCATCTATTAATGCTGCAGAGCAGTCATGCGTTCAGGATTGAAGGATGGAGTAGCCGTTATGAAATCAATGTAAAACATGTAATATAACCTACCTCCTAAATACAGAACACAAATATCACGTTAAAAAACAGAGAAAGAATTGCAAAAAATAAAGATACCAGCTTTCTCACTTCTGTATCCTTAACATAAATGCGAAAGCTTTTCGCGGTAGTT